CTTTTGTAAATGGTGAAGATAGCTAAAATTACAATTTAAATGTTATCATATAGGCCATATAACGTCCATGAATGAATCTTTTTTATTGACTTTATAATAATGAGGAGGGCTGGTATAGGCCAGGGGCTAGGAGCGAGCCACCCATTGGAAGCGCAGATAACGTAGCGCGCCGGGTCACCGGAGTGGACGGCTGGGCGGGGGGCCTTAGGGGGGGGCCGCACTAATGAGGCGCCGCACTGCGAAATGCTTATTAGCTAAAGGAAACACACATAGACTCTACAATACAGCAAATATACTTGAAAAGTTGTTATTACAAAAAGGCATGACATTTCAAAATTAATTTATAATATAGAAAAGGCCTGCTCCGATCATACTGGTTGCAAGGCTGAGTGCCCGTATCGTGTGCGCGCGAGTGACATTATACCTCTATCCGCGCGTCTGATCAGGAATCCATGCTGTTCACTTTATTTTTTTTTTTTCCATTTCCACAAAACCTTTGTTTAATTTTTAGGGGTTTTTTGTTTTAGCGAATAAATGGATCCTGATCAGACTTGCGTTCATCATGCGCAGATCCTTTTTCTTGGATCTGCGTGGTCGGCAAACCTTATGTTGGTTTTCGTTTCCGTTGACACGTTTCATATCCTCCTTTTGTCTATTTCTAAGTTTTCTGCATAATAAGATTATTTTATTTTAGGGGAAATTTGAATGTGAGTTGGTTATAAAACTAAGAACAATTTTTTCAATAATTAAAGAAGAATATTTAGCATTGACAATGCTTGATTTTTCCGATTTCTCTTCCAGGATACTGCCAGCTTCTTAGACAAAGAGCTCGCTATTTCTCACAGCAGAGAACACAGTATCAGTATGCTGCAGTTACTTTACAAACTAGTCCAGTAAGATTGAGCTACGATTGTGCCAGTGTGCAAGCAATCGCGTATGCATGTGCTTACAGGGTTATTGACAAGTCAGACTAGTGACGATTTGAGAAGATGAGGAGGGATACGAGACGTGATTTACGCGCTGTCATTTACGAACTCTCGATTTTAGCCCAATTCGGACGAGAATATGATCGGGTACCCTTTTATAGCTCGACTTTTTTTTTTGAACAAAAGTACGGTCATTGTTATATTCAGGTCCGTTGCGTTGCCGTTTTGCCGTTGCCGTCCGAGTGTGTGTGATGCTTTTTATTTGCTGTTGTCTTCATATCTTTGGCCACACATACCCTGGACAGCCTTTCAGTAGACAACACTACCTTGCCTTCATGCCTGACTTGACCTTCCACGGTTGTAAAGTTCCAATTTTTGCTTGTTCATGCTGTTATTGGCTTCTCACTGTTATTTTGACATGGCCAATTTCTTCCAACTTGAACATTAACTCTTCAAAAATGGACCTTCCTTAAAAATAACCAGTTCAGACCTTGACCTATCACTCATCCATGACCTTGACCTCTTAGGTCAGATTATTTAATTTTCATTCTTTTACTGCTATTAATGCGTGTAACTTGTTATTTTTAAAGGATGTTTGTCAAACCTTGACTAGTAATGTTCACAGATAGACTGTTAAAAGTTACCGAAGACTTGACCTTTCACTCATTAATCACGCTTGGTCTTTGAGGTTATTCTATTAAATTTTCATTGTGTTGCAGATGAACTGTAATTTTGCTTTCCCTATTAATGTGATTGTGTGTATATTGCTACTGTTTATTTTCTTATATATAGATAGTATTATTATGGTATATATATATAAGAATATATATCAAATATTGATTCTGATATACTGTATCATTATATATATACTACTCTATCTATATTACGGGATTTACTTATACCTACTTATTAGTAAATATATAACTCTATATAGTATATACTGTGTATGTTATATTTTTTTTTTTTTTTTTTTAATATTTAATGCAAGGGTATATATATATATATATTCATAATATATATGCTTTATAATATTATATATATATACTATGCTATATATATATACATGTGCTATATATATTATATAAATGATACTATATATATATTTATTTTTTTTGAAATATATATATATATATGATATTAATATATATATTTATATATAGTTACATACTATAGTAGATAGTATATATATTTATTTTTTTTTGTTGGAATATATATATGCACATATATATATATACATGCCATATATATATATATATACATGTATATATATATATATATATATATTTTTTTTTTTTTTCTGTGATATATATATATAGCATAATATATATAGATATGGTATAGTATATTCTTAGATATATACTATAGAGGATATTCAAGTTTTTTCTAAAATACATGATTTATTTTCATCGAGGTGTATGAAATAGAATATTTCGATGAAGTGCGGGTAGCCACGAGTGAAATATGGTAATTTTCATGCCACAAGATGAAAATAAATCATGTATTTATAGAAAACTTGAATTTTCTGTTTATTATGCTACATTTTTCTTTTTTTGCGCATAAAATTTGAAAAAAACTTTCCCTTAAATTTTGCACTGTACTGGATAGAATTTAAAAAAGAAAGTAGTCCGGCAAGCACACCAGTGAACATACGGAAAATATGTTTCACTGCAGTGAAAAATAAATTTTTACAGGTGAAAATAACCGAAAATGAAAATACGCATTTTAATTTCATCAATATTTCTCAATATTTCCATTTATTAAGTATATGAATAAGATATATATATATATATTTATTATATATATATTACATGCAATATAATATATAGATGCATGTATATATAATATACACCAATATACTATATATATTGCGTCATTTTTCTATTTTTAGAAATTGCCTCATTTTTCGTGAGTTTTTTAGAAATTGCCGTCATTTTTTTCTATTTTTAGAAATTGCGTCATTTTATTTTCTGTTTTTAGAAATTTGCGTCTTTTTTTCTATTTTTTAGAAATTGCGTCATTTTTCGTATTTTTAGAAAGTTGCCGTTCTGTTTTTCTTGTTTTTAGAAATTGCGTCATTTTTTTCTATTTTTAGAAATTGCGTCATTTTTTTTCTATTTTTTAGAAAATTGCGTAATTGTTTGCTATCTTTAGAAATTGCGTCATTTTTCTGCTATTTTTAGAAATTGCGTCATTTTTTTTCTATTTTTATGAATTGCGTCATTTTTTTCATTTTTAGAAATTGCGTTCATTTTTTCTAGTTTTTAGAAATTGCGTCATCTTTTTCTATTTTTAGAAATTCCTGCTTCATGTTGCTCTTATTTTAAGAAATTAGCGTCATGTGCTATTTTTAGAAATATGCTTAATGTTTCTATTTCATAATATATACAAAATATAAACAAAACTAATGTGACAAGACAGACCAACTAAATTTATAAAAAGGAAACGTCAATATATGTTCAAACCTTTCTATGTTTGCGTTTAGAAAAAGTAAAAAGTCGAGCGTTGCCCCCGCCCGGCGGTGGCTCTTGTTTTGTTTTAAGGTAGTCTTACTGAAATGCTTTCCGGCAAAATATTTCTAATATCAGCCAATATCGTAATAAACCGGTCATTTCCGGAATGTTTTTTTTCCACAATTTTCGGTATTCAATAAAATCTTAACTTATCAAAAACAGAAAACATAAAGACAACTTTAAAGCTGCATTTTATAAATTTCATAAAAACAGAAAAAGTTACTTTTCATTACTAAAATGGATTTTATATCGACTCCCCTATCAGAGATTTTTTCCAGGATTTTGGGAACACGACCCATACCCATGGAATTGGAAATTTCAGCAGTGTTTTGTTAAAAATTGGGAAAAAATGCATGACTGAAATTTTGCAGTGATAAAATGAATGCAAACAAATACTGTCTAGGATGGCATCTCCAAACATTTAAGCACTATTACAGTGAAGAAGCCCTTATTTGCAAAGATTTTAGAATTTTTGGCCGGGTTGCACTGGTGCAAACCCGGGTTATAGTATGGTGAATGTCCGGCGGCGGGCGGGCGGGCGTACGTGCGGGGAAAATATTTTCGTAACAGTTTTCTCAGCAACTACTTATCATAGCCTCTTGATATTTGGCACATTGTCACATGGTCCCATACTGTGGGATTCAATTTCAGGTCTGCAGTTCATCCACCATCTGTTTACCCCACTTAGTTAAATTTCAACATTAATGGTCAATGGTAGGAAATTTTCTTAACAGTTTTCTCAGCAACTACTTATCACAGCCTCTTTATATTAGCCATACAGCATTGACACATGGTCCCATACCATGGGATTCGATTTTAGGTCTGCAGCTCATCCACCATCTGTTTACCCACTTAGTTAAATTTTCAACATTAATGGTCAATGGTAGGAAATTTTCTTAACAGTTTTCTCAGCAACTACTTATCACAGCCTGTTGATATTTGGCATACAGCATTCACACATGGTTCCATACCGTGGGATTCGAATGCAGGTGTGTAGCTCATCCACTTCCTGTTTACCCACTTAGTTAAATTTTCGACATTAATGGTGAATGGTAGGAAATTTTCGTAACATTTTTCTCAGAAACTACTTATCACAACCTGTTGATATTTGGCATACAGCATTGACACATGGTCCCATACCGTGGGATTCGATTTTAGGTGTGTAGCTCATCCACTCCTTGCTTATCTACTTAGTTAAATTTTCCACATTAATGGTCAATGGTAATTTTTTTTTTTGTAAAATCACAGCCTCATGATATTTGGTGTACAAATGCAACCCGGCCTTTTCTGTCTTTGACCCATTTTTATTCAATATTTTTATTATTTAACTTTCAATTGGGAATTTTTTCCTGTGAATTGGGAAAATAATATACTATTTCCAATTGGGAATATGACCCAATAACGGCTATAAAATAAGCCAAAAAAAAATGCCTGTCTATATTTGACTAGATTTACAACAAAACAGTTTAAAAGGTTAATGAAACTGTAGATTGCTTGGTTTTTAGGCCAACGGCATTTTTTCTTACGTATTTATAAAATACAGCTTTAATTATTTTATTATACATGTATTATTTTATTACAGACAAAGCACACATTAGATGATGAAGGGCTGTATTACCTGGTAACTAATGATGACTATGAGAAATATGTTCAAAACTGGCAGTGGGCAGGATATTTAAAACAGGTATTAACCTTTTCAGAGAACAGAATTTGTTTCTGGATTTCTTCAAGTTGATTGATAAAAAAAATATTGCAATTTCTTATAATATTCACCAGTCACCTCAAAATGTTTCAAAAGAATAGCCCAGATTTTTAAACTGTTTGTTTGTTGTATAGCTCTCCAAGTTGAATTCTATAATAATTAAAAATGAAAAAAAAAAAAAACTTATATCCTTTCGACGGCCATAGTCTAATAAAACGTACCGAAAAATCGACTTCTCAAAAGCAGGGCGCTATAGTCATAAGAAGGCTATAACGTAATAAACCTGTATAAAATTTTGGCTTCCTGAAAGCCACTACTGTTTGTCGTAGGAAGGCCACCAAAATTTAGTTTTAAATGACTAAATTCTTGAAGTTTAACTTTCATTTATTTCATTCTGTTAAATGTTGTTCAAATAAAAACACCAAATATGTTAATTGTATAGGGCCCTTTATTGACAGATATAGTAAATGTTTAGATATACAGTACACTTTTTAATTAATGTGGTAATCAAATCGATATCCAAATTAATTGAAGAAAATCTTCTAAATGGTATAGTATTTTAAAATGCATTTATTGATACATCAAACGGAGTTTCTGTAAGCAGTTCTCTTATTTGAAACAAAAATGAGTTGAACTTACAAAATTTACGTTGAAAAGCATAGTATCAATCACCCTTCCTGAGAAAAATTGATTTTCATTGATTTTCAATAATTACGTTTTAAAACGTTGTGGACGTTTTACTCAACATGGTATTCTAATGGGCTATATCGGTAAATAACGTAGAATTTACCGTTTTAAAACGTTCAGAACTTGTTTTAAAAAACAAGGATTGTGAGTCTGTTTATTGCAGTTGAACGTAATATTAACAGTGTTATACGGTATGGCTTTGTTGTTTATCGTATGCAGTTGAACAGCCATAGCGTAATATTTTGATTTTTCATAAACACATTAAAAAACCAGAATGTACGAAAACGAGATTTTTACGGGTTTGCATGACACAAAATTCAAGTTTTACGCTGATTTACGCTACGGTTTCTAGAAAGGTATATTTTTGATACGTTTAACTACGCTATGGACGACTGTTGTAAAATAAGACTGGCTTTCAGAAATGTAAAAATTCGATACGTTTTCTTACGCTTTGGCCGTCCTACGGGTATAGCGGATGGCCGTCGAAAGGATATCCGTGTATCATAATTTCTGAACAATATTTGACGAGATTTACAACAAATAACATCACTTGACCTTAAATTGGCCAATGAAAAGATGGATAAAAATAAATCTTTACATTGGCCAATTGGTTTTTTTTTTCTATTTATGATATTGCATGGTTTACTATTAGGATAATTGGATCAAAAACCAACACAAATTAAGTATCAAAACATGTTTCGCTTTATTAAGCTTCCTCAGTTGATACATATATAAAAATGACGTAAACGTACAAAACAAACGTCTACGTTAATAGACGTTACATTTGGCGCGTAAAAGGAACGTGATAATATTACAATAAGTATTACAATAAAACATGTGCATATGTATGTATAAATATACTTTTTTAAAAAAAAAACAGCATATATAATTTCGAAAGGAATTACATAAAATAACTGGATCAAAAGATACATATATTTTCATAGGGAAACTAGGCTAGTAAATAATTACAACAAAGTATGAAAACAACAGTTTACTTATGTGAAAGTTTAGAAATCGAAAAAAAATGTGCTTTAATCACATGTTGAAAATTGTAAAAAAGGGGAGATAATAATTTAGAAACATATTTATCAATCAGTATATTTTATAAAGCTATCAAATAAAATGAAAATGATCTATCTATTATCTATTCAAAATATGGTATTATGCTCAAAATCAATTTATGTTATATGAAATAATGAAAAACCATATGAATACATTACGAATAATGTAGTATATAAATGTAACAATCAAAATTATGCGTGAATAAAGGGAGGTAATTAAATACTTATATCATCGACATAAATAATGTATTTGTATAGATTTAAATAAATTAATAACATTTTTAGATACAGTGAATGACTACTAAAATAGAACAGTCTTTTAATGCCGATATGTACTAAAAAAAATATTGACGAGTTTGTAAAAAGTTGCAAGTATATTTAGATCTACTTGAAAACTGATTTTAAAATTTGTAAAGCACTTTTGCATTCAAACCCTTCGGGTAAAATGTTTCTAACTTATGTATCCAGTATGTCTCTTTCAAAAGTCTCCCCATATTATCATGAAGTTTATCAATCGGCATAAAGGAAAAGTCATCAAGTGAGTGATCTTCGGAATTGAAATGAATTGCAACATTAGAAGAAAAATTGGGATGATTATTACTTCTTATATCAAATTTATGGCTGTTCATTCTTTTTGATACCTGTTGATGGGTTTGGCCGACATACTGTATTTTACATTTTTTACAAGTAATTAATTAAATCACGTCACTAGAAGTACAATTTCCATCAAAATGCATTTCGAATGTTTTTCCAGTATTTACTTGTGAATTTACTATGTTCTTCAATATTTTTTACAGTGAGTACATCTTTTTTTTATTATAACACTAATTAGTTTTACCTTCATATTCCGTTTATTTGAGGGAATCTTGAAGATTTTTGGGACGGGTGTATGCTAAGATTGGTTGATGATTATGTAAATTTTTAACACTGTCATTTTCTGACAACATTAAAAGATCCCAGTATTTATTTATGATAAGACCAAGATGGGGAAGAGACGGATTATATGGGATAACAAATGGTATGATTTTTTGCTGCTCTGTTATATTTTGGTTATTTTCCAGAGCTTCTTCTTGGGTTGAATATTTTACTTTTGCAAAAGCAGATTTCAGCTTGCTATCAGGATAATTTCTGATCTTGAAAAAAGATTCTAAATTTATTAGACATTCATGAAATTTATCATTGTCTGAAATGATACGTCTGTAACGTTTGGCTTGGCTGTATGGTATACCCTCTTTACATTTATTAGGGTGGCATGAGTTATACTCCAGATATTGATGGACATCTGTAGGTTTTATATGAATTTCCGTTGATAAAGTGCAATTTTCATTTTTAAGAATCTTAACATCAAGAAATGACACATTTTCTTTCGACATATTATATGTAAATTTAATTGTAGGATGACATCTATTTAATTTGTTTATGAAATCATGTAAAGCACTTATAGAATGATCCCATATCATAAATATATCATCAAGAAAGCGGAGCCAAGTCGAAGGTTTGAGGTCATAACTGTTTAAAAAATCAGATTCTAATTTGCCCATGAATAGCGATGCGTATGAAGTGGCCATAGAACTAGCCTAAAATTTGTAAATTATTCTCCTTTTTAGATTAAAAATGATTATTTTTAAGTGTCAATTTTAGAAGATTGCATATTGCTCCGACCACATTTTTCATTATCAAGAAAGTATTTACAAGTAGCTATCCCATCTTCATGTGGCATATTTGTATACAGTGAAGTTACCGGTACATCTAAAGTAACAAGTACTGAATCTTTTGAAAGTTTAGGTAAAGATTTTAATTTACGCAAAAAATCAGAGGTATCTTTCACATACGACGGTAATAATTTCATATATGGTTGTTACTATTCAGATACAAACTGTTATTAATCACTGAAACCTATGGTCCTCTTTGATTTTATTAAAGGGATACTGCTAAGGTCCAATGTCTAAAAACATAAAATTTGAAAATCTTACATAGATGAGCTAAAAATTAAATTTAATTAATGTTTAATGTTATTCTTAGTCTGCATTTAGGTAAAATCATGTTTATTATAATAAATACTTTTTTTTTTTTTTTTTTTTTTTTAAATAAAAATGATCTTTAAAAATAAAAATGATTATCCTGGAAAAAAATTGAGTCAGCAAATGATCTCAAATTTTACACACAACTTACTGGCATAGGCTTATGTCAAATGGTCTAAAAATTCTGAAAAAAATATTTCCAGGGCCATCATGTCAAAAACCTCAGTGGTGTCCCTTTGTTTTAAACATATTTATTTAAGATTGATTGCCGACCAAGTTCTTGAAACTTTTATGTGAATCACATTTGAGTCCACTTTATTGAACAAACAGTACTGAGGTCATATGAAGAAACATGGAAACATGGTTGTGAATTGATTAGGGCTCGAACCAGTCATCCCTGGGTTGAGAGGCAGACAGCTCCTGTTAGTGGTGTCCCTTTAATTTGCTTTCTAAACTTCCATCCATCAGTGCTTGTCAAACTGTTAACATTTGTTTTGCAGGTGAAAACATTTCAAGAATGTGCAATCATGGTGCGACGACCTGCATTAGATTCCTTTGATATAATTGATAACGCTAATTTTGATTGTCCTCCGATAAAACTCGTTTACTGTATCCTTTTAAAAACAAATCAAAATGCATGATTACTTCTACAGAGGTGAAGTTTTGGTTTAAGGTAATATATCACACTGATGATTCAATAAAACAGAAATGGATAGCTACAAGTATACTATATAAATTACGTAGCGAGAGATGCAGTGGAGATACATGTATAATATCTTGCTCTAATGGGGCAAGCCACTCATCAGTAATATCATTACAAAGTAGTCCGAATTAAACTCTTATATGTTCCATGTTGGGCGCCTAATGTCAAAGTGTGACAAAAATGTGTAGGTTGACCGGGACTCGAAACCAGGACCAGGACTGAGCTATCCGGCTGTTTACTCCTTCCCCCAAGAAAAGTGAACAGTTCTTAACTGTGACATAAACGTTAACTTGAATTGATTTAAAATAATTATTTCTTTTTTTAAGCAGGACATTTTTTTGCCCCTGCATCTAGCACAACATCTTGTATACAGTTAACTTTCAATTAAAAATTGTGTTTATATGACATTTGTTTCAACTGCATAAAACTGCATTTACTCAGGGTTATCTACTCTTAAGGATAATGCACCCTAATGAGCATATATGCAAGTCGACATATTGGCTGTTTCTCAAATAATGATGCCACAACGGAAAATACCCTGCAAAAAAAATGTTTTTAAAAAAGGTATTGCAAATAAAGTTGGAGGTATTGGGCTGATATTTAACGAATGATGAGGGTAAATAATCCTTCAGTGCTGGAAGTTAGTATGATAGGTGGCAGTGTTTACTTTAAACTGAAACCTTAACGTAAAATCAGATGGAAAGTATGGGGCAGGCAAGACAATGACTATGGCTCATGTGCTGCATCGGTATGCAAAGTCAGGCTGGGTCACTATTCATTTACCAAGTAGTAAGTCTTCACACTTTCATATTCAGAGGCTTTCATTAAAAGTTAACTTTAAACCAACAGGAACCGGAAGTGTTTAGCCTTTGCCACTAGTTTAGAGTCAGGTCAGCTGGCACAACCTTGCAGTGTGACCAGACTCTAGACTATAGGTAGCTCCATTTTTAGTTCCATTTTATTCAGAAAAAAAGTGGAGGTATTGTCATAACCCATTCGTAGGTATCAGCATCGGCATTTGTTACCCATTTTTGTTACATTTTTATGCTCCCTGAAAAATTTCTGGGGAGCATATAGTCCCCGCTTTTCTTGTCCGGGACATAACTTTGAAACAACAAGAGGTATCAACAAGAAACTTTGTAGGTAGATAGATCTCATTGAGTAGGTGTGCAGTGCACAAGAACGGTAATTCTGCCTTGCCTAATTTTTGAATAATTCCCCTTTGTTTATTTTTACACTTTGAACTTTGTCCAGGACATAACTCTAAAACTATAAGAGGTATCAACATGAAACTTTGTAGGTAGATAGATCTCATTGAGTAGGTGTGCAGTGCACAAGAACCGTAACTCTGTCTTGCCTATTTTTTGAATTATTCCCCTTTGTTTATTTTTACACTTAGAACTTTGACCGGGACATAACTCTAAATGTATAAGAGGTATCAACATGAAACTTTGTAGGTAGATAGATCTCATTGAGTAGGTGTGCAGTGCACAAGAACGGTAACTCTGCCTTGCCTAATTTTTAGCTCGACTTTTCTATGAAAAGGGGAGCTATCCTACTCGCCCCGGCGTCGGCGTCACACCTTGGTTAAGTTTTTCGTACCACCCCACTTTATTTCAGAAGTATTACAAGTATGGCTTTGAAACTTACCATACTTGTTCACCATCATAACCTCCATCTACAGACAAGAGTACATAACTCTGTCAAGGTTTTTGACAGAATTATGGCCCTTTTTTGACTTAGAAAGTGTATTGAGCTTGGTTAAGTTTTTTGTACCACCTCACTTTATTTCAAAACCATTGGAGGTATTGCTTTGAAACTGACCATACTTGTTTACCATCACGACCTTCATCAACAGACAAGAGGACATAACTCTGTCAAGGTTTTTGACAGAATTATGCCCCTTTTTGACTTAGAAAATACATTGAATATGGGTAAAATCCACTTATTGCCTTAACCCTTTGAGATATTGCTTTGAAACTTTTAATGCTATTTCACATCATTACCCCCATCTGTACGCAAGAGAAGGTAACTCTGTCAAGGATTTGTTTTAAAAATTAAGGCCTTTTATCGACTTAGAATCTTGGTTAAGTTTTTAGTACCAGTCCACTTTTTAGCTCGACTTTTCTATGAAAAGGGAGCTATCCTACTCGCCCCGGCATTAAATAATGAATTGAACTTCCTTCATGTAATTCAAATATCAGTTTACAACGCATTATCTACATAGTGGACCCACGAAAAGTAACCAGTCACCCACAGCCTGTGTGAAAGAGATCCACTTGTGACCAACTGACAACATCTAAAAAAGCTTGATAAAATTTATCTATTACTTGTATTATAAGGTAACTATAATACTTTCACATACAAAGTCAAATCTATATATTATGCTGATTGTACAAAAATATACTGCTTCCTTGGCATAGATTTCTTGAAAAATTATGCTATTATGTCATTTACCAAGGTGTTCTGAGTGACGTAAAAATACCTTATTCTCTCAAAGTGGGTTTAATACTATTAAATTTATTTAAGGCTCAACTCAGTGTTTTTTTCTTTCTTACCAGCCCTCTTTTGACTTAAACATTTCAAACTTTGCTGCAGTGTTCAAGGGTATCACACAATTCAGTAAAATAATTCTTCACTAAATATCTTAATGCTCATGGCCATTGTTCACTTTAAAAATACAGAGATTCTTGTATTGCCTTTTACTGCAAAAACTTTTTTTATTGGCAAGCAATAAAAAAGTCGAGCGCGCTGTCTTACGGACAGGTTTAATTATCCCCCTTTGTTTATTTTACACTTTGAACTTTGTCCGGGACATGACATTACTCTAAAACTATTAGAGGTATCAACATGAAACTTTGTAGGTAGATAGATCTCATTGAGTAGGTGTGCAATGCACCAGAACCGTAACTCTGCCTTGCCTACTTTTTGAATTATTCCCCTTTGTTTATTTTTACTCTTTGAACATTGTCCGGGACATAACTCTGAAACTATAAGAGGTATCAACATGAAACTTTGTGGGTACTAAGTTCTCATTGAGTAGGTGTGCATTGCACAAGAACTGTAACTCTGCCTTGCCTATTTTTTTAATTGTTCCCCTTTGTTTATTTTCACACTTTGAACTTTGTCCAGGACATAACTCTAAAACTATAAGAGGTATCAACATGAAACTTTGTAGGTAGATAGATCTCATTGAGGAGATTAGCAGTGCACAAGAACTGTTACTCTGTCTTGCCTAATTTTGGAGTTATTGCCCTTTGTTTATTTTAACACTTTGAACTTTGTCCGGGACATTACTCTAAAATTATAAGAGATATCAACATGAAACTTTGTAGATAGATAGGTCTCATTGGGTAGAAGTGCAGTGCTAAAGAATCATAACTCTGCCTTGCCTTATTTTGAAGTTATTGCCCTTTGTTTATTTTTACTTTTTGACTTTTGTCCGGGACATAACTCTAAAACTATTAGAGATATCAACATGAAACTTTGTAGGTAGATAGATATCATTGGATAGAACTGCAATGCTTAAAGAACCTAAACAAAGCCTTGTCTAATTTTGGAGTTATTGCCCTTTGTTCATTTTTACACTTTGAATTTTACCCGGGATATAACTCTGAAACTATAAGAGATATCATCAGGAAACTTTATAGATAGATAGATCTCATTGAATAGAAGTGCAGTGCAAAAAAAACATAACTTTGCCTTGCCTAATTTTGGAGTTTTTGCCCTTTGTTCATTTTTTATGCTCCCCGAAAAATTTCGGGGGAGCATATAGTGGGCGCCTTGTCCGTCTGTCCGTCGGTCTGTCCGTCCGTTTTCTTGTCCGGAGCATAACTTGAAAACCCTTGGAGATAATTTGTTTAAACTTCATACAGTGATAGAGGGCATTGAGGGGGAGTGCAGTGTCAAAGAACCATAACTCTATTTTGCCCGGTTTTTGAATTATCTCCCCTTATAGAAAAATCTTGTCCGGGGCATTACTCTAAAACTATAAGAGATATCAACATGAAACTTTGTAGGTGAATAGATCTCAATGGGTAGATGTGCAGTGCATAAGACCAATAACTCTTTTTGTCCTAATTTTGGAGTTATTGCCCTTTGTTAATTTCAACACTTTGAACTTTGTCCTGAACATAACTCTAAAACTATAAGAGATATCAAGATGAAACATTGTAGGTAGATAGATCTCATTGAGTAGAAGTGCAGTGCAAAAGAACCATAACTCTGTTAAGCCTCATTTTTGAATTATCTCCCCTTATAGAAAAATCTTGTCCGGGGCATAACTCTAAAACTATAAGAGATATCAACATGAAACTTTGTAGGTGAATAGATCCCAATGGGTAGATGTGCAGTGCATAAGAACAATAACTCTTTTTGTCCTAATTTTTGAGTTATTGCCCTTTGTTAATTTTAACACTGAACTTTGTCCGGAACATAACTCTATAATTATAAGAGATATCAAGATGAAACATTGCAGGTAGATATATCTCATTGAGTAAAAGTGCAGTGCAAAAAAAACATAACTCTGTTAAGCCTCATTTTTGAATTATCTACCCTTTTAGAAAAATCTTGTACTGGACATAGCTGTAAAACTATAAGAGAAATCAACATGAAACTTTGTAGGTAGATGTATCTCAATGGGTAGATGTGCAGTGCACGAGAATCATAACTCTGCCTTGCCTAATTCTGGAGTTATTGCCATTTGTTTATTTTTACTTTTTGAATTTGTCCGGAACATAACTCGGAAACCATAAGAGATATCAACAAGAAACTTTGTAAGTTGATAGATAACAGTGATTAGAAGTGCAGTGGAAAGAACAGTAACTCTGCCTTTCCTAATTTTGGAATTATTGCACTTTGAACTTTTTCCAGGGACATAACTCTGAAACTACAAGAGGTGTACTTTCCTGTGTCCAAAACCTATTCGGGGAGCATCACCCGGCTCAAACCGGGCTCTTGTTTTATACTTTCCTGTGTCCAAAACCTTCTCGGGGAGCATCACCCGGTTCAACCGGTTCTTGTTGTTTATGGTCAATAACTTCAGTACTAAAAAAAGCTAAAACGTTGTATAAAGTCGAGGGAAAAATTTATGCCAAACAGTTTATCAGAATTATGCCCCTTTACTTCATTAATAAAGTACTGAGGAAAAAAAAGCATGTACTGCTCCTGAAACATCTCTTGTTGAGTTTTGATTTTAAACTTGAACTTCAATACAGTTTGATATTTATATAACAGATATGATATGAAATTGATATGAAATTAAAATCTGATTTCTGTATTTGTGTTTTTTAGTAATGGAATGGCTGAGATATAGAAAAACGAAGAGTCGAGCATTTTCGCTGTCATCGTACAAGGACAACGTTTATGACTATACAGACGATGCATTTGATTGGCTGATATACTTTAAAAAACAGAACGGACATCTGCTACAAAACTTTAAGGTATTATATTAGTCATTTCCCCGCTGGGACAGAAAAAGATTAGTTTTTGCCATCAGTATAGAGCAAACTTCAAATTTTTAGTCATGATATCCCTAACGTTGATAATTGACATTTCCAAAAATTTAAGCTGGACAAGTTTTATCTACGAAATTTAGCAGGTTATGGTTTTTTTTTAATGTAATACAATTCATAAAAATATGTTTGTCACAAGTTAGTCACATAATAATACCACTTTTCCGCCTCGTAAGTTGAAACATATTTATTTAAGCCTGATTGCAAAATAAGTTCTTGCAACTTAAATGAATTGCTTCAAGTCCATTTCCTGGAACTAAGCAGTACTGGTGTCATATGAAGAAACGTGGTCGTAACCTGAGTAGGACTCAAACCCATGATTCATGGGTTGAGAGGCAGACACCTTAACCACTAGGCCAGCGTTTCCCTCGAATGCAAACATTAAAACAGGGCCATGCATATTATATGAAAATTAACAGTTTCATATGAAATATATTCCTATGTTATTATATTTTCACTGATGTAATGTTGATTTTATTTATTTTTGTGCCCCCACTTTAGGGGGAGGCGGAGCATTTAGATTTACCCTTGTCCGTCCGTCTGTCCATTCTCATTTTGTGTCGCACGTAGCTCAAAAAGTATTTGACCTGGAATCATGAAACCTTACAGGAATGTTGCTCAGCATGTGAAGTTGTGCACCTGGGTATTTTTGTGTGGATATATTTAATATTTTAAGAGTTATTGCCCTTGACTTAGTAAAAATTTGCAATTTTCAACTTGTGTCGTACATAACTCAAAAAGTATTTGACCCAGAGTCATGAAACTTTACAGGAATATTGATCAGCATGTGAGTTGTGCATCTGGGGTTTCACTTAAGAAATAACGTTGTCCTGAGAGGTGTATATCGGCTATTTAACACCGGTTTGGAGTTTTGATGCGTAGGAATTGACTAATTATCGTTAATTTTGTCGCATCAAAACGACAAAACCGGTGTTAAATAGCCGATATACACCTGTCGGGACGATGTTATTTCGATTCTAACACGATAAAATAAGGAAAATCACTAATGTTATTTTTCAAGCGGAAATAACTTCGGGTGCCTATTATCGTATAACGCTGTTCGATTTTCGCATCCTACTCTTGCGAAGATATATAAACTATTAAACAAAAGAAATAATAAGAAAAAAACGTTATTTTATCAAGTTTTCAACATTAAAAACTTACGTCGTATTGTGTTTACATCAGTGTCCCATTTATCATTCCTGTATGTATGAAATAACGTCAGCTTGTTTATGAATGAGTTGTTTACTTAGGATGACGTCATTACGCTGCTTATGGATTGGCGCCGTTTTGTCAAAATATTTATTTATAACTAATATGGATCTAATATATGGCGTTAGTGTATGTGAGATATTATTTCGGTATTGTATGAAAAGAAAACATTATACAAACTGAAAATATAAATAAAAATGCTTTTTATTGTTGCTTTAAAATGCTTTATAAACTATACAATCAAGGGTGAAAACATAATAGCGCATATACAAGTAGTCCCTTACCGGTGTTTATTGACAGTTTAACACCAGTTTTTTTCCTTCTTTGTCTATAGTGACAAAATCACGTGAGTGTTAGAATTGTGGATTTATTCTGTTTTGTCAGAGTTATTGCCCTTGACTTAATGAATAACAAATACTTTTTGAGCTACATGTGACACATGTTGAAAATTGCAAATTTCTACTTAGTCAAGGACAATAACTCTACAAATACTAAATAAATCTGAAAGAAAGTACTCAAGTGCACTGATCAACATTCCTGTAAAGTTTCATGACCCTAGGTCAAATACTTTTTGAGCTAGGTGTAACACAAGTTGAAAATTGCAAATTTTCACTTAGTCAAGGGAAATAACTCTGACAAAACATATATATTCACAAGCAAAACCCTGGATGCAAAACTTCACATGCTGATCAACATTCCTGTAAAGTTACATTACCTAGAGTCATAAGATTGACAAAACAGTGGAGTGTGGGGACACCTGTTTCCTATGGACACATTTCTAGTTTTGAGTCAACTGTTATATATTGTTAGATATGCTCAAACATTTATTACCGGGGTATATGTTATGTTTAATTAATACAGAACTATTTTTCATGCTATTGACTGAAATCCAGTTATACCCCAAAATGCTTTTATTTTCATTTCTCAAAAACTTTTTGTTGTCTGGTTAAAGTTGCCAGAAAATTACGAATGAGCCTTTAGCAGCTTGAATCAATTTTTGCTCTGATGCTATTTAGCAATTAGTAAAGATAAAGTGATTTTGTATGAAAGTCAACAAATACAATACATTCATTGCTACATTCTTTAAGTAACAAGCATCTATCATGCTTTAAAACCAAACATTGTAAAAATCCTGTGTGCCCTATCTAAAGAAGGAAAACTTTATTAGTTTCTCAGGCATAATATGTCTTTAAGAAAAAGCCTAAATACACTTGCTTCATTTTTGTTTCAAGTATTTATGTATGTTTTTTCGCAATATTTTCAGTGTATATGGTAAATATCATGTTAAATTTGTGTAGAGTCCCATGTTTGATTTGTTAAACAAGTTGAATAAAATTATACTGAATCTACTTTTTCAGACCACCAAAGACTATACATGGTCGTTAAGGGAGAAGACTCTAGAGGGGAGTGGCTTGTTGGATATAATTGACTTTGTGAGTTGTACAGAATAGTTCATGTTCATATCTATGTTGTAGTAACAAGCATCAGGTCGGATGTGGTCCAAAATATAGAATATATTGATATAATGTAATAAACACTTATATACCTTGTTGGAACCAGATTTGGTTGAAGGATTTATATACATGTATGTTTTTCATGCCCAAAAAAGTTACCTTACTTCACATACATGCATGCTAGCCTACTTCTGTCACTTTGTATAATCAAGGGTATACATGTAGGTGTGGATATGAATTGCATTCAGCAATACATCTAGTTGCACATTACTGCTGTTATACAAGTTGGTAATAAAATGACACTTTTAAAAAATTAATATGGAATTGTCTTTTGCTTTTGTCTCAAAAAAAAGAAGTTTGTTTTATAAAGAAAGAAAATGTTAAAAACAAACATGTAACTGAAATCTAGCAGCATGCACTTCTGATGAATATCCTTTTCTATTTCTATAATGTAATTTCAATGAAATTCCAACACGATAATAGCAGTTTTTGGACATGTTTTACATTATTCTTTTACCAGGGCATTGATCGTAGGAAGTATGCATCAGATTGTATTGGTGTTTTATTCAAAGAAATTAAACAACTGGCGTCAGATAAAAAGTAAGTATTTAACTCGTAACCAACTGGATTTGAAAGTGATAAGCGTGTAATGTTAGTTAGTTTGGATAATACAAAATATTATATAAATTATTTTTATATTAATAATTTCATATGTAAGAAATAATGTCTCCAACAGTGATTTTATCGCTAAATAAAGTCACTGTTTGGAGTTGGGATGATGCTTGGGATACATTATTTTGTTTCTAACATGACATTAACAATTAAAAGCTGATTCCCTTGATATCAAGCTAAATTGTGCAAGAATTTTTTTTGTTTCCGTATTTGTTTACAGCGTGTCATATTTTTAATGCTTACATTACATGTCTAGAAATAAGATCATTAGCAGAGTGATTTTATTGTATATTTACACACCCTTTTGGTCCTTTGTTCAGTAGGGATAAATGCAGATCATGTTAGAATATACAATAAATTTCTTAAATTTTCATTGGTCAACATTCTCTTTATATTATTTAATAAATATCACCAAGAAATTATTATTATTACTCTGGTTAGAATGTATTCACCACATACAATTACTTAATGTTTTGTTTTTTCAGATTGAAGGTTCTTGTTGCAGTGGAAGGTTTAAATGGGTTTTGGAGAAACACTTCTATTAAAGATGAAGAAAGAAAGCTAGTAAGACTTTACATAATTTAAGTTTATAAGGTTTATAACTTTAATGTCCTTATGTCTGTCCATACAGTTGACCTGTTTTGGCAAGGCCTTTTTGTTACTTAGAATTTTTATGCCCCCACTTCAAAGAAGAGGGGGTATATTGCTTTGCACTTGTCGGTCCGTCGGTCCGTAGACCAAATGGTTTCCGAGTGATAACTAAAGAACCCTTAGGCCTAGGAACTTCAAACTTGGTATGGTGATTGGTCATGACCAGTAGATGACCCCTATTGACTTTGGGGTCAAGGGGTCAATGTCATATTGACCTTGTACTTAATGACGGTTTCTGACCAATAACTCAACAACTCAAGTTGCCTTGGTTGATATTTTTATATTAAACTAAAATGCTTTTGGTATACACATTTGAAGGTCTTCTGTAATATAACAACTTGGCTGTCATTAATGAGGCCTACATGATTCATAAAATTTATGCATATATTATTTGGTAAGATTTGTAATAACTTAAATTGCTGCACACAACCTATGGGGTCACAATAATTATTACCCTGTGACTAGTCATGACCAGTAGATACTAGATAACCCTTATTAATTGTTTGTTCACTGGGTCAGAAGTCATGCAAAATAACCTGATTACATGACTAATTGGCTGCCCATAGGGGGCATATCTTGTTTGTTATGGTTTATTTCTAAATGTCTTGTAGACATTCACTCAGTTGTATACATGTACTGTCAAAATAGAAATGCATTTTTGAAGGGCAGATAACCCTGGAAATATTTTTGCTTACTTATCTCCCTTTTTGACTTTTTTGTTTTCTTTATTTTCTCAAATACCATAACAAATAAACACTTCAAATTTCAGTTACTTGTTAACTATCAAGGGCAGGTAACTCTTTCAAGGATTTTTGTAGAATTATGTCCCTTTTCTACTTTATTTTCATCATACTTTCTAGTACTGAGAAAAATGAAACATACTTTCCATGGACAGGTCATATTAATGTTGTGAATCCAGGTCGAACTATTTCTGTAAATCATTAATTATTTATTAACACTGAAGAATTTTTCATTGTGTAATGTTTTTATTATAGGTGAATGCACAGAAGGTGTCAACATTTAGACATTTCTTAAATCTTTATAAACCAGACTGGGTAAGTGAAATGAATTAAATGAATGATCAAGTGACATATAACAATGACATAGTAATATATCACATGTCATTTTATCTCAAAAGCATTAACTTTATAGAAGAGTTATTTTGTTTGACACATCTCAAGTTTTTAGGGGTTTTGTGACTTTGTAAGATATATTCAATATCACTCTTATTCTGAGATAAGCTTCAATCCATATATTTGTATCCTGTGAAATATCATAATGCAAGTGATATCAGTTCAGAGTTTTTGCTCGTTGAAGTTGCTTGCTTTTCTCGGGATGTTTAAATATTGCATGAATGTGAGCAAGACATTCAAAGGTGTAAGGTATTTTGTTGAACAATCTTGAAAATACCTTCAGATTAAAACAACTATCAAAATGTGTTCACATAACACTTGTCATTTCTATCAGTAGTATCTCCTATAATTCATATGTTTTGTAAGACATACATCTGACTTCCTTGATATAACTCACAACAGCTTTTTACTAGTTTTAACTTGGTCTATCCTCATATCATATAGATATAAATGTTTCTTCATAAATGCCATCATGATCGGTAACGTGTTTCAGCAACTTCAAACGTAGCATTACATTCACCATACATTTTCAAAAGATTGCATTACAGTGATTTTCAAACATACAAATGAGAGGGTTTTTTTAAGTGCCAAATTCTGGAAGCATACTCGACCTGTACATTTAACCTCACTTGAAAGTTTGATGTAAAAGCGGGATTGTGGTTTTGTATAACAGTAGCTGGACAGACCATAATGTATGTTATTATTTACATTTTTTTTTCAATACAGAATAATGGTGTGTGTATTGGTACAGTGTGTCAGAATGTTGACACGTTAGACGAACCAGATCATGAGCCAGAGAAAGTGCCCTATACTCCAAAATACCTTCTCAAAGATGAGGTAAGCACTGTGTAGAATCTATTACATGAATGGGTTTGAGCCATACTGGGGTCACAACCTTGTTTTGTCGTATGACACCATTCCTGGTAGATTCCGGGAAGTGAACTCAGAAGTGGTTCAAATAGGTTTTAAGCTTTCACCACAAATTTATGTCAAAGCTGTGAAAACCCACTTTGCAAATTTGTGCCTTTTAATCCTGATTTGAAGTGTTCGCTGTACAATAAGTGGATACCTATTTTGAAAGAATTATGAATGGTTTGATCCAGATTGAAAGTCCATTGAAGATATTTAGCATGGATAGGGTTAATGGATTAGCCTTGCTCTTTTACAGTTGATAATTGATCTGACTTTTGAATTGATGAGTAATTTTTAAGATTTCTATAAATAATATTATTGTGTGTTTTCAGGGTTTCCAGTGCTTTGACCCATTTGTTCCAATGTTGGTACCCGAGTACAGTCCAAAGGAGGCTCATAATTGTATAGATTATTATATTGAGAGGAAATGGATTATCAAGCCTAGAAGTAAGTTTTTATTATTATTCGCCCACTTAGTTTAATAGGGAGAGCATTAGATTTATAGTCCAGGCATTGCTGGTTTGATCCTCTATCAAGGCAGAATTTCTCTATAACAATTGATCTCTGACATAGAGTCTAATATTCATTTGTCTCTCAATGCTTATTAAGAAATCAGGAGTGATTTGTAGTCAGTTACTTGCAGAGAAATTGGTAATTATTCGTTAGTTATCCAGAAAAGCTGATTAGATGGACTGGGTATAGATATTACCAAGATATAACCAAAAATGTGGGGGGAAAAAAACTTCGGCTAAATAAACAAAGAACACAATTTTTGATTCATTGACCAAATAGAAACTGTTCAGTATGTCTGTTCTCGTCCTTTTCATCAAGGAAGTTGTTTAAAAATCTGATTGAAGATTGGTGGTACTACTTTGGTTCTAGCTCATGTCTGAAGTAATGCACAGATTGGAATTTTCTAGGTCTTTTTCTACCAGTATAGCTAATATAGTCACCTTGACTCTGTTGTGAATTAAGACCCTTGTCTTTAAGAAAAGGAGTATTATTAGTGGAAGCAGTAATATTGACCACTCTATGCCACTAAATTCAGGCACATAGTCCTACCCCATTCCATGCAAATTTTTCTGCTCAGTTGTACTATCCTCCCACCATAGGCGGAGGAATATAATTTTGTGTCTGTCACACTTTCTGTAACATAAAACTAAAACTATTTTAATTAATCTTAAACTTTATATGTGGTAACACCTCATAGAGGAGAAGTGCAATACTCTAGAACCATAAGTTAACATCTTTAAATTATTTAATGGTTTTATTGCTTTACGTCAAGATGAATGGATTTTATTATTTTGTTTTGTAGGTTTAACAGAGCACGGAAAGAAAGAACTTGTCTTGCTTAGTAACCACAATCCCAAAATGCTCATGGAAATCGCTAAATATTGGTAACAAGTCTACCAAATTCAGACATCATTCCTTTATTTTGAAATGTGCAAGTGTTACAACAAATTTGGAAAAAAATATGACAGTAAACCAGTCAAAAAAGTAAAAATACCTATTGACCATTGGTTGCTTTCAAAAACGTAACAGCCGGTCAGAAGAATGGATATTTTCAGATTTTGATAATTTGGGTACTTTTAATATGGTAGAGCGATTTTTACTTCATATTTAATTACAGTTAAGTGGCCGGATTTACTTCTACAAGATTTGATAATCCAAGTCATACTGGTTAGTATTCAACCACCAGAATGTTAGTTAAAAATTGCTAAATAAATGAATGTTATCACAATATGGGAGAAGAGAGTTGGCGTGTAAAAAATGGAGTTTGATCATAAAAATAAAATAAAATTACTTTTTTTAGAATGTTGTTTCTTTTTTCATATATTTTATTAAGATTTTTAGCAGATATAAAATGTGCTTTATTGGGATCAATTTTGCCATATATTTTGGAAGCATCATCAGTCGTAAAATTTGTGCTGTCATTTTCATTAAATTTTAATGGCAACTGAATATTTCCTATATAGTAACAAGCCCATGAAGAAATACATGTAGTTGGATGTGAAGGCAACTTATGTATATTTTGTGATTTATTTTGTAAAGCTAAGGGCCGTAACCCTGCTTGATTAATGCTGTCGAAATTACCAGTACTTGTACATCCAAAGATCACCGTAATTTCATCAAGTTCCTTCAATGTTACATGGGAATTTGGGATCGAAGGAGAGTGATGGCTGAAGCAAAATAATACACTTGACAAGGATCTAAAATGATCAACAAGACAAAGCCATACTTCAATTCAAACAACTTACAGTACACAAGATCAACATCTTTAAAGTGACATTATGCTTATTTTTACATAATTTAGTTCTTTACTTGAACTGATAAATTATTTTAATGGCAATTAAACAATAACTGATAATTACGAATGTATAGGATAAAATATAGAAGCTGTCTAAAATATAAAAAGAATGCCCCACTTTTTTTATAAACTGAATATTACTGACTTTTTTCTGAAGAATATTTATGTTGGTCACAGGTGTTACTGATTACCGGTGCTCAAGTGACCTTTATTAAAAACAAATATGACAATATGTAGTGATATTTTAATTTTACTTAAAAACTCACCGTGTACTCTTGGAAGGGCATAATATCAATTTAAAAAACTGAATAACATGTCATGATCTATATACAGTACAGCCTTAACAGGACAGCAACCTGTGGGACACAAAGGTTATGCTTGACAGAGTGTTGCCAACTTGCTACAGATTAAGTAATTAATTAATCTAACTTTGATAAGAAATTACAATGAATTGTTACTGTTGTTGTGAAGAGTTAATTGCTATAGGGAGGTTGCACTGTTTATATGTTTGTATACTTGCAGAGTAACAAATCTTAACTGTAACATCAAATATCAATGACAAAATGGTCTTATGGTTTAACATAATGTTTTAAATTTCAGTTCATTCTTCATATATTTTAGAGGTGGTCTTAAAACTGAAAGGAAAATGATCCAGGCTTTTTATGTTTTCATACTGCATGGTCCTCTTCAAATTACTATGAGCATTATCGGAGGAGACAAATGATTTGCTTGAATCTTTCCTATCGTCTGTTGTACTTGAATTCTGTGCTGATGAATCCAGCCGGGATAAGCTGTCAGTGTAAGCTTTATGAAGGGTGCGTCCATGGATCCTAGAATCATTCACAGAATCTCCTTGCTGTTCATTTGTTGTCATATTTCTGTTACAAATAAAAACAGTATTATGAATGGAATTTTTGGAATATAATGTCCAATGAAAAATGAAGACACTACTATACTAAGCACGGGCAGGAATCAATTGTCCGTATTGCACAGGTTGTCCCACAGCCAGTACGGACAAGTAAAATTTTACCAAAATTTTCTTTATAAATAAAAGAAAGAAATCAGATAAAAAGGACAGTCAGTCAAAATCAAATTTTGACGGTCTGCTAGGAAGTTATTTTCTAGAAATAAATAGAGGATATTGAATGAGTGTAAGTTCAATACTGAATTTATTGCACGAGTTGAATAAAATTATATTATGCGAGCCTCTGGCGAGCATATTATTTTATTCAACAAGTGCAATAAATTCAGTAATGAACTTACACGAATTTAATATTCTATTTATCACATACCCAATATAAAGAGTGTTTAAAGTGAAATAAGAGTGATTTTATATTGATGCGTCTATAGTATAACGCTAACATTTAGCGCATGTTTACACTATGTTTGTATAACGCTAATGACGTCACGTCAAAATATATGCACGGCCGTGCAATACCATTTTTACGGAGTCGCAAAATCGGCACGGGTGTGTGATAAAGGGTCATATGCAGTGTAATTTCAGACCCACATTGTGAATAAACAAACACATAAGTCACTTGGTTGATTTAGAAATGAGTGTTATCAATTTGATTCCATTTCAGACCTCAACCCCTAACTGACATTCTCTTTCAAGAGCAAATATTAAAAATTCAGAAATTTTTACCATTAATTTTGTTATTCAGTAATAGATTAAGGATAGAAGAATATGATTTTTTAGGGCAGAACTTGTTCATCGCTGTTGACGCTCGGTATTTAGAAACAGAAACACTTACAGTTTAGCCTGTTTTTGATGCAGCTGCTGACTGTGATAGTTAACAGGATTTACTTGAATTCTTTTTTTCTTACCCTCTTTCTTAGATCTGCAAATTAAAATAAAAATTTCAAAGTAGTTGTCATCTACAGTTTACCGATATTTCCTAGAAATGGATATGACGACACAAGCTATCTAATGTATAAAGCCTTAAATCACCTGATCATTTCTTCAAAAACAAAATGTTTTGTGTGAACATACAACTTCTATTTTATATTTTGACATCAGTTCTTTAGCTAAGTGGTTTAGAGCTTTAGGTTTATTTGTCTGTAAGCCAAGGATCATGAGTTCGAATCTTACATAGGATTTTTGAGCTCTGAATGACCATAAGACTTTCTATACTTTTTAAAACTGCCGATATTTGATAAACATAAGTTAACTTATTTTACAGTTACCTTTTCCCAAATAAGTCATTAGGATGTGGAAGTGAACTGAATGGTTGAATTGGAGATTCATTTTCAAATATCGGACAATCGTATTTCCGCTTAGATGCTTTTGGACTTTTCCTGTCTGGACTAGTCTGTCTATATACAGAATAACCACTTCGCTGAAAAATGTTTAGATACAGTGTGATTAAGAAGACACAAAACAATTTTAGAGAGGTGGGGGGGGGGGGAGTATAATTAAAGTGATTTTACATAGAAGTTAAATATACCAATACCCAATATAGCTTACAAGCATTGTCTTGACTTCAAACAAATTCATACTATATAACTTTAAGGCCAATTTTCAATATTTTCATAATTTTCTTGTGGTGTCTAGATTTTTTGAATTTTAATTAGAATTTTATAAAATGCTGCTTAAGGCTTCATACCAAACCTAAATATTCTGCTGCCCTATAATTCTGTGTGGGTAAATTCCTGAAAAAAGAATATTAAAATTTAAATTCAATATTTGTTTAGTGATTTTATTAATCATTTTCAGCTGAAGATCCTGCTTTAAGTTTACTTAGCATCAATTTTTAGGTAAATATAGTCCAGCGCATTTTTTTCAAGCTGTAATTTTAATGGTAAAAATAATTAAGTGGATGGACAGATAAGCATTCTAACAAGACAATACTTTAATATGTGGCTACTCTATTGTTTTTTCTATTATTCTTTTCAGCCATATAAAGGAAAATAGCTTTATGGAATGAATGACATCAGAGAAAGTACTGTTTCTTATTTCTCCTCTAGCCACATAAGTATTCAATTGTAAGCTCATTACAAAAATAAAAGATATTCATGTAAGATGATTTTAGAATTTATAAAAATCTACATAAGCAAACAAGAGAAAGCTTACATGGTGTTTGAGCAAAAGATAGTGTTTTCATCTCCCTCTTGATGGCTATCATCAAAGGAAGCACTCTGATCTGCCTCTAACCTGCCTACAAGCTTTGATTTCCTGGAAAATATTTCTTTCACTTGCAACACAGTATGTAAATTAATTATAAAAATAGATCTTTATTATAAAACGCATACATTTTCAAGATATCCCTACAATTGTACAGTACACATGCAAGAATGGCATCAAGTTCTCATTTTAAATATTTTATCAAAGGATGCCAAAAAATGTTCGCTATTAAAAAACGTTTGTAAAACACTCCTGTCAAAATGTCAAATACTTATTCCTTATCATCAATTACATCTTATGTGAAAAGGTTCATAACTCTTGAAGCAACATTTTCAGATTTATCTCTGAACTTTGGATTTTCTTTGAGATTATTATAACTTCTTTACTTTTTAAGGTATCTACTTCAAATGTATATTTCTTATCATTACACACGTTGTGTGACAAGGTTCATAACTCTAGCATGACTATTTCCAGAATTATTCCCCCTTGAACTTTATGTTTTATGAATTTATGTTAACAAATGATATTTTTTTACTATAACTTAATATATAATTGATTTTTCTTTCATAGTTTTGTCTTCCTTACAGCGTCCAGTATTTTAACAGTCGAGCTTCGCTGTCTCCTAAGACAGCTCTTGTCTCACACACTATTAAAGCAGGAGCAACAACTAATCTAATCACCAACAAATCACTAAGGTGCTTAAATTCACTTGATGGTAGATATTACAAATCTTGCAGTAATATTTTTGGAGTTACTGACTTTACTGTACACATGACACCAGTAAATCAAAGCACAGAAGGCGCTGAATTTGTTTGGATCTCAGACTAACAGAAAGGTGAAGGTTGTGAGATTATAAAACATTTTGTTTTTGTATAGTGCCACCAATGCTTTCCAGCGTTTTAATTGTAGTAGATTGGCTATAAAACTAATTGCAACACTGATATTCGATCCAATGTTTATTTGACTTAAACAATTTGAAAAAAAAAAATTTGCCTTAACTGGGATTTGAACTCCAGATCTCTCGCTTCCTAAGCGAACGCGCAAACCCCTTGGCCACGATGGATTTACATTTTAACGGCCTGAAGAAAACCATATTATTCTAGTTAGGGTTTGTAACGACGCTAACTGTTGTTTAACACTTGTGTAAAAAATCATGGCGCTTACTATAAGCATGTATATCTATAAAAAAATAAAGCAATATTAGAAATCTTCGATCACTCGGGAAATATTTTGCTTGAAAATTAATCCGCCTGTCATGTGACCATATTTACGCAGTGATCTCCCCTAAATTTTTCGGCCTAAGTGTTACATATAAAGGGAAGTAACCGCTTCAGAGCGAACCTATCTTTCGGCACTCAATGCTTAAACAGCTTAGAGTTTAAATCTTGCGTAATTATTTTGGTTTGTTCTGACAGACCCAAATAAAAATGCTATTTTTGCTTAATCAGGGGCAATATATCTGCTAATCTTCAATAGGCCTAAATCAGCACTCAACAGTATAAGTTTACATGCTGACAGCTACTCTTAGAAAGTTCCATTGCTTTAGCTGTTATATTCTTGAAGAAAATACTTCCTGTAGACTACTTTACAAAGGATACAAGTTTTAAAATGATTTTTTAGCATTATCAGGGGCCATAACTCTGTTGATATCTACTGCTTTGCTCAAAGCATCTTGCTCGTTATTAAACTCTATCTGGCAACTATTCTTATCAAGTTTCAATGTTCAAAAATAAAAACCTCCCCTACAGCTAAAAGGGTGAGACATGCAAGCTTACAATATAAAAGACATGTTTTGTGTCGTCTGCAAACTGGAACTGTGTATCGCTTTCAGTACAGTGTACAAGAAGACTCTTTAAAAACCGTACGCCTTTTAAATAGAATAATCACCCATATCAAAAATAATTAAAGAACATGATCTGATCTTTTCTATTGTTATTATTATTGTTGAATTGCCCTCGGGTTACATCGTATGTCTGGCCATTTCGTGCAAATGAGGGTTTTTCGTGGTCTTTTCGCAATTTTGGTACACAATATTTGATGACGTCATTAAGTAACTGTGGAGTTGTTTACAAATGGCGGCCAATTAAGTAAACACGTAGTTTGCTGATTTAGAAATTTCACTTAGGTTTAAGGGTAAGATATATCTTAAAATGCATAGTTTGAGACTAATGAATACCAAAACATAACAATATTGATAACATATTGCTTAGCATAATCAAATTGCCTAAAAAAATGGCATTCGTCCACTTTTTGGCAAATTATTTTATTGGTACAATGGTAGTGAACCGTTGCATATTTCAATAAGTATACTGGTCGGGGACCACCAAAACCGGACAACCATCAAACCCGGACGGCCCAGAAAATGCTTAATTTCGTATTTTCCTTGTTCAGTGGTTGTCAGTCACTTTTGTATCAACAATAAATGTATGTTTCTTCTAAAATTAAGTAAATAATTTATTTCAACCTCCATAAAATGTTAATAATTTAATGTCTATTTCAAGAATGTTGACATTGAAATTTGGTGGCCAAGAAAGCAATGCCTGACCTCATATACCAGCTATAACTATTTGCAGAGTAAACAATAGAATATCCAAAACTTCAGCATTTGTTGCTGACATATTGTATATCATGTTAAAAATCAAAACACCCCAGCTTTTATCTGAATTAAATCACGTCATGTACATATCTGTCCGGACACATGGTACTGTAGTGTAGACAATTTAGGTAATTTTGATACCCCTCCTTGTCGAGCCTCAGATATAAGTGTCAATGCATTCAGAAATAAACAAACTAGTTTGTTAGTTAAGAGAAGAACCTAGCTGAACTGTGTCAAATTTTTAGGTCTCTATGTTAAAAATCATGAAATCTGTACGAAAAAATGTTCAAAAAGTGTCCGGTTGATGGTCTCCGACCAGTACTGGTGCCTCGTATTTTTTGTGGTACACATATTTCCAAAGTATCAGGCTTAAACAGTCTAAAGTGCCTCCTAGACTTAATGAACCTGCCAGTAGTTTTACTTTCAATATTTTATTGTATTTTTATCGAAATGTAACATAGAACTAAAAAAAAAATATTTTATTCAGATTAAGAGCAAAGTTATTTAATATTTCACCATTTTTGTTTAAGATTTCATACCTTTTAAGAAAATCTTTTTTTTTAAACAACCATTGAGGTATTTGATAAATGCCAAAGAGAAAATCACCCCTTTCAGATTAGTTCTGGCTTCCAAAACTTTATAATTAAGCCGCTATTTAACATTTTTGTTTTTCATCAGATGCGGCATTAAAGTTTTGGATTAGACCCGTTACGAAACCTAACCAGAATAACATAAGTTGATTTATTCTTATTTTTCACTTGCAAATACACTTGACCAAATCAATTCTTGTGCATTTTACGATAAAACAATTATTTTAATATCGTTCTATACCAATTAAAGTATCAAAATATTAATACCGTCATTAAAATTGCCTATTTAAATGTGAAACATCAATCTACGCCGACTATAGTCGTCCATGACATTTAGGTGCCACGCGAGACCTCGTATGACGTCATTCGTCGGAACCGATTTGAATTGAGTGGTGTACTATATTTAGAACATTTTGTTGACATGATTTCGATGCTTTTATTTAAGATAATGTTTTAATTTATTTTCATTAATTTTTTAGTACTTAAATATGATTTTATTAAATATAAAAATCAGTAAATCACCTTTTTCAATATCTTTAAAAAAAGTAATTTATAAAATATTAGAAGCACATGGGTGCGTAAAGGTCAATCTCGTAATCACGTGGTCAAACATTTCGGCAATATGGCGGCCAAGTGCAGGAATTTTTACCTGTCGGAAACTATTAGGTAGTTTATGTTAGTAATAAGAGTTTTATTTGTCCGTCCTTGGTTTATCAACAGATTATATATAGTTTTATCAAGGTATGCTTCACTTTACTTCATGGCATGTTCGATGAATGAATACGAGCGTGTCAGATTTCTGGCACGATTATTGGTGGACTTTCCCTACGGGGTTGTCTTCAGCGTTCACGTCATGTCATAGTATACATGTATAAACGGGTACGCTGAAGACCTTAAGCTACTTTCAGATGAGCCTAGGCATAGGTGTATCCTGTTTTCTCGTATTCTTGGGGGGTTAAGGACTAAACTTGGTTGCATAATATTTATAAAACATTTAAGTACCATGGAAATATGAGGCACCAGTATAATCAGCAAAAAGCCTTACCTTTTGCAGACGGTAATCTACATTTGAATTCTGCAATCGTTTCTTAATTATGCTTTAAAAATCGAACTTGAAGTTCTTACAAATGGAAAGAAGCCTGTTATGGCTATAAGAATTGAAGTGTTGGTTTTAACATATTTATTTAAGCTCGATTGCAAAACAAATTCATGCAACTTATATTAATCACTTTCGAGTCCGCTTCCTGGAACCAACCAGTACTGGTGTCACATGAAGAAACATGGTTGTGACCAGATTAATTAGGACTCAAACCCATGATCCCTAGGTTGATAGGCAGACACCTTAACCACTAGGCCACCCCTCCCCTTATTAATTGAAAAGTCTTGTTTCCTAAAAGATTACTAAAACAAAACAATCATTTTAGAAGTGAAATTTAATATGTTTTGTTTTTTCCATCTGTCATTAGAATCCTGCTGGTCAGGATGGCATCTAAAGAGAAAGTGAAGAAGAAAAAGAAGACTGCTCCATCTCCAGCTGTAAGGAGGAAGTCTAAAGCATCCGTTATATCATCTGCTACCACAGAAATAGAAAGTGTTGCAAGTATGTCTTTAATTAATACATTATTTAATGCATTGAATATTGTTGTGATTACAAAGAAAACCCTTGAAAAATATATTGTTTTATGCCAAAACATGAAAAGTATATATTTGTTGCATTAAATTGTTACAAAACTTTGTGTGATCTGAAATGTATGTGCAGAATAGTATCATAAAAAACTACCATTTCAGACACTATTCCTTACCAAATTCTATCAGTGTTGCCAATTGTAGAGACTGCCTCAAATATTGAAGTTTCTGGTTTGGTTAAACACAATTCTATAAGTATATACTAGTATACAAATATTTCTATGATCTTTTCTACTGTTCGATAATAGATTAGATTATCTGGATCATGATCAGTTGGTGTTTTTATTTCATCTTAAATACTGATAAGTGAAGATTTAAAAATAAATCAATATTCAAAGTAAAGCTGCTATAACTAAGTTTACCTAAAATTGTTCTTTGTTTTGTTCAGTTATCTTCATTCTCTGCTACCTTGCTTAAAATGAATATTATACAAACTTTATTTAATTTTACCCATGAAATATGGTGCTATATCAGTCAAATATATTTCATATTTTTTAAAAATAAATATGAAATATAAATATGAAAGTGGGCGGAGTCAAAACTCATATTTATTTTAAGGGACTTTTTTCGCCGTTTTGTTTGAAAAATCTGATAAATACAAAACAACTTTTTCTTGAATATTGTTTTGAAAACTATTTAGCATGATAGAAAATGGTTTAACTAAGAAAATTAATCCGAACACCAATATCTTTAATTCAGTAATTAACGCTGTACAGACGTTTAAAGAGTTGTTTACATGACGTCACAATGTAGCGCCAAACAGCGCGTGCTTACGCATAAATTACTGCGCGCTGTACAATTGCAGTTGGTAGCAAGCAAGGGGATTCGTTACCATTTTCTTTGATAATGAAATTAAATAAAAAGGTTATTTTTTCGTTTTTTTTTGTGAAATATGGTATATATTTTCACTCAACATGATAAAATGCCACATATTTTCACTCGCCTTACCGGCTCGTGAAAATATGTGGCATTTTATCATGTTGAGTGAAAATATATTCCATATTTCACGCAAACGAAAAAATATCCTCTTAGTATATTCTGAAAATATATGCCCCATGATTTCAGAGGCATGCATTTTCCATTAACTGGTGTATTAAAAAAGTGTTATATTGTTAAAACATAAAAAAAAATTATTTTCTAATTTCCCACAAGAATTAATACTATTACTAGAACCCCACTTTTTAAATTTTTTCAATTTCCTTTTTTTTAGAAGAATACTTTCTTTTTTTGGAATTTGTTTTCATTTTTTTATGAAAAATTAAATTTAAAAGGGAGGGGAGTTTTTTAAGAATATATGGGAAGGAAATTGCAAGTTTTTCCAACAGGGGTTGGTAAATTTTTTTACTGTAAATTCTCGTACATAGTTTTTTTTTTTTTTCTTTGTTTTGAAAAAATTACTGAAGAAAACAGGGTTCTAAAGGTCTGTGAGGTCAGTGCTGATGAAAATCAAAGTTTTTCCCAAATCATTTTTTAAAATTTTTTCTATTAAAGCTAAACCCTTCCACAAATTTTGGTTGATGATTATTTTCAATTCACATATTGTATAAAACGGTAATTTTTTAAGTTTTGTGTAACAGTTGTGTATTTATATTAACTTTATAAAAAGAAAGAAAGATTAAACTGTCATTTGGTAGTCCAGTCCCTTTAATAGTCAGTTTATATAAAAGATTTTATTGTAAATAAACTCTAACCCCCTTGTTAGGATTATTGTCTTTGATAGCTAATACTCATGAAAAAAAACTAGTTAACATACATGAGGATACTCAAAAACTGCATGTATTCACATGTAATTATAAATTATCCAAAAAACAAATGTCTTGTCTTATCTGTCTGTCCAATAAACTTCATTGGGTAAAGGGCCCACTGACTGATAATAGAACAATATATAGAATAAAATAAGGGCACTGTCAATTTTTCCCCATTTACAAAATAAAAGCTATTTTCATATTATGTAGTTATTCATTCATTGCAGGTTGAACGTCAGAGCATTCTTTTATATTATGTTCATCTTAAAGTAGAATGCAACTCTTTATTTGTGATGATTGTTACAAAAAAAACTGATTGTTAAAGTTTTACTATAATAATACACTTCCCTGATTGTTTTACTCTAGGACCCTCAGACCGATGTACCGGGTCCTACAGCGAGCACGGGTGAACCTCAGACAAGTGGTTCTGAGGGTAAGAAGAGCAAGAAAGATCATGTTGAGCAGAAGCTTGGGAAGGGGACAAGCCCCTCTAAAACCATAAGCCCCTCTAAAACCAACAAGTCAGAGAGGGATGTACAGCCATCATCAACATTGAAAACAATGGGAAGTGCCGTTTCTCTCCGATCTAATGGATCTAAAGGTATGAATTAAAAAAAAAATCTGAGTAGTTTAAAGAGACTAAAAGAGTGGAGCACCACACAGAGTATTCCGGTACATACTGGACAAGGTGCTTGAATGATTAAAATGCTAAAATCTCACCTTTTTTTTGACAATTATGATCATGATTTCAGCAAGGTCTAAAGGTTCTGCTCCAACATTAGTGAGTTAAATCTTATATTTTTTTTATACCTTAAAACATTTTTATGCCCCCGCCATGTAATGGCCGGGGCATATAGTGTTACCCTGTTCCGTCATTCTGTCATCATCAGTTTCCGTTCATTATCTTTAAAACGGCTGCACACATTCAACTCAAATTTGACATAATTATGGATATGTCATGAGAAAATACAGGTCAGGTTCGAATTTGGTCATGGTTCGATGATTTTTGGCAGAGTTATGCCCCTTTTACTTTGAAAATAATATGAAATTTCAGTTTCCGTTCATTATCTCCCCAACGGTGCAACACATTCAACTCAAACTTGACATATTGATATGTCATGAGAAAATACAGGTCAAGTTCGAATTTGGTTAATGGTTCAATGATTTTTGGCAGAGTTATGCCCCTTTCACTTTTAAAATAATATGAAATTTTCAGTTTCCGTTTATTATCTCCCCAACGGTACAACACATTGACACAAAATTTGACATATGGATATGTTTTTGGAATGCCCAGGCCAAGTTCGAATTTGGTCATGGTTCAATGATATTTGGCAGAGTAATGCCCCTTTCACTTTGAAAATAATATGAAATTTACAGTTTCTGTTCATTATCTACCCAACAGTGTTAAATATTCAACTTATTGATTGATGATTTTTTTGGCAGAGTTATGTCCCTTTCACTTTGAAAATGATATAGATACATCTTAGGAATAAGCAGTTTAAGTTTGAATTTGGTCGTGGTTCAATGGTTTTGGACAAACTTATCTTTCCTGAATGTTGGAAAAATTTTGAACTTTCAGTTTCAGCACTCATAGTATTACTTTTAGCCATTATTTTGGCTACAAATATGCAATATGCTATTTTTAAAAGGTTAAGACTGAATAATTTCAGTGCCTTGAACATTGCATAAAAATGGTTTGTGTTAACATTGAAAAGTTTTAAGGGCTTTGAACTTAAAATGAAAAAAATAATTACTGCACCATCTGAAATTTTGGCTGCATGCGGGGCATCCGTGGCATGATGACACATTTCTAGTTGTGATTGTTTTTATATGCAAGTTGCATGTTCTGTATTGTTTCAATGATCTTGAAGTACGGGAAAATATAAGTACACCAGTATGATAATTATATCGCAAAAATATATTGAGATAGGCAGGACGTACATGGCTACTTTTTGCAGCTGGTTTAAGGCACTTAACATCAGCTGTTGTGTCAGAGAAAATGGAAATCTTTTAGCTAAATCCTTTTACTGTGCTGAAACCAAAAGTTAATAGTGTTATAAGCCACCATTATACACCGGGGTAGGCTGCATTCCAATGCAGTCTTACAAAGCTCTATACGTGTTACTGACTTAAGATTTTCATCTTGATATCCCCCAAAATGATTATAAACAGTTCCAAAATTGGAAGCTGGACAAGTTCATGTAAGAAAATCAGTAGTTTAAGGGTTAACCCCTTGACAGCGACCTAGAACTTGTGATTTTATCAATAAGACATTGTGCAGCTAGTTTAGGCAGAAAAGTTGTTGCTTAGATCTACACAAGTGCCTGCTTGTGTCTAAGAAGTAAGATATTCTTTGAATTACATCTGAAGTTGTACTCCAAAAAGAAAAGTCATTAAAATATCAAGTATTTCCATTGATTGGCAAACTATATCAAATGATATTTTTAAATGTAATTATAAAGGTACATCTATCACATGAATGATGTAATTTTTGAGACTATCGCAGGCTTAAATTATGAAAAAAATCATGTGTATATATTTATGATGCAAATTCAATTGAATATTTTGTTTATCATTACAGAGGCTTGGGTAGAGAGAAATGAGCAAGATGTACAAGGTAACATTCTTATTCATGTATTTTAATGGATTTATTATCTATTGTTAAGAAGTTTTTACTAATATATTGCATATTTCACTTGATTTTTTAAAAAAATAATTTAGATATTATCTTCTGCTATAGTAGGTAGTTTTTCATTTACTAACTTTTTTACAGCCTTAGTAGAATAATAATTTTGAAGTATGCATTTCTTGTATCAATTTTTGTGAAATTTATAACCTATGCTGGCATATATATATTTTTTCTTTCTCCTTTGCTTGTTATTTCCAATAAGAATTTCCCTTTTACTGCTTATTTTATTTAAAGAACATGTCCTATTTTGCAAATGTGATATTATGCACGTTTTCCATTGTGCACTTTGAAGCTCTGCTGAGTTTGCATTTTATGTATCAAGACAATGTCTACTGGCATGCGAGCAGTTCCCGTACAGAAGTAGTACCCGTATTTTTCATATAAACGCTTGATTTTTATTTGTATTCTTCAAAAATTCATTTCAAATCAAGCAGATACATAAACGAGACAAAATCTAAGTGTCAGTTCTGCAGTACGTATAGAAAGTCTCATTTTAAATCACTTTCACCTGTGCGTCGTCAAAACGTGACCTTGTTTTCTCTGGGGGATTCCGTCCTTGCGCGCATGCGCTAAAATACTTAAACGTGAGTCTGGTTAAAGGGTTTTCCACTAATACCACCTGTTTACAGATAAGTAGGCAATGTGATGAAAACTTGTTGAATTATCAGAATTTTGACCAATATTACTATATAAAATAATTTTATGGCTTTGATGCGTAAAATACCATGCATACAAGCATGCTATTGCATGTGAATGCGTTGGGGTAACGGTACCGGGTAATAGATACCTGCGTTTAGTCTTCGCTCTATTTCCTGAATTACATCCATTTATCTCTTAGATAATGGTCTGTTCAACAATTGTAAATGAAAAATAGGTCCGATATAATAAAATTGTATAATTATAATTGGTTAGATTTTATGTACGGGAACCACTTCTCTTCATACAAAATAATCGATAATTTCGGTACCCCATATGAGGCCTCATAAGTAAGGGTTATTCTATGTTTAGAACATGATGGAATTTCCAAGATTTGTGTGACGAGCCGAATATTGATGTGTAAAATTAAAACTTTGGTGAGTGAGCGTAATAAAAAATAATGTTTAAGTAACTATGATTTTTGTACGGGAACTGCTCGCATGCCAGTATTGTAATGGTGATTGACCATTAAGTGAAACTAATTTCAATATCAAAATCAAAAATATAGAATTATTAAGCTGTAAACATTATGAAATTGTTTGTTTAATCAGCATAGCAAAACCATTAGTGGATTGCCAATATTAAAATAATGAAAAAAATTGGAAGCCAAGTCTAGTCGGACTGGTCACTGATGTCTTAGGAAATAGTCATAATAGTCATTATCATAACTAATGCTCTTTAAGTAATATATGGCTGTTACCAATCCTATATAGTGCTATATTTTCCTATATTTTTGTCAAATATGCCATATGACAGCCTGTGATATCAACCATTTGATCGAGACATAAAATAAATACATTGTACTAGTGATGTTAATACAAATCAATGATTAATTGCAGTATTTTTCAAGTCTTTTTCCATACTTTTTACAAGGAGCTGATTAATGTCAAATATATAACCTTGGGCTTTAATCTTATCAATCAGTTACCAATATTAGATCAGACCATAACTTATACCTGATCTAACAATAACTGATACTAGGCCTAACCAATACTTGAAATAACCAATGACCAATATTTGCCTCAACCAATAACCAATAATAGATCTCACCATTAACTAATACATGATCTAACATATACTTGATCAAACCAATAACCAATACCAGATCTAACCAATAACCAATACCAGATCTAACCAATACCAGATATAACCAATACCAGATATAACCAATACCATATTTAACCAATAACCAATACCAGATCTAACCAATAACCAAAACCAGATCTAACCAAAACCAGATCTAACCAATAACAATTCACCAGTACCAGATATAACCAAATACTAATGTTTTTTTGAAGATTTAGAGATGCCAAACTCATCAAGGAAGGGTAAATTTGGAAGTACTTTTAGTCTATCAAGGGGCAATAAAGTTACCCCAGGAGGTAAACATGCATGTAGATGGCTAGAAATAAATCAAACATATCAGTGCCTGCATATAATATTTGTTTTTCCATATGGCTACATGAACTAAGCTATCACTGCAAAAGGTGGACAAAGCATTTGCAACAGCATTATGTTTTATGTTATATGTATATGTTTTACAAAGCACTATTGATGTTTATGTTATACAGGTTTACATGTTTCACACAGCAAAAATTGATGGGGTATTTTGTTAAACAGATGTACAAGTTTCACAGTTGTCACTGTTGAAATTTCATGTTCCACATATGTACATGTTTCATACAGCACATTTGACATTTTGTGTATGTTTCACACAGCATCATTGATTGTTCTTGGTATGGAGACACACAACATGCACCATTTTCATTTCATTGCCTTTTCTAGTGGAGTACATGTCTGTAATAAACAGCAACATTTATTGTTCATGCTCTACATGAAAATATGTTTTAAACAGCACCATTGATATATCATGTTCAACAGATGTACTTGTTTTATGCAGTACCAGTGACATTTTATTGTTGAAGTTTCTTGCTTTGCTGGTGTACATGTTTCACACAAAGTTTCATGTCCAACAGATGTACATGTTTTATGCAGTACCAGTGACATTTTATGTTTGTGTAATTGTATGTGTTTCACACAATGTCATTAAAGTGTCATGGTCAGTCTACTGGTGTACATGTTTCACACAGTACAAAGTGACATTTCATGGTTTAAGTTTCATGTTGTGCAGGACTGGTGTACATGTTTCACACAGTACAAAGTGACATTTTAACCTTTTTCCCTTATATAAGCGTGTTTCGACGGCTTTTTGCCCCCCCCCCCCCCTTTTTGAGGCCTCAAACAGTGAAAAAATGTCCTATTTAGACCCCAAACACTGTTTTTCGTTTGAGAAATGTTGTTAAAAAAAGTGACCATTTTTTCGGCGCCGTCCCCCATCCAAATAATACATCAGGGGGTTGCCAGAAGGGGGATGTGCCCTCTTCTGTTTGGGGGGTTTGAAGGGGGGAGGTGTCCCCCTCATCGCCAAGAAAATTTTGGACTTGTGAGAGGCTTAAAATGACCCCAGGTTGATCTTAAAGTAACGTGTAACCAACGCTGAAAAGCCTTTGACTCTATCTCAATCCATTGAGAAGTTGCAGCACTTTGAAATAAATTTTGATGGAAAAAATCGAGGCAAAGTAGTGATTTTTGGCAATTTTGAGATGTCCCCTCGTTGCCATGGTAACAGGAAATTTAAGACTGAGCATGTCGTTACAAAGGCAATGGTCCAGTCAACATTTGTGCCAAGTTTGATTAGTATTGAAGCATTTTTCATAGTTTCATAGCAGTTTGAACTTGTAAGAGGAGGCTTTTCAGTTAAAATGGCCATTTTTCACGATATGCTCATGGGGGAAAGGGTTAACTAAAAAAATATAAATGTTACAAAACAACAATTTTTCACCAAAATTAGGTAAAAGACCACATGTTAACATGGAAAAACTAGATTTTGGGTGATTCCAAGGTTTTTCATCATTTTTTGTTAACCTTTTCCCTTATATAAGCGTGTTTCGACGGCTTTTTGCCCCCCCCCCCCCCTTTTTGAGGCCTCAAACAGTGAAAAAAATGTCCTATTTAGACCCCAAACACTGTTTTTTCGTTTGAGAAATGTTGTTAAAAAAAGTGACCATTTTTTCGGCGCCGTCCCCCATCCAAATAATACATCAGGGGGTTGCCAGAAGGGGGATGTGCCCTCTTCTGTTTGGGGGGTTTGAAGGGGGGAGGTGTCCCCCTCATCGCCAAGAAAATTTTGGACTTGTGAGAGGCTTAAAATGACCCCAGGTTGATCATAAAGTAACGTGTAACCAACGCTGAAAAGCCTTTGACTCTATCTCAATCCATTGAGAAGTTGCAGCACTTTGAAATAAATTTTGATGGAAAAAATCGAGGCAAAATAGTGATTTTTGGCAATTTTGAGATGTCCCCTCGTTGCCATGGTAACAGGAAATTTAAGACTGAGCATGTCGTTACAAAGGCAATGGTCCAGTCAACATTTGTGCCAAGTTTGATTAGTATTGAAGCATTTTTCATAGTTTCATAGCAGTTTGAACTTGTAAGAGGAGGCTTTTCAGTTAAAATGGCCATTTTTCACGATATGCTCATGGGGGAAAGGGTTAACTAAAAAAATATAAATGTTACAAAACAACAATTTTTCACCAAAATTAGGTAAAAGACCACATGTTAACATGGAAAAACTAGATTTTGGGTGATTCCAAGGTTTTTCATCATTTTTTTGTTAACCTTTTCCCTTATATAAGCGTGTTTCGACGGCTTTTTGCCCCCCCCCTTTTTGAGGCCTCAAACAGTGAAAAAATGTCCTATTTAGACCCCAAACACTGTTTTTCGTTTGAGAAATGTTGTTAAAAAAAGTGACCATTTTTTCGGCGCCGTCCCCCATCCAAATAATACATCAGGGGGTTGCCAGAAGGGGGATGTGCCCTCTTCTGTTTGGGGGTTTGAAGGGGGAGGTGTCCCCCTCATCGCCAAGAAAATTTTGGACTTGTGAGAGGCTTAAAATGACCCCAGGTTGATCATAAAGTAACGTGTAACCAACGCTGAAAAGCCTTTGACTCTATCTCAATCCATTGAGAAGTTGCAGCACTTTGAAATAAATTTTGATGGAAAAAATCGAGGCAAAATAGTGATTTTTGGCAATTTTGAGATGTCCCCTCGTTGCCATGGTAACAGGAAATTTAAGACTGAGCATGTCGTTACAAAGGCAATGGTCCAGTCAACATTTGTGCCAAGTTTGATTAGTATTGAAGCATTTTTCATAGTTTCATAGCAGTTTGAACTTGTAAGAGGAGGCTTTTCAGTTAAAATGGCCATTTTTCACGATATGCTCATGGGGGAAAGGGTTAAGGTTGAAGTTTCATGTTGTGCAGGTGTACATGTTTCACACAGTACAAAGTGACATTTTAAGGTTGAAGTTTCATGTTGTGCAGGTGTACATGTTTCACACAGTACAAAGTGACATTTCATGGTTTAAGTTTCATGTTGTGCAGGTGTACATGTTTCACACAGTGCTATTAAAGTTTCATGTTCAATAGGTGTACATTTTTTCACACAGCACCTAGAATGGTGAACATTTCAGTAATAAGGCATTGTTGTACAACACTTTTGATCATTTTTACACATTATACGGAATGGTGATGAATCTTTGTGAAAAAAGCTTTATCATTTTAGATAAATAAACAATTTTTCAAAAAGTTTTCAGAAAAAAAATATTTGAGGATGTTAATTTACATGCAAAGATTCACTTTCTGTAAATTGAATTTGTATGTGTCTCAAGTTAGCTTTATTCAGTTGATAATGCTTTAACTTCTTTCATCGCATATTTTTTAAATGAAATTTAGTATGATTCTGTATGTTAGGTGCTTTTAAGAAAATCTAGAAAAACATGAAAATTTAAGCTTTCATTTTAACGTTTTAAGAGTCATTAAAGATTCATTTGTTGCTTTTTAGTTCATCAATTATTCATACAGCATTAGTGTATAGACTGTAATATGCTTGGCATAAGGAAAGATAGATGTTTTATTGATATATTTGGTATACTTGAGAAAAGGAGAATCACGAAGTTGTTTGAAGGCTAACAAAACAAAATATAGTTTATACATACATGACATGATAATAATTACTGGTAGCTACTTTAAGCACAATGTCATAAGGTCTATTTTTGGAGAAACATCTTTAGGCTCAAATAGTTGTTCTTTTACATGCAAGGTGAAAAGCAATATTTCACAGGACTTTTGCTTTTTAAAGTCTCATCAACATAAATTATATAATTAATATATAAGTTATTACACTTGTGACCCCAAGGATTTGAAGTCAGACTGTTCTGCTATAAAACCATTGCATTTGCTGTTTTTTTATATTTAATATATTTTTTAACATAGCTTATTACTTATCAATTTGTAGACCGTTAGTTTAGTTGCCATCTGCAGTCAAATCTGTATGTAAATAACCAAAAGAAATAAATAGTCCTTTTTTTGGTTGAGAGATTTAAATGGAAGTAATTTGCTATATCATAAATTATGTAATAGAGAAAAAGGGAAAAAAAGGAAATTTATATGATTTATTAAGATTTTAGGTGATAATTTTTCTTGGTTGGGGTAACAACAGGTTTGACTGTATTGTATTAAGTTTTATTATATACCTTTTAGTTTTATGATGAAAGTACAATCATTTTCAAGTTAGAAAAAAACCTGTATCCAGTTTGATTTTTCAGTATTTCATTTTTTTGTTCAAGATATTATTATGAATTGATGCTATATTCATAATGCTATTCATAAAGAAAACCCAATTCCTTTGGTTTTGTTCAGATTTTTTTATGATGTGTATAAAAGGTATATAATAAAAGGAAAATTATGGTAGAGTGTATTATCTTTCATTTTGATTGTGAAAAGTTTTAATTCCATAGTAGGCCCTTGGGAATATAGCTTTACCTTATCAGATATGCAACCCATTACTATAACACATTTTTGCTATAATTCCTATTTATTAACCCATGTATCATATAAACATGTATATTTCTGTTGCTTTCTGTAGATGTCCCTGCTTCTGCTATAACCAATCTTGCTAGCTTAGATAGTGCACAGTCTAATGCAGCAGACGGTCAAGCTGAAAAACAGACTGGTTCTAGTTTAGTTAGTTCACACGCTAGTAAAGCAACCAGTCTTGGAGAGAAAGGTAACAGTATGATACTCTGATAGCAATGATGTTAAAAATATGATCATTTGATATTTTCTCTATGTTATCAAAGCAATGTGGCACAAGGAAATAATCACAGAAATTTTCTGTATTAAATAATTATAGAATGGAGTTGCGACTTATATTTTGACTAATAAAGACTTAATATTTATACTAAACTTACTGAACTAATACTTTATATGTAATGCCCAGTTGAAACAAGACTGAATTTTGAATGTCCATTGAAAATAAAAAGGCATTTTAATGTAAATCTAACACAAAAAAGCATTTTAATGTAAATTTGAAACAAAATTTTAATGTCCATTTGAAATAAAAAGGCATCTTAATGAAGATTTGAAACAAAAAGGCATTTTAATGTCCATTTGAAATATAAAAAAAGGCATATTTATGTAGATTTGAAACAAAAAAGGCATTTTAATGTAAAAAATTGGAAACAAAAAGCATTTTAATGTCAGTTTGAAATGAAAAGGCATTTTAATGTCCATTTGAAATGAAAGACATTTTGATGTTAATTTGAAATGACAAGGTATTTACCTAATGTAAATCTGAAACAAAAAGGCATTTCAATGTCTATTTGAAACAAAAGGCATTTAATGTCCATTTTAAATGAAAATGCATTAAAATTATCCATAAGTATGCTATTTTTAGATAAGTACTGTGAATGTATGCTGTTTCTCAGAAGGTGCTTTACTATATATAATACTTAATTAGGTACTTATAGAGCATGCAATGTAACTATTATACTTATAACTCTTCTGCTTGTATTTTTGTGTGTTAATAACATAATTCGTTATTAATCTTATCTCCTTGTACTTGAAATGATATTAACAATAAATGCGACAGTTTGGTTGGCACAAAACCGTTGTATCTGCATATTTATTAAAAAGGTGGATACAACCGTTTAACATCGCAACCATCAAACTTTTGAAAATATAACTGCTCTACTCTGACATAATGATCACTAACACTAGCTTTCTATGTTTGTATTGCTGTTTGTATAGATCGTCCAGCTTCTGCATCTAACAGTAGACCTAGTTCTAGCCTAGCTCGTTTACACGATGCCGACCAGAAAGATGGACTCAAAGGCGTCAAAGGTAACTGGATCTTTCTCGTTAATAGCATCCTCGGTAACACAGGCTATTTTTTACCAGTATTGGTTATATAAGCGTAGTAAAACATATTTTATCTAGCAAATTTACAAGCATGTATCATTTTACACCACAATAAACATGTATATGGATTGGAAAACCAGCATAACACCTATGTTAATTCCTTTCCATGATGGAGTTTTGTCTTAATTATTTCATTTTTTATGATCAGTGTATGTTTTGCATTTCAATATTGATGTAAATTAACAAAATTTTGTATAATATCATTTGGTTTTGACTTTTTATTATATATACGATGGTCACCTGTCTGACTCACAACCCACTTATGATTCAAATTCGGACATCTATGTAATATCAGTTTGTTAAATTGGTCGGTCTTGCAGTCAAAATATTGAGACTACAGTAATAATAAATATAGTTTGTTCAGAATGCCTGGTATGTACCGTGGATTCCAATTATGGTTAAAAGTATTGTTGTATTGTATACAATCGTGTATAAATCTGCGATAAGCTTGTACCAGAGATTATAAATGGAGGGTTACCTGAGGTCTCCAGTAGCAAGTCAGAAGACCACCTTAAGACTTTTAATATTTTGTTTGGAAACGTTGTATTCTGTTTTCATGTAAAATTCATGTTTCTTAAACAACTTACACCTTTTTGTTGTGACCATCACCAGATATGACTGTGTTGACCCAGTTAGCTCAACAAGGAGAGCATTGGACTTGTAATCCGGTGGTTGGAAACTTCGGCGAGCTGTAATTTCTCCGTAACTTTTAATCTCGGATAAGAAGCCTAATGGTCATTTGTCGCTCACCATTGATTCAAAAATCATCTGGGACAAATAGCAGATCACTTACAGATAAATTAGTATTTAATGGTTTATTAAGGAAAGCCAGTTAGGTTGATCAACCTCTGAGATATAACCAAAAAATGTGTTAAAATTAGCATTATAACCAAACAAATATGACCGAAAGGTTTTGAAAACGATATGATTTTACCGGAATCCTTATTGTATAGAACACCAGTTATTTATTAAAAAGCTTAGCACCCTTTAATGTTAATTAAATCTTCTACTTAGTTGAAGTGGAGGAGGACTGTCCAGAGAAGCACGCATATATACCGTACCTGTACGCACGTAACTGTATAGCTAAAATCATGGAGGACATGAAGGCAATGAAGCAGAACCATCTCGTCATAGTGGAAAACATACAGATGCATTATGGGGAAATAGAATCTGAAACACAGGTAATCTTATTTATCACATTATCCGTGGCGCACGAGTGTAATAAAGCCATTTAATAAAAACGATATTACACTAGTGTAATAACACTTCGACGTGACATCATTTGCGCTATATATAAACATAGCGTTAAAGCGCGCTAATGTTAGTGTAACATTATAGGCGCGTCATTGAAAAATTACTCATTTTAACAGTTTACAGTTCTTATTTTATATATGTGATAAAAAGAATATTATATTCGTGTAGATTCAATACTATATTTATTGAACTCGTTGAATAAAACAATATTATGCTCGCCAGAGGCTCGCATAATATGATTTTATTCAACTTGTTCAATAAATTTAGTATTAAACTACACTCATTCAATATCCTCTATATCTGTTATGTAATAGCATTATCTTTTGTTGATAGGACGGAAATGCTAATTAGTAATTGTCTGTCAAAAAAAAAAAAAGAAATAGGTTATTAAAGTTTAGTGAATGAATACCTCTTTAATCATTTAAATATCACTCTTATATTTCAAATATCACCCTTTCATAAAGAAATTCATTCTTGAATTTGAAATATCACTTTTTTCGTTAGGAATATCATTATTGAATGGAACTATCACTCTTTCATTTTAAATATCACTCTTTCATTTTAAATATCTCTTTTTCATTTAAAATTTCACTCTCTATGCAGTTTGACCAGGCTCTATGTGGTTGACTGACTTAACTTTTAATTTTCCTCTTGATATCCCTAGAATCAATTATGGACAGTTTCAAAAATATAAGCTGGACAAATCCATTCAAGAAGTTTACCTAGTTAACCCATTGCTTCATGAGCATTTTGTGAAAAATGGCTGTTTTCATTGAAAAGTCTCCCGTTACAAGTTCAAATTGCTATAATACTATAAAAACTGCTTCAACACTAATCAAACTTGGCACAAATGTTGACTGGACCATTGCCCTTGCAACAACATGCTCAGGCTTAAATTTTCTGTTACCATGGCAACGAGGGGACATCTCAAAATTGCCAAAAATCACTATTTTGCGTTGATTTTTTCCATCAAAATTGATTTCAAAGTGCTGCAACTTCTCAATGGATTGAGATAGAGTCAAATGCTTTCCAGCGTTGGTTACACGTTACCTTATGATCAATCTGGGGTCATTTACAGCCTCTCACAAGTCCAAAATTTTCTTGGCGATGAGGGGGACTCCGCCCCCCTTCAAACCCCCCAAACAGAAGGGGGCACATCCCCCTTCTGGCAACCCCCTGATGTATCTTTTGGTTGGGGGGCCGCGCCGAAAAAGAGGTCACTTTTTTTAACAACATTTCTCAAACAAAAACAAGTGTTTGGGGCCTAAATAAGGCATTTTTTCATCATTTGAGACAACAAAAAGGGGGGGGGGTGAAAAAGGCGTTAAAAGGCGTGTATATGAAGTAATGGGTTAAGGGTAAGTTTGTTTTATTTTTTCAGGAACAATTCAACATGTTTGTGTTGTGTATAAGAGATGAGTATGCCAGTCAAAGGCAGACATTCCGGAAAGTTATTGATACCCATAAAGACGAGGTTGAGAAAAAAGAAAAATACTGGAACGAAATGTTACAGGTAACCTGCATATAATAAATCTAAAATATGAGAAAAAAATACTATTTAAAAAAAAAATTAATCAAATTAATCAACTTACCGTATGTTTAAATTACAGGTGTACTTGTTTAGTTTTGTAGAATGTGAATGTAAATTGAATGACTGAAGAAAAATTATAGTTTCTTTATTTTTTGATATCCAATCAAATTTTCAACTTGAAAAACGTCAATTTTCAACTACGTAATACCTATGTGTAAAAACTTGAAAATAGACATTTTATACATGTATTTGTTTTTCAGGTTATTTTGAAACCATTCTCTCATGTTTGTATTTGAAATACAGTGTAGTTGGTTATTTCTGTTTGTTATTCATTTAATTTAAAAGTAGGTTTCCAGTTAGTAATTTATGCTTGTTAATCTTAATGAAATGCTTTCCTGCCAAAAATTTTTCTAACATCAGCCTATTTTGTAATAATCAGTCATTTCCAGAATATTATTTTTCATAATATTCAGTATTCAATTATTTCTAACCATTTATAAAGACAATTTAGTACATAGTGATAATGAGGGATTGTAAATAATTTAATGGCAAATATTTCGAAACATTCCTGAAATAACCAATATGCTACGATATTGGATGATGTTTGAATTTTTTGGCAGGAAAGCATTACAGTGCAGGTTTCAATGATGAGTCCGGCATCAACAAACTTTTCATCTACTGATTAAAATGATTTACTTCAAACAAATAAAAAACGCCTGATATATTTTGTTCTATAAATTTTGTCTGTAATTTTTCAGAGTTTGGCCGAGAGAAACAATCGTCTGTTGAGAGAGAAGAAAATGTTGTTGATTCACAGCAAGACTGAGATAGAAAAGTTAGAGAAAGAAAAGGTATTTGCCTTTGTCTGTATATTGGGATTAGTCATAATGTTTCGAGATTAATTTTCCATTTCATGTAAATCTAGACCAATAACTTGTGTGCAGAATTTCAGATCATTCCCTCACAACGTGTGTCCAGAAAGATTATTCTTTCTTGTGAAAAATGACCCAAAATTGAAAAGTGTAAATGCATTGCTTTTCACTCAAATCGGGATAAAATAGCACAAAAATATGATTTTCAATTTATTCTGACGATACTTCTTCAATATCTTTCACAGATCTTTCTGTTTTAAGTGCCCCAGTTGTTCTATGTAGGAAATTCAAATTTTACGATTTTAGGCTTTTGGACCTGAGTCCATTTTAATTAAGAGGTGAGGTGGCTTAACCCTTAGCCCTGATGGCCGTAAAGCTGAAAAGTCACCAGTAAATTATGACCATTACAATATCTGTGTGACTTAAAAAGAAAACTAAAAAAAATTTCAATACTTACAAGAGCAACTGTAAAAACTTCAGTGCTGTGAAGGCAGCTGTAAAATGTTACCTCATACTTCACCTTAGTGTTGATATATATTTATTGTTCTTTGGGATAATTTATTCCAATAGGAAATTGTGCTGAAAATTGAATACCACTTAAATTGACATTATGCCCATCCAATTGAGTGAACAGGTGAAAACAAAAACTACTTTTTGACTTATATCCTGATAAATTTTAAAATTCATTTAGCATGAACAATATATCACTAACATGGCAGAGGGAAATTTCTGTAAAGATCCACCTGAATTTGCTTTTGTGTTCAATTTATCAAAAGAGTGGGGCAATCTTTTTTATATTTTAGGCAGATTTGTATTTTATCCTTATCATTTTCTAATTTCAACTGTTACTCAATCACCATTATAACAGTCAATATTTTGAAATATATAGTCAAATTAGCTGAACTTGACAATGAAAAAATAAGCATAAATTTCACTTTAAGCTGGTTCCAGGACATGAGAAATGTTTCACCTGCTTTTGTCTCTCATGAACAGACTCAAACCAAGTCTGCAATTTTTACCATTTTATCTATAATTTAAATGCTCTTTAGGGATCTCCTGTTTTCAGATATTTTTTGATGTTGTCAAGTTGTGTGAATGCTTATACTTTTGTTATTGTTTCTTTCAGGAAGGACTTCAGGAAAAACTAAGTGGAGTAGTTGTACCAGCACCAGGTAAAATAAAGACACTATAATTACTATGGTTACAATATTTGTTAACTTTGAGCTATCCTTTGGTAGGTTTATCCTTTTTATGGGGCTGTCCTACTCAGCCAAGCATCAAAGTAAAGTAAGGTTATAGTTTGGCATGAAACTTCAGGTTTTATCAACCACTGAAGGTATTTGCTTGAGACTTTACAAATGTCATTGTACTGTGTAAGGCAAACAAATTTAGCATAGATAGATTTTACATGAATTATAGCCCTTTGTGAACTGTGAAAATTATAACCTCGTGTATTTTGAATGAAATATTCCCCTTTGTAAAGAACTTCTTCCCTTTCCCTACATGTGAGTGACTGAAAAATAATATACATGTATATGCGTTTTACTTGACGAATTTCCTAATTATTCCTGGTTTAATTTTAAGTCCATTTTTAATTTAATTTAAGGAAAATCTGGCTTTTTGAAAGTATATCATTCTTTGATTTAAATGAGAAAATATGGATTTTTTTCTCGATTTTAGTTCCAGTTCCAGAGGCATGGGAGGAAGAAAGAAAGGTTAAAATTATTTCAAAGTTTTAGTTCATTCTTTTGATTTTCCCTCTTTAAAATAGAGAAAAATATAATATTATTAGTAAAATACGAGAATATTCTCCTCAGGGCTCCACATTCTGTCTAAAGCTTTTGTTTCTTTTATTTACATTTATATTATTTATGAAATAATTTAAGGAAAAAAATACTCATTTCTGAAGCATAATGTGCCTTTAAAGTAAAAAATGCACTGATCTACATTTTGAGAAATATTCTTGCAGACAATAAGATAAGATCATGTTGTATTTTTGTAGTTACTACAAGATCAACTGGAGACAGAGAAAGCTAATGTAGCTAGTCTGGAGAAACAGATGGCTAGCATGAGTAAACCCTCTGACACACCTGTAAAACTTGAGGTAGCAACAGCTTCCAGTAAAGAGACTGCAGTAAACGCGGCCGCCGGAGCAGTTGGGTTTGGAGCAGGTCAGTTCTGTCATCTAGATTTTTTTTTTACGATTCATTAGCTCATTAGGGAGAGCATGGGATAAGTAATCCAGAGGTAACTGGTTATGCCCTTGGGTGAGGCAAGATTTCATGTTGACAATTTAACCTTGGACATTAAGTCTAATGTAAATTTGTTTCTCCATGCATTTGGAATTAGTTGGGTCAATTGTGGAAAAGGTTAGTCAGCCAGGTTTGATCTGGCGGCTCAGCCGCTGAAATATGACCAGAAAATGTGATAAAAGCAGAAAACTAATCTAAACATTGGCTAAGCATACAAATGGTTGTTGGGTCTACTCATTTAAGTAAATGCACCTAATGTATTTATTAAGGTTAATTCCCTTTAACCCAGATTTTGACTCTACAAGTACAGCTAGGGGCACCTGAGGCACAATTGGGTATTAACAAAAAGTACATATAGATCATATAAGGGTAATATTAAGATAATTGTTTTCAGGTGCCATGGCAACAGCAGGTGTCATGGCTGCCACAAAAGAGAACAACAAACAGGTGGAAAAAGAGAGACACGAGATTGTGGAAGAGAGAAAGAAACTCTCGGAGGAGCGAGCCAAGGTTGACGCGGAGAGGGAAGGATTCGGAGCGGAGCAGCAGAAATGGATGGACGAAATAAACAAATTACAGACCGAACTTGCTGAGAAGAATGTGGTATGTGATACATTTATTATACCCCCGCACAACAAAGTTGTAAGGGGGGGTATACTGGAATCAGCTTGTCCGTCCGGCAGTCGGGCGTCCGTCGATTTTTTCTTGTCCGCCCAATAACTTAAGATTCCTTTGACCCACAGTCTTCATATTTGGCATGAAGGTTAGTCATGACAAGTAGATGACCCCTATTGATTTTGAGGTCACCAGGTCAAAGGTCAAGGTCACAGGGGCCTTGACTTCAAAAAGCTTGTCTGCCCAATAACTTAAGTTTCTTTTAACCCACAATCTCATATTTGGCATGGAGGTTAGTCATGATGAGTAGATGACCCCTTTTGCTAATGAGGTCACCAGGTCAAAGGTCAAGATCACAGGGGCCTTGACTTCAAAAAGTTTGTCCGCCAAATAACTTAAGATTCCTTTGACCTACAGTCTTCATATTTGGCATGGAGGTTAGTCATGACGAGTAGATGACTCCTTTTGCTTATAAGGTCACCAGGTCAAAGGTCAAGGTCACAGGGGCCTTGACTTCAGAAAGCTTGTCCGCCAAATAACTTAAGATTCCTTTGACCCACAGTCTTCATATTTGGCATGGAGGTTAGTAATGACGAGTAGATGACCCCTATTGATTTTGAGGTCACCAGGTCAAAGATCAAGGTCACAGGGGCCTTGACTGCAAAAAGCTTGTCTGCCCAATAACTTAAGATTCCTTTGACCCACAGTCTTCATATTTGGCATAGAGGATAGCCATGACAAGTAGATGACCCCTATTGATTTTAAGGCCACCAGGTCAAAGGTCACAGGGGCCTTGACTGCAAAAAGATTGTCCGTCCAATTACTTAAGATTCATTTGACCCACAGTCTTCATATTTGGCATGGAGGTTAGTCATGATTAGTAGATGATCCCTATTGATTTTGAGGTCACCGGGTCAAAGGTCAAGGTCACAGGGACTTTGACTTTAAAAAGCTTGTCCGCCTAATAAATTAAGAAACCTTTGATCCACAGTCTTGATATTTGGCATGAAGGTTAGTCATGATTAGTAGATAACCCCTATTGATTTTAAGTTGACTGGGTTGAAGGTCAAGGTCACAGGGGCCTTGACTATGAAAAGCTTGTCTGCCCAATAACTTAAGATTCTTTTGACCCACAGTCTTCATATTTGGCATGGAGGTTAGTCATGATTAGTAGATGATCCCTTTTGATTTTGAGGTCACTGGGTCAAAGATCAAGGTCACAGGGGCCTTGATTTCAAATAGTTTGTCGGCCCAATAACTTAAGAAACCTTTGACCCACAGTCTTCATATTTGGCATGGAGGTTAGTCATGATAAGTAGATGACCCCTATTTATTTTTATTACACTGGGACGAAGGTCAAGGTCACAGGGGCCTTGACTAAAAAAGCTTGTCCGCTCAATAACTTAAGATTCCTTTGACCCACAGTCTTCATATTTGGCATGGAGACTAGTCATGGTTAGTAGGTGACCCCTATTTATTTTAAGGTCACTGGGTCAAAGATCAAGGTCACATGGACTTTGACTTCAAAAAGATTGTCCACCCATTAACTTAATATTCCTTTGACCCACAGTCTTCATATTTGGCATGGAGGTTGATCATGACTATAAGGTGACCCCTATTGATTTTGAGGGTCACTGGGTCAAAGGTCGACTAAAAAAAGCTTTTCCCCTCAATTGCTTAAGAACGCCTGTCCGCAGTTTATTGATTTTGACATTTTCACATTTGAAGCATGTAGAATACATAGCACTGGCTTAGTAACCTCAGATTTGGCAGGGACGTTGTCCTTGAGCTCTAAATGGCTACTGTTGATTCTGACAAAGTGGTATGCGGGGGTATTCATGCCATGACAGTGGCAGTTCTAGTTTATATTACTAAGGATCATTATTAAATAGAGATGGCAACGAATACCAAAGCAAATACTTAAGTACTTGGTCATTTTTCCGATCCAGCACTCCTTACTTGGATGATTTCCAATGATCTTCACCCTCTAGTACTTGATTAACTGTTCACATGTTGCCATGTTATTAAATTATTAGCCTATGAATTTCTTAGATAGACTTGTCGAGCTTCTAATCCTGGAACTGTCCATTATCAATTTTATGGGTATCAAAATGAAAATTTCAAGTTGATAAGCTGAACAGTAAAGAACCTGGTCAGACTGCATAGAAGTGCAGGCTGGCCTAGCTCTATGCTGGTGGCAAAGGTTAATAACTTTCAGTTCCAGCATATTAAGGATTAATTACAGAAACTTTAAAAAAATCATAAGAAGAATAAAATAAAAAAGACCAAAGAAACCAACAAACCCCAAATATTTTCTAGTCAGTATCTAAACAGCTTTGTTCAGTGATTATTTGATAATACATTTGTATCAGAGTATAATATTTGAATGTCTTATTAATTTAAACAGTCTGGTAACGAGTGGAAGGTCAAACATGATGTACTTCAAGGACGTCTGGAAGAAGTGGCTGGGATTCAAGCCAAGTACCAGATGCTGGAGAACCAGTATGCAGCACTTGCTCTCCTTGTAAAGGGAACCGATACCTCAGCTGCTCTAACGGTTAGAATTACTTTGATTTATGTGTTGTAATATGGTTTTTTATTTTTATTCATGTGCTTTCTTTTTATCATATTAACTTTTTATTCATGTGATTATTGTATCAAATTTGGACTTTATGTGCAGTAAAACTTAAAGATGTTTGACTTATATGTTTTTCATTGTACCAAACTTTGATGGTGACTGAAACTATAGCTAGTTTGAGTAACACCTCATAATAAAAGATTGTCACTTTCATTAGATATAAACTCAAACACTTAACAGAAACATTCAACCAGTAAGGAATTTATATCTCAACTAATATATCTATTTACTGAAAGAGGGTTATTAATATGGTAAAAAGAAGCAATGGTTGTCCTAGATATCTTGTTATCAAAGTATTACCTATTATATGGAGACATTCTCTATTTGATTTATACTGTTTATTTTACAATATTTAGGAGAATATGGGAAAGAATGAGGAGGAGAAGAAAATGATGAATGACGAGAAATCCCGACTAGACAATGATATCAACAAATGGGAGAAAGATTTTGAGAAGAAAAATGGCCGTAAACCTGCTGAAGATGATAAGTATGTTATATTCTTTGTTTTTTTTTCTGGTTTATATTGAATTTATCTGTTGTTGAAAGCCTAAGATTGCTTTAACTCTTAACCCGCTAAATATGTTAAATGGACTTTACCATCTTTTATTGTGAAGAAAACCAGTTATCATTGTTAAAGAAAAATGTTTGAGGTTTGAACTGACTGAATAGCCAACTGTGTTGACAATAGTCAAACGGCATGGTTGTGCAGTCTGATTTGGTCTGTACTGGGCACATGATTAAACTCAGTTGTGGTCAGCATGCTAAAGGTTAATGGAAGGAAACAGGAGTGATATTCTCCTTGTAGAAAAATCCTTTGCTTGTCATCGTTCTAACATAAAATATGTTCCTAAGTTATGGCTGAGACATTGATAGTATTGTAAAAGTTCAATCTGGCCTTTTTTTCCACCATATATTTTTAGAAGAGTTGCTAACATGCATGGTAGTGGGAATGCCTCAATCTTCGAGAAATATTACTGATTTATTACTTGTTTACTGTACAAAGGGGAAAGCTTATAAGTAAATATCAGACAATTATTCTACCCATTATTTAATGTTTGTGGGGTTTACTTCTTGTTTAACAGGACAGACATGGTAAAAGAGATGTACACAACACGTGAGGAAGTGACCTACATGGTTACCTCCCTTCAACAAAAAGAAGACACATTCAAGAAAGTGCAGGCTGGTGGCGTACCGGACGTACCTGAGGTGCCTCACAAACCGGTTGATACCACAGACCCAGAGGTGGTCACTGTCCAGGTAAGAATATCTGCCTTAGTTAAAACATATTTATTTTAGCTTGATTGGGCAACAAGTACTTGTAACTTATATTAATCAATTTCAAGACTGCTTCCTAGAACCTACAAGTACTAGTGTCATATGAGGAATGATCATGATCGTGACCCGAGTAGGGCTCGAACCCATGAGCCCTGGGTTGAGAGGCAGACACCTGCTTAATCTGCTTAAATATGAAGACCCCATAAATCTAGCTTACAGTTGATTGATGGTTATATTCAGTTAGAAAGTTACAATGCAACTTTTACAATGTCATTGTGGCAAAAAATCCAATAAAGATAAATAACTTATACTGTAATTTTATTGTACTTTTATTAAAAGATACCAGTAGAATACTTTAAGATAGGAAGTTCATAGCTGTTTTATTTTCATGTCTGTCAATGGGATGGTTGTTTAGAACAGGTTTTACCATACCATTGTTTATGTATAGGTAAAGGTACCAGACCCGACAGTGGTTGAAGAGTTGAAGCAGACGCAAACCACAATTATCACAATAAGAACAGAGATCACAACCTTGCAACAAGAGATCACAGAACTCAGGACCGAGATCAGCGAACAGAATGAGACCCTCGCCAAGCAGGTTAGAATCTATATAGCAGAATACATGAGTGTGAATTTTCCTAGAGACTGTTGTTATACTTTACACATAGGTTCTCTTGGATCTGATGAAAATTTGAAAAAAAAATCTGAAGATAAATTGTATATGAACAATAGAAATATTGTAGGATTGAGATCAGGGTTGAGATTTTGTCACCTTTGTGCAATAACTGGTTAACTCTTATTAAATTTAAAAAGGACTTAACCCGTTACTGCACTTAGGTGATGATTTTTATTTTTGGATTTCTCTACAGTTTGGAGTCTTTGGTTTTGTGTTAAATGACTGCCCTAAAATTAATTATGGACTTAAAATATCATGAGGTGATTTTTATTTAAAAAAAATACATTTTGTGATAAATCTTCAAGGATTTTAAAAGAAATTTGGCATATTCTTTTTTTTCACCCAAATAATCCTGATACTTGATCAATTCTGAACCATTCTATTTTATTAGGTTAATAAAAATGTTATTCTTGTATGTATTTAATTCTTTTTGAGCAGGCTCGATTAAACGGAGTCTGCAACATTTTCATTTTTGCTGTTTTGGACGTTCTTCCAGAATTCCATATTTTTTACAATTTCGGGTTTAAAAACACAAAAAAACCACACCAATTTTTTTTCTAGTATCAAAGTAATCAAATGAAAACATTAAATAGAATAAAAAAAGTGATTGATATAAATGATGCTTCACTGATAAGATTAAAAAAATTATAGTTGATTATATGAAGATCATTCTAAATCATTCTTAATTTTTACAGAGAGAAAACATTGCTGGGTTGGAACACCAGATAGCCACTATGAAGGCAGAGGGAGTTGCTACCGGCGCAGGATTGGGTGTTGCTGGTACTGCAGGCATATCTAATGAGGTACGTGTGGAGATATTCTCTAAAAATAAAAAAATAAAAATCATGCTTGTATATGACTGAAATACTGTTGATAATCAAGTATGTAGATATTTTGTTGTAGTTTAAAAAGTTTAGGTATTGTGCTCTTAGGCACAACATAGCTTACGGAGAGAGTTTCAAAAGAGCTTTTCAATCCTTAAATTTTGTTTTCTGTACCTTATTATGTAAATGTATAGATTATATTAACAGAAGATCTTAATAAATAAGATTAACTGTACTTGAGCGTTTTGGTATTTTCAAGTGTTTATATTCTTTTTCCATTGATTAAGTTTTATGGTAAATTACCGTACCATTTAACTTCAGTAGCCTGAAAAGTGATCCTGACAAAATCATTTCAACAGTGACAACGGTAACAATATTGTTTAATCTAACATAGCACAAAGGGTAGAGCATCAGCTTTGTATTCCAGGAGCTGCAGGTTAGATCCTCATATGAGGCCAAAGTTCTCCATGACTTCATTCTTTGAGTCTAATGGTCATTTGTCTCTCACAGCAGGTTCAGAAGTCATACAGGATTGGTAGACTGTCCCTTGCCCTGATTAGTTTTAATCTGTTTTGAAAGGATCACTTTTGATCACATTTTGTTTTATTGTGACATCATCACTTTTTATACTTCTATGGTTTGGTCACATGTTCCTGTTTATCATTTTATCATAATTTTATTATGATTATTTCATTGAAGGAACTGGAAGAGTTAAAGAACGAGAATCGTGCACTGCGTCGGGACATGAAAAAGATGATCAAACAATATGAGCGTCTGTCCGAGAGACAGCAAACAGGAGGGGGAGGTAATTTCACTTTTATTACATTCACTTTGTAATTATAATTGGTCATACATATGTTTTTTATCACCAGATACTGTATAGTTTCATGAAAGTTAAGTTTTCTTGTCTTGAAAAAAAAGAATATCGCTTGACATGTTTCTGTTTACAACAGACAGGTTTTGATAAATAATATTTTATAATGCTAGCAGTTCAAGTAATAGTTGCTTAGTGGTGAAAGTTGAGGATTTTAAACCAATTGCTCCTCACCTTTGTGGGTTTGAATTCTGTCAGGGGATTTTAGATTCATTCACAAATGCACTGAGGTCTTTCTGCACAAGTAAAGCTAGTAAGTTGTCATATGACCTTTAGAGTGTCATTGTGACTTAAACCCAGCAAAAAGAAAATGAACAAAACTTTAAAAGAACATTGCCACCAGTCCATAGCCAGGCTAGTCAGCACAATCATGCAGTCAAACAGTTTCATTTCTATTGCTATTTCATTTAAGCAATTAAATCAATTTAAGTGCTAATTTCCGTGAACTTCACAGAAATGAAAAATAGGTCCATAAGTCCATCATACAAATTTAGCAGGCTGAAATGCATTATGTGAGTCAAATTTTTTATTCCTTATATTACAGATAGTACTGATGAGGTGAAGGAGATGTCAGCTGCATTAAGTGCCCTTGACAACAAGGTCGCTGACCTTGAATCTGAAAATGAGGCTCTGAAAGAAGAAAGACTGGTTCTCAGAGAAAGAGTCAAGGTATGTTTTTATTATATAAATTACCAAGAAATAATGTATACCAGTCCAGGGAAAAATAAAAGAATATGTTTTAATGAAAAATAGAGAATCAGAGAAGTAACAGTTTAATGATAAGGTTTGCTAATTATTCATGTAAATATTACTGACTTTTATCAAAGGTCATGCTAAAAACTTGGAAAATTTCAAAATAAGTACTGACTGAATAGCAAACAGTGCAGACTATGATCAGACAGCTAAGATAGGCTGTCTGATCTTGGTCTACATTTGTTTCATGGGCTATCTGTTGGTTTGAAATCATTTACTATCAGCAAGTAAAGGTTTACATTGAGTAAAGTAATTAAAATAGCTATACATGTATATGGTTGTTTGAAATATAACTTAATTAATTTAGAAAAATTATAATGTAAAAATTATTATCATTTATTTTGGAATATTTCAGACAATTACAGAGACGATTACAGTGACCCACTTTGAAGAGAACAAGAAAAATCTTGATGAAAAAGACAAGAGGATTGAGGAATTGATTGCAGTGAGTTACCTCCCTTCCTTCATTGTTTTAGTAAAATGTGGATAAGAAAAAGTTATAAATTCATTTATTGTAGTTAAAAAGTGACACAGTTCTTAAAATAAGCTGTAAAATAAAATATAACTTACAGCTGTAGAATAATTCATGGCATGATACATTTTTGTAGGATATCAAAACAATTTAAGAATTACTGTATAAGTGGTTAAGTTAGCGACGTGGAAATATTGGCGAATTTAATGAATTGACAAAAAACGCTTAAATATCCTGTAGCTTAAATATCCACCAACCTGTCATTAATTTCTGCCCTTGCATGATTGGATCATATTTCCTCATGTGCAATGTCAGGAATTTTACATTGGCTAACTTTTTGACACACGCATAAATATCCACTTATACTGTTAATTATATTATGTCACATAATACACATAATTTATGTGTATTGGATAGGAAATAAAGAAACTACGTGAGGAGAATGTCAGCATGACAAAGGACATGAAGAAGATGGTGAAAGCTCATTCAAAAACCAAAGGTAGACTCAATGAACTGCTCTCTGCAGAGAAAGCTGTGAAACTGTTGGAGATTGTTGCTATGCTGGTAAGTCTGTTTGAGTTATAGTAGCTATAATAAGTTGTTTAATGCAATTAGTAGTTAAGCCAGGCCACACAATCTGTTCCTGCTCTATACTGTGGGCAATTTTTTAATTTTCTATTCTGTTATTATTATGATGTTGAAATCCTGGGTTTGCATCATATTAAGTTTTGAATTCAAGCCAGGATAAGTGATTAAGGTAACTGACTTCAAGCAAGTTTCTTCCACTACCACCACCCCCCCCCCCCACCATTCTTTCATGTTACAAAGCTATCATGGCTAATTATGGAAGGTCAATGAAAATGCATTTGACAATGAATAAACAGTTACATTAGTCATAAAAACTTAAGAAAACAGATCTGATGTTTATTTTTCATGAACTGATATAAATTGTTACATACAAATATAGTTTTTATCACAAATCTTGAAATGTTTTTTCGATATATTTTATAAAATGGCTGGTGAAATGTTTTACAAGCATATATATAAAGCCTTTTTCATCTTTACATAGTTTGAATTATCTTCCTTAGATATATGATATTTTAACTTATTTCTTTAATTATCTCCCTTAGATGCATGGTACATGTATTTGATCTTATTTCTTGAATTATCTCCCTTTGATACATGATATTTTTTCTCATATCTTGAATTATCTCCCTTAGATACATGAGATCCACACTGAAGTCCCTGATGCTGCTGGAAAAGTCAACAGCCGATTGGTTGATGCCCAGACCGATGTCAGCCAATTAAAACAAGTGTTAGATACAAAGCAGGCAGCTTATCAGGCATGGGTTGATGCCTACCAACAAAAACACAATAAAATTCCTGGGAAAGAAGAAAGGTAAAAATTATCTCCCTTTAATTTAAATGTTTTGTGATAAGAAAAGGTAAAGTCAGCAGATTATTTTGACTTCAAAAAGTAAAAGTGCAAATTTTGTTAAGAAAAAAAAGTGTTCTGCAAAAGTTGATCTTGAACAGTTAACAATCTGTATAAATTTAAAATTTGAAGGTCAAAGGTCATGTTGAGATATAAGCAAGAATTTTTTTTGACTTTATAGGTATAATATTATAGGCATAGAAGTTGGCCTTTAAAGTCAGTATGGTGAAAGGTCATTGCTATCTTTAGGATAATTTTTCCAGCTTGGGTATGCAATATTTAATTTTTTTGGCAAATTGTAATGAGAATTATTATTAAGGGTTTTGTTTTTTTTTTGAAATTGTATTTCATTTATATATATTGAATGTTTAAATCTTTGTATAGAAGGTGGAAAAAAATGACCTTGGAAGAGAGTGTTACATTGCGCATATTTCGAGGGTATACAAGTGTGAAATGAGTGAAATATTTGTGCTATTGCAGACGTGAAATGTTAACTTACTAGTATGCCATGTAACCATGTACTGTAACATCAATTATAACAAAATTATTACATTTAGTTTATCTAGTAAAAGTTTGTGGATGTCAGACATTTCTAAAAATTATTAAAGATAATTGAATGTGGTCTAATCTTAACCCTGCTGAATTGGTTGAATAATTTGCTCAGCTTTTAGTTTGGAATAGTTCATATAAAATTTAAGGGATTTCAATATTTAAACATAAAAAATTGAGCTACCAACGATATAGAACCTGATCAAATCTGCATGGAATGTGCAAGTTGGCTTGGCTTTATACTAAGGCAGCAAAGGCTGATCAGCTTCAGTGTCGTAGGTATTTAATTTATGTCATCCTTTGCTCTTTGTGAAAAACAAAGTTATAGGATATATGAGCCGCGTCACGACAAAACCAACATAATGGATTTGCGACCAGCATGGATCCAGACCAGCCAGCGCATCCGCAAAGTCTGATCAGGATCCATGCTGTTCGCTTACATACTCTATAACAAGTAGAGAAACTGAAAGCGAACAGCATGGATCCTGATCAGACTGCGCGGATGCGCAGGCTGGTCTGGATCCATGCTGGTCGCAAACCCACTATGTTGGTTTTGTCCTGACGCGGCTCATATAGTGATTCCCCTACAAAAACTTTTTTGATATTCTTTAAAAAAAAAAAAGCTAATAGAGATATAATTGATTTTACATTATCTGTGTCTGCTTTATAACTACATTGAATTAATGTGATGGCTGAATTTATGTCAATTTGCTAAATTTGTGTAATGGAAGATTTTCATATTTTGAAATACTTAAGAAGAGAAGTAAACTGTATAAAGACTGATCACTCTGCATGGAACTTAAAAGTTCAGACCTGGCTCTAAATTGATTGCATATACAAGTTTTCATGACTGCTTGCATTCAATGGTTATGCTAAAAACGTTGGGATAGTTATTGAAGTGTCTGTCTCTTTAGCCAAGGATTGTAGATTCTAGCCTTGCTGATGTCATGATTATGTTTTCTCATATAAAATAATATCAGTACTGGTTACAACCAGTTCCAGTAAACTGAATTTAAAGTGGTTCAAATAAAAAAGTGTCAAGCTTTTAGCAAAATCGAGCAATATTAACATGCTTACACTAAATGAAGTATTTTTGTTGCTGCAAATTGTTCTAACCATTGATGATTAAATACTTTGAAATGTTATTGTCTGATAAGTATGGAGTTCTTAATGTGACACTAACAGAATTTGCTTGTTGTTGTTGTTGCTGTTGCTTAGGGTTAGGGTTTATAAAATTAGTGAAGGTTAACAAATGTAATGACAATTTATAAATGTTTTTAAGTTAAGTTTTAAACGTGGAGTTTTTATTATAATTATATGAAGTTAAAAATGTAACCAAGGTCATGACTTTTAGTACTTAGTAAACTTTAGGATTGATATTTTAGGTGATTACCGGTATTATTTAACCCTTTCCCTCATGAGCATATTGTGAAAAATGGCCATTTTCATTGAAAAGCCTACTGTTACAAGTTCAAACTGCTATGAAACTATGAAAAATGCTTCAGTACTAATCAAACTTGGCAAAAATGTTGACTGGACCCTTGCCTTTGTAACGACATGCTCAGTCTTAAATTTTCTGTTACCATGGCAACGAGTGGACATCTCAAAATTGCCAAAAATCACTATTTTGCCTTGATTTTTTCCATCATAATTTATTTTAAAGTGCTGCAACTTCTCAAGGGATTGAGATAGAGTCAGAGGCTTTTCAGCGTTGGTTACAGATTACTGTAGGATCAACCTGGGGTTATTTTCAGCCTCTCACAAGTCCAAAATTTTCTTGGCAAGAGGGGGACTACCCCCCCTTCAAACCCCCCAAACAGAAGGGGGCACATCCCCTAACTTTTTTTAGCAACATTTCTCAAACGAAAACATGTGTTTGGGGCCCAAATAGGACATTTTTTCACTATTTGAGGCCTGAAAGAGGGGTGGGGGGTCGAAAGTGCGTTGTTTCGCGTATATATGAGGTAAAGGGTTAAAATTGTTACCTTATGCCTTCTATAAATACTAATTTCTTATTTACAACTGTTTAATTGAACCACTGAAATCCTTAGCATGTGCAATTATGAAATGAACTGTTGAGCGGGTAACATTTTTAACTGTTACACCCCTGTCATCGGTATTTCCTTTAACGCTCCCATACTACTATTCGGTTATTGAACGTCACTCAGCTCAATGTACAGTTGTAAAACTGTTGCAATATATATTATAATTTGATTGCAAAGTATTAGTTAATAAATAAAACAGTTATTTCATGGGTGTTTGTGAAACAGTAAACGGTTGCCTTTTTGTGCAACAGTTTTGACTGTTCCACAAACAGCCATGAAATAACTGTATACTGAACAAAGTTGAACATTTGGAACAATATACCTTTATATATTCGTAATATTAATAACCTTAAATGTTTTAAAGAAAAATACAAAGCATATCTTGATGTTCATATGAGTGAATGAATGAGTGAATGAATGAATGAATAAATATATACGAACGAACGAATGATGCAATATACGTATATGTTTAAACATATTGTCGAGTGTCTGTCGAAAGTATATGAGTTGTATTATTCTAAAAATTACATATTATACACTCATTTTTCTACCTATGCATTTCCTGTTGTTGTTGTTGTTGTTTTCTATTTCAGAAGGCCACATTGGAAATAAGATATATATGATTGTTATTGTATGTTCTTAATGTGTAACCTTCTTTAAATAAAGATATTATTATTATTATTATTATTATTATTATTATTATTAAACATGTAATCAAACAAATGCGTCCTGTAAATAGAGTATGAGAATTTTCATCAAATTTTATAAACTTGTAGGTAATTTCTGAGGATACAATGTAATGCCATTAAGTAGAACAGTTTTTTTTATAGGTGTTAATACAAATCGGAAGGTACGTTCCTTGAAAGAATCATGATTATTTTACAGGGATAAGAATGGAGAGTTTTACCATGATGAATGGGACCAAGCTAAACATGACTTTAAGGAGAAACATTTGTTTATGTCGGCACTTCTGTTGATGAAGACGGGAGATGTGAACGAGGCTGTAGGTGCCGATGGTACTGCTGAAAAAAGTAGGTCATTCATTACTTTATGTGTGTGGATGGTATATTAGGGTGGTTATTGCTGGTACTGGGGTTCTTACATTTTGTGGTAAATTGTTAGAACATACTTTTATGAATGTACTGTATTGCTCTTGGCTGTTGCACCTTGCTTTTTCACAGTAAGCAGACGTCAAAATTATTTGTGATAGAAACATTTAAGTCATATGAAATGTTTATAGGTCACTTTAAGTACGGAGATAAACATATGTTCAGATTACTGCAGTATCATCATTGACAGAATACCTAGCAGGGACGAGTATATAATTCTATTTGTTCATATGTAGGAACTATCGGTCTAGTTTTTGGAAAGTGAAGGTCACCTTTCTTTCCCTGCACTATATCCTACCCAGGTGTCTGCCTTTTTTTGGAAATCATATTGTTTTCAGGTGCCCACTCTTCCCTGCATTACATTCTACCAATGTGCCTGCCTTTGTATAATGTTCTGCCAAGGTACCTGCCTTGCCTTGAAATAATGCACCATTCAATATGTTCATTTTCTAAGCATACTTTCTTAAGCATATATTTGGAGTCAAAAAGTATGTGAAAATAAAACTTAAATTTAAAAAGGGGGGTAATTTAAAAACTTTAAGGGTTGGGGGGGGGGAAAAAAAAACCCCCCAAAACCCACCCCTATTTTTTTTGGGTTAATTTAGGGTTTTTAGGGGGGGGGACCTTTTTTCTTTAAGGGGGGGAAACCAAAATTTTAAAAACACAGCATAATTTATACTATAATAACATTGTGCTTGTATTTTATTACAGCTGATGTTGATATTGAAAACCTAGAGAAAGCCCTTTCTCTGGCAGACAACCAGATCATTGACCTGGAAGCCAAGGCACAAAATCTCAATGATGAGAAAAACAGATATAAGGACAAAGTTGATGTAAGTAGAAATTTCTGGTTTTACTTTCTTTTGTATAATTTTGTATATCTTTTTTGCACGCATCAGAACATGTTCAGTCCAAAAAAAAAGAACCTTCAGTTGGTAGTCTTGTAATTAATGCTCTATTTTGAAATGAGCCACGTCACGACAAAACCAACATAGTGTGTTTGCGACCAGCATGGATCCAGATCAGCCTGCGCATCCACGCAGTCTGATCAGGATCCATGCTGTTCGCTATCAGTTTCTCTACTTGTTATAGGGTTTGTAAGCAAACAGCATGGATCCTGATCAGACTGCGCAGATGCGCAGGCTGGTCCGCATCCATGCTGGTCGCCAACGCATTATGTTGGTTTTGTCATGGCATGGCTCAAATAAGTTTGAGTTAATTTACTGCTGCTGTATTTTACTGAACAAGTTAAGATTTGAACCAGTTTGTTTCCTCACTGGTTGTTGAGCAGAGTTTTAGTCTATACCACTGAAAAATATCTTAAATATACTTTTCCATCATTTAATCTTGACAAAACTATTCATCACTTTTAGGGAATATTTCAAAATATATACTGATACTGCATGGATGTGCAGGTTGACCTGGCTCTATACTGGTGGAAAAGGCTTATCACTATTAGTTTGAGCAGTTTTTAATGTCATTTAGTAAATCCTAAAAAAAAATGAATAAAGTAAATTTGACATTATATTACAGGACTTGGAGAAGATGATAGTGGACATGCAGAAACAGGCAGAATTAAATGCTACGCTAATGGCTGATGCTACAAGTAGTGCTGTAAGTTTTACCAGATTTTGTTAAAAGGCCCATTATGCCTCTGAAATGCTTTTGTTTCTCAAAAACTTTTTAAATGAGTGTGTACTTTTATAGTATCCAAAAAGTTACTCATTGGTCAATTACTTGAACCATTTTTTTTTTCATTGGTTGCTTTTTGGCAGTAAGTACAGTTAGTATAGGTTAGAGTGCATATTGGGTGTTCTTCGTAAATAAGAAAGCTAAAAAGGAGCGGAGCTTGCGAAGCGACTGTAGCTTTCTTATTTACGAAGAACATCCAATATGCACTCTAACCGGCTTAGTGCTCCGCCCACTTGCATTTTATGATATAAAACGTCCAGTTTATATAAAATCTGTTCTATTAAGATTTGTAACCTGAAAATTTGAAAAATCCTCGTCGGTGATTGGCTTAAAAAAATTGGCGAGCACTAATATTGAATTAGTATTTTGTATGAAAGTCAAAATACATTAACTACATGTACTTCCTTTTACATTTTGCTACTTTTATGACAAAATATTTCACATTTATCACTACTTTCTAGGTATACGTAACAAGCATCTAACATTCTCTTTAACTATTTTTTAAATATAACAAAATTCATGTTTGTCTCTAAAGATTCAAAAATTTGTTTCTTAGGTATAATGTGCCTTTCACCCTCACCCCTGATAAATTTTATAAAATGGACATATCCCTGCATTGAATTTGTAACTGGCCTTATCAGAGGTTGTAGATCTTGGCAATGGTCTTTTTCAAATCTATTCTGCGAACAAGGCAAACCTTTCTTGGATGCAACCTCACTTACTATGAATACAATATTTTACAACATCTTTGGTTTTTAGCTCGACTTTTCTATGAAAAGGGGAGCTATCCTACTCGCCCCGGCGTCGGCGTCGGCGTCGGCGTTGGCGTCACACCTTGGTTAAGTTTTTCGTACCACCCCACTTCATTTCAGAAGTATTACAAGTATGGCTTTGAAACTTACCATACTTGTTCACCATCATAACCTCCATCTACAGACAAGAGTACATAACTCTGTCAAGGTTTTTGACAGAATTATGGCCCTTTTTTGACTTAGAAAGTGTATTGAGCTTGGTTAAGTTTTTTGTACCACCTCACTTTATTTCAAAACCATTGGAGGTATTGCTTTGAAACTGACCATAACTTGTTTACCATCACGACCTTCATCAACAGACAAGAGGACATAACTCTGTCAAGGTTTTTGACAGAATTATGCCCCTTTTTGACTTAGAAAATACATTGAATATGGGTAAAATCCACTTATTGCCTTAACCCTTTGAGATATTGCTTTGAAACTTTTAATGCTATTTCACATCATTACCCCCATCTGTACGCAAGAGAAGGTAACTCTGTCAAGGATTTGTTTTAAAAATTAAGGCCTTTTATCGACTTAGAATCTTGGTTTAATACTATTAAATTTATTTAAGGCTCAACTCAGTTTTTTTTTCTTTCTTACCAGCCCTCTTTTGACTTAAACATTTCAAACTTTGCTGCAGTGTTCAAGGGTATCACACAATTCAGTAAAATAATTCTTCACTAAATATCTTAATGCTCATGGCCATTGTTCACTTTAAAAATACAGAGATTCTTGTATTGCCTTTTACTGCAAAAACTTTTTTTATTGGCAAGCAATAAAAAAGTCGAGCGCGCTGTCTTACGGACAGCTCTTGTTACTGAATTTACTTACTTGAACTAACCAGTACTGAACAATGAGTGTAAACTTTCTTGCTCAAGGAAACAACTTGCCCCTGACAGGGTTTGAACCCATGCAGCTTGTGATCATAAGATTACTAGTCCGACACATTAACCACTCAGCCATGCCAACACTTTGAATATGGGAATCCATTGTTTGGTACATTGGTCTATAGAGTTTCTTGTGAGTTCATATCCAACACAGTGCTGAATTTTTTTTCTAATGCTTTTTCATCTTTCTCTTTCTGTTAGGAATTTTAATTGATTCTAAGAATAGTTTGTATGTAACAATTATTTTTATATTTTCCAGGAACTGACAGAGCAGTTAAGTGACCTGCAAAAGAAAGCTGATAATTTTGAGGCAGAGTTAATGCAGGAACGTATGTCCCATGTGAACACCCGTGACGAGCTCGAGACTGTACGTAAACAGATGGATGTTCTTAAGGAAGAGATGGAGAATGAGAAAGCTGGCATGGAAGCGAGGCTAAACACGGCTAAGGCAGGCCTCGAGGCTCAACTTGATGTGAAGAATGAGGTAAGTGTTCTTAACCTTTAACCTGCTGAATTTCTTAAATGGACTTAACCAACTTCTGATTTTGGAACTGTCCATTATCAGTTGAAGGTATATCTAGATAAAAGTTTTAAGCTGGTCAGGCAACTGTGTAGAGACTCGGTTCTAAGACTGATGACAATACTAATTACTTTTGGATCCAGGCTAAATACAAATTTAATGGAAAGTTATTCAGTAATGACATTGTCTAATGCAAGAGTTGCTTGTGTTTATTACAATTCTACCCAGTAAAGGTCAGTTTTCACCAACTCATTATAGTTTATTATCATTAAAAGTTAAAGGGACTCCACTGAGGTTTTAAAGCCTAATAACATAACATTTGAATTTCTAACATAAATGAGCTGGGGCACTTTAAACATAAATATATGCAAAGATAGTTAAGAAATATACTTTGAAATAAATTGAAAATTGTATTTTTATGCTTTTCTTAGCCCGATTTGAGTGAAAAGCGTTTAAACGCTTTTCATTTTGGGTCATTTATTTACTATTTGAATACTTATTCTTGAAAAACAAAGTGCGCGAATGATCTGCAATTTTGCACAAATATTAGTCGTCTAAACCTACATCAAATGGTACATTTATCTGGAGAAAATATTTTCAGTCCCATCATGTCAAAAAAACCCAGTGGAGTCCCTTTAAAGAACTGTATAATTAATAATAATCTAAGCTACACTGTTTTGTTATTATGCCCCTGCAACTAAGGGGTTGAGCATTATAGACCTCCTTTTGTCTATCTGCCCATCATGCTCTCCGCCTGTACACTGATAAAACGATGATCCTATGGGCACATTTCTAGTTTTAATTATGAGAGAATTTGCTATATTTCTACCTAGTCACTAATAGATTAAAGGCATATTTTGAACATTTATTTCAGGTAATTTCCTTAAGTTTACTTAAATCACATATTATTCGCTTTGACCATGTTGTAACGATTTTTTGTTCCCTCAATATTAATATCTCGAATTTTTTATTTCATTTTATAGGAAATAGAATCTCTGAAGTTGAAGACAGATGAGCTAGAGACAGAGAAATTGTCTAAGTTACCTCCTGATTCTGCAGCAGAAATCAAGAAATTACAAGATAAACTGGTATGTACTGTGTCTATAAATAGATCTAATCTATTTCTAGAAATAGAACTATTCCTATAAATAGATTTGTGTCTATGATATATCTATTTTTCTAATTTTCTCTAACTTATTATATTAAAGACTTTAAGAGTTTTAGTAAAGAATTAGGGAACAGTTACCATGGCAACATGAAGTATCATTAGTAAAATAAATATTTAAGCTAAGATATAAAGTTTTGTTTCATCAGTTCCATACATTTTGGTAGATTACACTTTCTTAGTATGAGCACATTGTACATGTCTAAAATCAAAATATGGCAGTGGGATTGAGAGAAAAATGATGGTATGTGGGGCAGTAGCCCTCGATATGAAACAGATAAGTCCCTAAAATTTTATTATTTTTTCAAGAACTTGATAAAATAGCAACAGTTTCCATGGTAACAGTGATTCTTGCATAGATTGACAGATTAGCAGAAGACAATGTCAAGCTAAGATAAAAGCTTTTGTTTCATTCATTTGCATTCATTTTCTAGAAAAATCTGGAACAAGATAAAAGTAGTAACAAGAGTTCCTCGGTGGCCTTGAACTCTCAGGTAGCAGAATTGACCTCTCAGCTGGAGGTCGCTAGTAAACATCTCGAGACCCAAAGAGCGGCTAACAGAGAACTTGAGGTTTGTGATAAATGATTTCCTAGCATAATATACATGTATAGCCTTTTGAGAGTTCATAGTGCTGATAGTGTATTTTAAGTGATGGTCTTAAATGATAATTTTACAATTTTTGAGTCAATTCATCTGTTTGTATAATTTGAGAGCATGCAGTGTTTGTGATTAAAAGAAAATATATCAGGCAGTTAACATTCATTCCAACACACAATTCAGTTGCTGGTAATCAGCTAGTGATATACTGAAATACATGTATATCCATTTTAAGATCATAAAAATTTGGTATATTTAATTCAGAAACCTTTTATTTAACTGAATAAGCCTTTTCATGACCCTGAGCAACAAATGATATATGTATACTTGGTGCTTTATGAAAAAGATTTGAAGAGGGAAACAAAATAAATATAATCATGCAAGTTTCAGTGGGATGGAATTTCTTGATGACATATATTTTTTGTTTTATTTGGGTTTTTCCTGAAAAATTGTATAAATGTGACTTACAAATGTATGACAGTTTTCTGTTCATAAAAGTAAATATTTTATTTTTAGGCCAAGTTGAAGGCAAATCGACTTGAGAAAGACAAGGAAACAAAGAAGATGTCCCGTCATTTAGAAGAGAAACAGCAGAAGACGGCCAATGAGGATAAACAACGAATCACTATGCTCGTAAAACGTGTGAAAGAACTGGAGTCGAAAGCAGGCAAAGGAACTGTAAGTGTTTATTAGGTTTTAACATGGTCCAATAGCAAATTAGGGGTTTCAAAACCCTTCTCAAACCACATTTATGAAAAAAAAAATTAATAAAAGGTTAATGATTAAAGAGTTTGCATGTACATTGTATATGAAATGTATGTTATTCTTTGTTGTTAAAAGAATATTAAGTAGGTGATTTTATGATTGTGTGTTCTAGGTAAACTAATTTAAAAAAAAAAAAAAAATTTTTTTCAGAATATTGTGCCAGTGGTAAGTTATGTTTTTAGTGAAAAAATAATTTGCTTTTTTTTTTTTTTTTTTTTTTTTTTTTTGTTAAATAATAGCCAAGTTTATTCTTACAATTCTTGTTGCAGAAGAAATTTTCTTATTTGCATTATGCCAGAGTTATTGATATAATAGTGATATGAGAAGAGACTGCTGCACATAAAGAAAAACTGAAATTTATTTTTATACCCTGACTTTTGAAGGTGGAAACTTTGGTTTCATTCAAAGAAAACATCTTAAACTTATCCTGTGTTGACGGTTTATTCCACTTAACATTTTATAAAATTCAATGAGTTTAACATTAAGTCCAACTTAACCTCAAACTTAAACACACAGAAGCATACAAATAAAAACACTTTAAATGATATATCACTCATTTGAGTTAATACATTATTATCTGACTGTATCAAGTACACACAAAAATATTTTCGTTAAATTTCAGCCTGTTGGAGGTGGTGGTGGAGGAGACAAACATGGTACAGCTGAGGTACACATGTTGAAGAGGGAGATTAAAGATCAAGCTGCCGAGATCAAGCGTCTGGAGAAAGAGATCAAATTTGGAGGCGGGGCTGCTGGCGGGAAGGGAGGAGACGTGGCTGATGTAAGATTTATCTTTATTTAAGTTTGTAGCCCACTGCCTGTTGAATATTTGCAATGGTTTTGCCTTACTTTGAATTTGGAATAGTCCATTCAAAGTTTAAGGGAGTTCAATATCGAAATATAAAAATTGAGCTATTTACAGTATATAACATGGTCAGAGACTGTATGGAAGTTCTGGCTGGTTTGGCTCTATACTGGAGGCAAGGTCAATCACTTGCAGTCCCAGTTAAGAGTTAAATGTCAAATATCAAGTTTAAAATCTAAATGTTAAAATGATGTCAACCATTGACGTAACATTGGGTTGACTATATCACAACAACCTTAGACAACAAATTGATCAAGATTAAAATTATTTTCTTAATATTTCAGTTAAGTGATGATTGTATTTTATGTTATAGAAAAAGAAATTGGCACAACATGAGAAGATCTTAAAAGAATTGGAGAAGAGGATGGATTTTGAAAAGGAAAAATCTGGCAAGCTTATGGAAGGTTTGAAAGCAGCAGATGAGGAAAACAAAGGTCTGAAAAAGGTAAAAAATGCTTTTATAAGGATAAAAGTTATGTGAAACTTCTTTGCTGTTGATTTTACTGTGATAAGGTATGGAATTAATACTTTTTATGTAAGCTAGATTGTGGGGAAAGCTTGAAGCGTATTTCATCCTTTCTAGAGGCTGTTTCCTGGAACTTAACGGTACAAGTGTCCTATGAGGAGACATGGCCATGACCCTAGTAGAGTTTGAATCAAAGATCCCTTTTATGATCAGACACCATAATCACTAGGTTATAACCACTCAGGTTCTTTATTGTATGGGATTGATCCCTGGTTGGATTGTTTTCAGTCTGTTACTCTATCATGTTTTCCCCTCAACACTGTATTGCCCCTATTATGATAATCCTCGGAACTAACTCCATTTGTCTTGTTTACATACTGTTAACGTTTCTTGCACTTTCACCAATTATGGCCCATTGTTTATGATTATGAACTGTAAAAACTCAAAGCAGATTGTGCTGTCTTTGGAAATTTTCATTATAACTATATAATTATAGTAAGTTTTTGTATCATGAGAGGGTGTTGTCCACTGTGATATCATTGTTCATGGCAACTAACATACATGCATGTTAATGTAATCCTTAAACGGAGACATTTAGATATATGTTAGTGTGTAAGCAGAAGACTTTTCAAGGTCAAGGTCACTAAGTTACATATAGATAAAAATTAATTATCCAAAAGGTAATACACACCACCTCTCTATTTTCCATTTGATCACTTTGACCTTGACTTTTGACCTTTGTTACAGGAACTTGATGAGAAGAATCGTATCTTGACCAAGTTGACAGCAGAAATGAAGACAATAAGTGTGGCTGCTAAAGAAGGAATAGAAGCTGCTGGCAAAGTGAAAGAACTTGAAACCGAAAATAAGAAACTGGGAGAGGAAAATATTGTCCTTACCAAGAACTTTGAAAGTGAAAGAGTAAGTGTTTACTTTGATTTTCATTACTGAAATTTCTCTGTGAAATATAAATGATATCATGTACTACATGTATATTTCTCATGGATGTTATAAGGTTATTATACCAGTTCATGTTTGAGTTCAATACTGAATTCTATTGCACAAGTACACAGCTGTCAAACCTATATTGGACAAGGTGCAAGTTGAGTCTGATACCGGTATAGGTTTTGCAGCTGTGTACGAGTCCAATAGAATCTGTATTGTTCCCAACAATGTTTAATGACCTTTTTATTTCACATTTTGACAGAATTTTGATACTTCAAATACAATAAGGAATTGAAATGAAAAAATTCTACCTGAAAATGGAGTTGAGGCTTGATGGAGTATGATATGCATTTGATATAGATACTTTGGACTCTAAAACTATAAACAAGGCAATAGTGGGGTGTTATGCACTTGATATGGATGTTTTGTACTCTGGAAATGGAAATGTGGCTAAATTGATAAGATTGGATCTGATAATGATTTCTTTTTGAACATAATGTGGTTCAAACCCTGAAAGTTCATTGGTTATATTTTATAAGGTGTGAAATAAATAAGCCATATGATTTGCTAAATTTCTCATTTTCCTATAGGACATACCCTTTCTTTTCAACATTGGTTGAACTTTATTAATAAAATAAGTAATGAAAATTTCAGGTGCTGAGGAAGAAATATTACAACATGGTTGAGGACATGAAGGGAAAGATTCGTGTCTACTGTAGGGCTAGACCAATGAGCAAATCTGAACTTGACAGGGTAACATCACAATTCCTTTTTTATGAACTGGACTTTTATCATTAATCCTTTGCATGCTGGGAAAATTATCGTCTGCTAACATGTCTTCTGCTTTATGTTACCAATTTAATATCATTTCAGCTGATTTGATATCTATTCAACCAGGTTGATACCTTTCCAGCCAAACTGATATTTATTCAACCAGGTTGATACCTTTCCAGCCAAACTGATATCTATTCAACCACAAACTGATATACAATTCAACCAAGTTGATATTTTTCAGCCAAAGTGATATCCTTTGAACCTAGTTGAAATCTTTTCAAACAAGTTGAAATCTATTCACCCAGGTTGAGATCTATTCAACCAATCTGAAATTTATCTTACCAAGTTCAGTCAACCAAGTAGAAATCTATTAAATCAAGTTGAAATCTTTTCAACCAAGTAGAAATCTCTTCAACCAAGTTGAGAACTGTTAGCTCTTTATAACCAAGTTGAGATTGATTTAACCAATCTGAAATCTACTTGACCAAGTTGAGTCAACGAAGTTTAAATCTGTCCAACCAAGTTGATATCTTTTCAACCAAGTTGATATGTATTCAACCAAGTTGTGATCTATTCAACCAAGTTGGGATATATTTAACCAAGTTGAGATCTATTCAACTAAACTGATATCATACAAACAAAGAATCAATTCACAAAGTTTTGAAAAGCATATAATACTGGAATTTTCTTTATTTTCAGGGTAACAAGCCTGTATGTAAATCAGGTGATGAGTACACAATCAGTGTTGAAGCTACACGTGGTCTTAAAGAATTCCAGTACGATGCTGTCTTCATGGAGGATTCAACGCAGGAGAAGATCTTTGAGGACACTAATGTAAGTAAAGTTGTCTCTAGAATTTAAATGGTTGAAAAGCTGTATTTTTTTGTGATTGGTAAAATGTTTTTATTGTGTATTCAGAAGGAAAGTCTGCTTGCTTAGCCCAATAAGCATCAGGGTTTGTTGCCGCGATCCTCGGATGTTACGGATGTTGCCGCGATCCTCGGATGTGGCGGAATATCTCCATGACAATAGATCTTGGACATTAAGTAGAAATTTTGGCTTGGTCAGGTGTCTGCCTCTTAAAGTCAACCCAGAGGTCTTTGGTTTGCACCTTATTTTGTGATAAACTGGTTATATCAGGTGTATGCCAGCACATAACCAGGCCAGCCGCAACATCTTTGCAGTTTGAAGAGAGTGGTAACTGTTTTGTGCTTTATTTTAATGTTTTGACAAAGCATCACTACCATGTTGATTCAAATAGTGACCCTTGGGTCAAAGTTGGCCTCGGCTCAGAGGTCATTTGATTGTATACAGCTTGTATAGAAAAAAAGCTTATAATATCTTCTCTTATTAAAGCACAAGGCTTAAAGCTTAAATATTTGCTACATGACATTGTCTAGGTAACATTAACGTAGTTAGCTTAAAAGCAATGGATTTAAGGTGAGCAATCCAGGGCCGTTATGGCCGTTTGTTTACTGTGAAGGGGAGTAACTTTTATCTGAAGAGTGCCTCTATTTTTCAGAACTTGATACAGTCAGCTGTAGATGGCTACAATGTGTGTATCTTCGCATACGGACAGACAGGCTCTGGTAAAACATTCACAATGATCGGTGACAAAGATCAGAAATTCCCAGGAATTGCTCCAAGGGCCTTCAACCGAATATTTGAACTTATAGATGAACTAAAGTAAGTATTATGCCAGGAACCAGGAGTTTGATTATTCTGGTACCCTTTATTTAAAGTAGCATGCATCTAGATTCATCTGTCTGTTTAGGTCAGTAGGAGGAGCATCACATTTGTAATCCAGGGTTGTGGGTTCAGTCCTTGGTCAAGGCGAAAATTCTCTATTACAATTGATCTTCTTACAGCTGATTGATGTAGGATAAGTAGTCAGTCACTTGCAGAGAAATTGTTTATTATTGGTTAGTTATCTAGAAAAACTGGTTTGATGGACCAACCACTGAGACATGACAAAAATGACAAACAAGGAATTCTCCACATTCATGCTAATTTTAGTGAAAATTTAAAATTCAAATGAATAATGAATTCATTAAAGGTAGCATATGACTTAAACAATTCACATGAATTGTTGAAATATGCAAATAAAGCTGTTACCCTGTGAGATAACAAGGTAGAATTATGGTGATGATAATAAGTAAAGATATATGTTACTGTGTGAAATTAGGACAATGCCCTGTAGAACATTGTTTTTTGTTTTTTTTCACAATTCAAGGACATAGGCGATTGTTTTGTATCAAAGAAAGGGGAGCAATATGAAATTTAAAATTAACATAAATTTTACATCAAAACGTCAACACACTATAAAAATTGCCTTCAGTTTATATCTGAGGTAGACCTAGGTGCCTTCACGATATATTCAGATACAAGACTGCATGAAAATTAGAACATGCAAATTTTTTTGTAAGGGTAGCTGAATTAGATTTTTTCTATGCAAAAGAAATTTTGGTGTTGAATTGGTTTGGGTCAATTTGATTTATTGAAACAGGTGTTTAGCTTGTTTTGGATGAATTCATTAACATTGATATTAACGATTTTTAATTCCAGGTCTAAGTTTACTATCACAGTAGAGGCGTACATGTTGGAGTTATACAATGATAAACTGATTGACCTGTTTGCCAAGCCAGGATCTGAAGATGTAAGTACATTTTGTTATACTTTTCAAATTTATAATTGGTACATATCCCATATTGTTGGAATTGTTGAGATTAAATTCTATGAGAATTGATGGCTTCAGTTTATTTGTCACATGATTTTGTCACATGATTTTGTCACATGATTTCTTTAAATTTCTGTCATAATGTCAGTTATATGTAAATATGTTATAAAGGATATGTTGGTTCATAAACAGAAGTAAATTATAAATTTTGAATTTGTTTTGTTTTGTATTGCATTGAGATCACAGTACATTTTTAATGATAGGGAAAAGCTTCTGGGTAACTTGTATAAATGAGTTTACTGATTTAACAGTAAGCAAGGTTGACCTCAACTCGAGAATTGTGTTAATGCCTTTCTGTATAAATTTTCTTTTTAATCTACATTTTTCGAATAAAAATAATGTGTTTGAAAATATATATGGCATTCCAATCTAAAAAAGAAGTTTGCTTATTAAAAAATTAGTATGTTATAATTATATTGGAACAAATTTAGAAAATATTATTCTTTGCATGTATGTGAATATTTCATTTAATGCAGAATTTTACAAATGTTTTATTTTTGTCTTTAATTTGTTCATGTTTATTCATGTTCTGTTTTATTTGTTTTTTCTTGTCCAGAAAATGGTACTGTATTAAAAAAAATCATGCTTCACTTGATTCATTTTTATCTGTTTTGCAAGGAGGTGCATTCAATTCAATTCCAACTTTTTAAGAAGCTGGTCAAGTTTTCTGAACATTGTTCTCATTTGCCTTGCAGAACTCTTTAAAAATGAATCAAGTTTATCACATTCTCATTTTGGCATACAGCCAAGTATTTCCTGTAATAACTACATTGCTTTTTAAAAAATGGGTTGAATTTCTTCATTCAGATGAAACATTTGTAAGATATCTTGTCTGCTGACAGCTAATATAGTAATAGTATCTGTCATATGTTGCGGTATGGATTTGAATATCCGTCCTGAGGGGACGTGCCCATGGGAGGGTTCCAGAGGGAGGGATATCCCGGTCCCAATCGCAAACATGTGTCAGATATTTTTTCTTGCATATTCTACCATATTCCATTATATTTTAAACTCTACACATTAATAAAACAATTTTCCAAAGAAATTTATGTCATTACACGTAACTATTTTCTTACAACAGCTTATGAAATTACAACTTCATTCATAACAGTAAAATTATGTCATCCTAAGTGTGCTATTGTACAGCACTTGACTCATGTGGCACCCAGGCATGGGTAAAACTAACGGAAAAGCCAGTCTGATATGCAAGAAAACTTATGCCAGTGACATCTTTTCAGACAATTATTTCTTTTTTACAATTGTCAATTCCGTGACTCTTTTGAATCTTCCATGAAATTCTTCTTATACAGGCATCTGAATAATATATATAAGCTGTTGACAGATTGAATATTTTGAATATGGTCCCAGTCATGGTTGAGATACAAAACATTATCATGGCATGCTGGTATAATGCATGTATCACCACATTTCATACATTTTACTTAAAGCTGCACACCTCCTGATGAGCAAACTATTTCAAGAAAATCAAACTTGAGAAAAGTGTACTAAGAATTTAAGAAAAGTAAAAAGATGCAAGATTCATGTGATAGTTAACATGTTATGTATAATTAATGACTGATTTTGCAGAACATATCAGCATATTTCTGTGTGACTAACGCAGTAAGGGCTTTTTTGCATATTTTGACCTCTTTTTGATGATTAACAAGATATTGTAAGTGCTATTTGCAATATGTAAATTACTTTTTTTGTTCACTTCACAATATTTTACTTTCAAATACATTTTCAAATTTTTCATGAAAATTAGCATAAATCTGGAGGTGTGCTGCTTTAAGATCTTCAGGGATAATATATTGAATTTCATAGTTTAAACAACCAGTGAAATTTTTGCATGAGTTCGTACTAAGATATTTTGCTAGGCAATTATCTTTTACAGTACTTCAGGCATTTCATATTCATGGTATAAACAAACAGCCGATGAAAATTCCTGCATGGGCTCATACTAAATATGTACAATATTCTCAAGCAGAAAAGTAATAGCTATATGCTAAAGAGCTTCTTTTAGAAAATGCTGTTGTCTTAGAATAGAAAATGGAATGAATAGTATTGCTAGTGTATAAAATAAATAGGAACAAATTGTTTTGAACACTTGCTGTAATGCATATGAATAATCATGGACGGACTTTGATAAGAGAGCTGGTATTTTTTATTTGGATATTAATTTTTACTTGGGCCTGTCAGGTTTTGGAATAAAATTAATTCAGTTTAAGCACTAAAGTTACAAAGTCAATAAACAGCACATGACACCTTTTCAGTATGCATGTTTTGCCATGTGACACCACATCATTGTCATGTTACAGCACATGAATTGTCACATAATTGTCATGTGGTAACATCTTATAATGTGGCAGCACATATTGTCATTGACACATGACACCACATTGTCATGTGGTAAATCTCATTATTGTCTTGTGGCAACATCTTATCATATGACAGCACATCATTACCATGTGATAACATTATACTGGCATTGTGTCATGTGATAGCAACATGACAATACATCACTTCTGTGCGACAGACATCATTTGCCATTTTTTTTTTTTTTTTTCATGGACAACACATCATTGCCATTGACAACATGTTACTGCCTAAATGTGGCAACAAATTATCTGCCTTGTAACAGCATGTCATTGTCATGTGCCAATACATAATTGTCATGTACAACACATCATTGCCATGTGACAATATTTCATTGTCTAATGACAACACATCATTTGCCTTGTAACACTATATCATTGTCATGTGCCCATATATCAACACAACATATCTTTTGTCATGTGACTGAAATAAAATGCAATCTCTATTTTGATTTTTTGTTACCTCTTTCTTTTATTATTTGCAATGATAACAATAATAATTGTATATCTCATTTTTATTTGCTCTCAATAATCGATTGATTCCTTTATATACAATATAAATGAAATCTTAATTAACCCAAAGTAACATATTGTCAGTCATTTATATTTTCTTCTATTAAATGAACATTTATCATTGTTTTATCATTTCTGCTCCATGTGTTATTAAAAAAAAATTTTGCTTTAAATGTTTAAAATGATATTGTAAGAATTTTAACAAAAGAGCAGAAAAGGTGGTTATATCTTTCACATGTTGTATGACAGTGGTGGTCAAAAGCTAGCGTATATATGTACCTCAGGGGTTGTGTGCAGGGGGTTGAGGGTTCAAGCCTTAACAAAGCACCATTATACAACTGGTGCATTAACTTGCTTCCTTATGTTGTAGAGTGTAAGGTCTTTAAAAACTATAGTCAAATCTGTGTTAAAGACCACCTCAAAACAAAGATCACCCTGTAAATAAAGGCCACTCATTGACAACCCTTAGTTGATTTATTGTAGAACAAAGAAACCTCCAAAGAGAGATCACCCTATAAACAAAGGCCAGCAAGCATTCATTGATTTAATAGAACAAAGTAACCTCCAGTTAAAGCCTACTTGTCTATAAAGGCCATGTTCAAGATAACCTTTCTTCACAGGTTTGACTGTAGTCGCTTTAATTTCAGTATATGAGCAAATTTATATATGATTATAATTTATATATTGCTTGTATATGTTATATACATATATATGTACAGTGGTATTCTTTCACATAAGAAACATGTATCAAATCATGAAATGTTTTATCAGTGATAGATGTTGCCAATTTCTAATTAAACTATTTCAGCTTTTATTGTAACATTTGTTTTTGACAGTACACATTTACAATATTTATGACAATTAATGTTATACTGTGAGAGATAGGGAAAAAATGGTTGAAATATAATGTGAAAATATCTTCTTACTATTCAGCTATTTGTACATATACAAAGATACAATATATTATTACAAGTTTCAGAATTTTTTTAAACTTTTATCTTGTTGAATTTCTTAAATTGACACGTCCATCTTCCATTTTTGAAACTGTCCGTATGAAAATACTTTGTAAGTCTGGGACAGTATAGATGCTTTTCACGTAGAAATTATCACCTCCCCTGGCAGACATTTTGAATAAAAACGATAAAAATCTCTCTGTAATTATATAATTATCATCTTCATGAAAACTGATAAAAATCTTTTACATATTGGTGCTATAGTAACAAATTCCTTCATATGTATAGGAGAATTTGACAAATTCACCTATAAATCAGCTGTTTATATTGATTTTTCATACTGAAAGTTGAACCCAACAAATGGCTGCCACTTTTGGCAAGGGAGGTAAATATTGTAAAAATTGGGAACTATCTATAGAAAGCCTGTCCAAACTAAAAGATTGATAAGTCCATTTGAGATATTTAGTGTGGTAAGGGTTAAATGAAACACTTGACAATATTTTTACTCATTTACATTCCTTTTTAAGTTTGAATAAGAATAGGCATGCTGCCTAAAATAAATACCATTAGCAAGTGAAATGTTTTACATTATTTATATCATATATTAGAATTAAGTACTCTTGTTTCCCATATCAGATCTGAAGTAAATTTACACTATCTTATTGAGGTTTTAGAGCAGGGAACAAATTATGATTTTTTTTCAATTCAAACTATGTATACATGAATTATGATTATTTGATTATTTACGTTTAACTTATTTCCATTAATTTTCGAACACATTCTTGTAACATTTCAAACTGTTGAAATCAAAGGAAAATGTTTTTTATTATATATTTGACCTTAAAAAGAAAATTTCTAGCAGGACTTACAACAGTTTTGCAATCAACCCTCAAATTTTATTATTATAATGTTGTGTTTTTTGATAGACAAAGTCATTATCATGGCTTGACTCTATGGACGTACGTATTTGAGCTATCTGTCGAGGATTAATGTATAGTTTGCTGATTTAAAAAGCATTTGATTGTTAATGTTTGACCATAACATAATTTTGATGCTTTGAGAACTTGTTATGTAATGTCTGACATGCTGTGATATTTGATGTTAAGGTAATGGAAACATTAAAACTGTTTTAAACAACAATTATGAGAAAAACCTTTTACGCGTTAATGACAATAATAATGTGACCAGTATAAAAGTAAAGTTAATGCAATACATAGTGTAGATATTTAATTATGCACAGACTTGAAAGTTTTGTCCCTAGTCATAGTCATGGGCTACTAGAATCATTATCTATGTATCGGTCCTCACTAGGGTGTTTTTCACTCTGTCTATGGTAGCTCTATTCAAAGAAAGTAATTAAGGTCAAATGTAACATCAATTGTGTGGTGTTTTAAATAATGTCAAATTGTCTGTTTCTCAAACAAGGGATAGTGGGTACCTCATTTGACACCAGTACTGATAAGCTTAAGGAAGCTGACTAAATTTAAGAGCAGCTCAAAAAAGTACATTAGCTTTCAATACAGTCAAGCTGAAATAGATAATGTACTGACTATGTAAAAAAATGTGTTCTCTAAGGATGCAGTGAGACTTTTTCAGTGCAGTAATAAGAATAGCTACTCTGCATTTCTACTGAGTCTGAGCTACCACCTGTGCTATATAAGTTTAATAAATTATTCAAAGCATGACTCAGTGACTCAAATTAAGAGAAGATGGGACAGGATGAGTAAAATTATTAAGAAACTAGCATATTTTAAAACTTTTCCATTACATTTTAATGAACTTTTCTTGTTTTATTGATTGTAAGTTAAATTTGTATTAGTATTTAAAGAATGTTTATTAGCATTTAATGTTTGTAAAATGCTTGAGTGCAATATTAACATGACATGTTTGAACTTGTAGAAAGTATCTTCAAAATACTAAGTACATTTTGTATTATGTTAATTATGGTTCCACCCATTTCCTGAATTAATATATGAATGTTCAATTCACCTTGGGACTGTTTTTACCATTTCTAAAGTCAATCATAATGTTTGCATAATTTTGTATATGTATGCAATTGATTAAAGGTGTAGAAGAACTAGTACAGTGCAATACCTCTGCACAGCCACACCCTTCAATAGACCTGGATTTGGGTGGTTGCTAAGGGGTGTTGCTCTTCATAGGTTAAATTTATTGTGAAGTATGACTTTTTTGGGAACATTTGATACTCAGGTTGTTGTAAAGAGGTTATTGTTCTACAGAGGATTGTTCTGCAAAGGTTGCAATGTACATGTTATTTTTCTTTTCGTTTGTGCTTTTGTGTAAGTCTTTATAATAGTTATTTGATTGAATAGTTCATGTTTCAAATCTACCATCTGACTATGGTAAATGTTAACTTGTATTTGCAGTGGGATACCTCTACTGATAAATGATGTTATTCTCATTCAAGTTATACTGGGGTTTACATTTGGGGTAAAATGGATACAAAATGGCGGCAAATTTTACAAATTTCAGCTCTTACAAAGCTAGTGAATGCATATTTATCATACATCCAGTGAAACCTCTACATAGTGTACCTCTTTAAAGCAATAACGTCTTAACAACAACCAGTAACAATTCTTCCAGTAGTAAGATCTATGATTACATTCAACTTCCCTAGTAGAGATTGAAATGTCAGCAACAACCACAATAATTGTCTCCAAAAAAAGTTTTTTGCTTTGAAGGGTTAGCACTGTAATTTATATGTTGTTGAGAACTAAATTGCTTTGCATGTGGATGCATGTGCGTGTATAATACTTAATAGATAGTTATTCTATCATTATATTTAGGATTGGATAAAAGCTCAGGTAAAACGTAGAACAAAAAAAATCCCACACAATTTCAATCATATTAAAGAAATGTCACATGTAGCAAAACCCTATATTATAGTTGAAGTAGATATAGATGAAATAGATGGGTTTTTAATAGACATCTGTGACTTAAATGCTTTATTGATTTTGTTGGTTAAAGTTTCTCTGAGTCATTTTTTATGGCTTTGGGTAATTATGCACATTTGATGTGATTTCAGTTAAAACAATCAACTTTTCAGTTTTCAGTTTTATAGTTAAAGGGTTTATGAATGGGGTGAACTGAACACTATGGCATATAGCACTAATATGATTGTGTGAGTGTGAAAAAAATGGTTCATATGCAAGCTTGGAAAAAAATGATGATGCTAAGTTTCATTTTGATTATGCAGTAATTAAATTACAGTTGTTTTTTTAACCAGCATGATAGAGAATTACACTCAAGTAGTAATAGAACCAACACTGTACTGACATAGATAAAAACATGCATTATAGTCTTATTTATGCTCAAACTCCCACACTGTCCATGGTCAGATACCAACGGCTGAACCATAACATGTATCAAATGTGGGTATTCAACAATGACACTGTCTTGTGCTGCCTGAATTTTTTTCTGTGGAGCATACAGTGCCCAGTTTGTTGATAAGAATTCCCCAACATTTATATAGTCTTTTTTATGCTTGAGCATCCACACTGTCTTGTGCTCTTGAAATTTCTTCTGTGAAGTATATATTGGTAGCCAGTTTGTCAATACGATGTCTCTCCATTCAGTCCTTCTATTTCACTTTCTACAGTTTCTCAATGCACTTTTCTTTTATCAACTGATATCTTCGATATTTGTTAAGTGGATAGATCTACCTTCTGTAGACATCTAACCTTTGATTTCAGATCAATTAGGTCAAGGTCAATGAGGCTAAATATAGATTTTCAACCTATTTATAGTCAAGCCATGTTTTCATCAACATAAGGGAGCATTTGTCACTGTTACATTATTCTTGTTTTTCACTTAGTGCTCTTTATAAGGTAATCAGTGTAAAGCATTGTAATGGGTCTGTGATGGTAAGGGTTTAGGAAATATTGTAGTCATTTTTATATTGGTGTAAAAAAATTGCTTTTACACATCAAAAATTTATCATGCATTTTGTATAATTTAAATGAATACAATTTTTAATACATTTAAATGAAGTTATCTTAATTGACTGCTTTCTTTAAGCCTTAACTTTCTAATTAGTTCGTAGTTGCATTTATAATCTGTTCTTGCTTTGTAGTTTCTGTGTAATTAATAATGATAATAATGTATTGAGTAGTAAAATGAATATACATAATTATAAGTATAAAATGTTCTGTAGCTATTGTATATTACGGAAAGATTGTATATTTTGTAAAATGATGTAAGTCTGTCTTAAATTAAATTTCTGTTCTGTTCTGTTCCATTCTATTTTCTTAAAAGCAAGCTAACATTAAACTGTGTATATTACCTACATATCTGTTTATTAATTAAAGAAATTAAGTTTAGGGAAAAAAAGTTATGAATAGCAATGAAATTTATTTTTCTATATAATTTTAAAAGGGTAAAATATTTTTAAAGCAATAAGAAGTTTCTGTAAAGTCATGTTGACAATGGGGGATAATGAAACCCATAAATAATAGCTTTTACGTCTTTATTCTTTAAGGTCAGCTTTTTAAAATAATTTTTCTTTAACTGAATGAAATGTCATATTTTATATATGTTAAATGTGAATGTAATTCTTTTCATTCTTAGTATGATCTTTCGATTAAAGTATGTTGAGTTTGTAAGAAAAAAAAAAGAAATTTCTATTTTTGAATTCAAATCTTTTATTTACAATTTCTATTATTTATAAATGAATGAAATATAGAAGAGTTTAAATTTATTAATGTACGATATCAGTTATATACATGTACTTTCTTGTATATACAACTTGTATGCAAAATTTCAGATCATTCGTTCACTAGTGAAAAATGACCCAAAAAAGGCAAAAATTAAACTTTTTACTCCTATGAGGCTAAAATAGCACAATAATATGATTTTCAATCTATTTCAGAGTATATTTCATAATTATCTTTTGCATATCTTCCTGTTTTAAAAGCTCCTGGTGATCTATGTAAGAAATTCAAATTTTACGATTAAAGGTTTTTTGACTTCTGTGGAGTTCCTTTAAGTACTAGAAAAATACAGAGAGTTTGTATATTAATTGATATATTCTTGTTTTATAGGACAAGTTGGATATAAAGAAGGATAAGAAAGGAATGGTGTTTATTCAAGGAGCAATCATAAAAACCGCAAAAAATTCAAAGGAGTTGTTTGCACTTTTTGAAGAAGGAAGCACAAACCGTCACGTGGCATCTACCAGTAAGTTGAAGAAAAAAAGTTGCACAAACTCTAATGATAACCTACATTCGTTTGTTGTTTTGGTTATTTTTTTTTATGCCCCCGCCATATAATGGCTGGGGCATATAGTGTTACCCTGTTCCGTCATTCCGTCCTTCTGTCATTCTGTCATCCATCATCATCAGTTTCCATTCATTATCTTAGTAAGGGTTGCACACATTCAACTCAAATTTGAGATATGGATATGTCATGAGAAAATACAGGGCAGTTCGAATTTGGTCATGATTCGTTGATTTTTGGCAGAGTTATACCCGTTTTACTTTGAAAATAATATGAAATTTTCAGTTTCCTTTCATTATCTCCCCAACGGTATTACACATTCAACTAAAACTTGACATATGGATATGTAATGAGAAAATACAGGTCAAGTGAATTTGGTCATGGTTCAATGATTTTTGGCAGAGTTATGCCCCTTTTACTTTGAAAATAATATGAAATTTTCAGTTTCTGTTCATTATCTCCCCAACAGTAAAACAACAGTATAACAACTCAAATTTGACATATGGATACGTCAAAGGAATGTGCAGGTCAAGTTTGAATTTGGTCATGGTTCAATGATTTTTGGCAGAGTTATGCCCCTTTTACTTTGAAAATAATATGAAATTTTCAGTTTCTGTTCATTATCCAGGGTTCACACGGTCAGGGAAAAGTCAGGGAAAAATGATTTTTTTTCAAGGTCAGGGAAAAGTCAGGGAATTTTGAAATTGGTCAGGGAAATTTGAAAAATAAGCAAAAGTCAGGGAAAAGTCAGGGAATTTTGTAGAAAATAATGTTTTTGTGAAACAGCAAGAAGCAAAATCAGTAAAAGCTAAGGCAGTTTCTTCCATTATTTTGGGTATCTTATTGTTATTTTTGATTATAAGCGTCTGTTTTATTTATATATTTTTTGACTCCTAAAATGATTATGCTTCTGCCTGAAGATTCTGGATATTTTTGTCATTATTAGTAACTATCTTATTAAGAAAGAAGCTAAAAGGAGTTTAAGCATCCCTTGTCTCCTGAGCTATTTATGGTTTGTTCTTGTGAAAGAGGCTGATAATCTGCTCAGGAGGCTGAAAAAATATGAAAATGGACTTGCTTGTGAAGTAAAATGCCAAGTGCAATGCCTTCAGGGTCAAGGTCAAAGAAAAGTAATAAAAGAATCCAGTAAAGATATTGAGAAACTTGAGAAAACACTTAGTGGACTTCGATTAAGTACCAATAATTTTAGTGCCATGTTGTGTTTTTGCACACATGCATTAAACCATAACTTTGAAATACTAACTGCCATAGCTAGTTTTATAAGTAGTATTATTAGCTTTTACTGCATTTTGCTTTTAATGTAGCCACTTCATTACCTGTCTTATTGTTTCTTGTCCAACACCAGTTTTCCATTGATAACAATCATATATTTTATTAAAATACAGGCCTGTTTTGGTCAATCCTCTTTGCATTTGTAAAAGAATGAAACATCTTTCAGCATAACATGTACTATCAAATACTTTACATTTTGGATAAATATACTCATACTTGTTGAAAGTAAACAAGACAAGTTGCTTATGACAATTGCTCGCTAATATTCATGTATTTTTTATCTTGAATAATTTAAAATAAAGAATTGGAGAAAATAGGTTGGCTGTTTGGGGAGGAGGAGGTGGAATTACATGTATAAAAAATTACATTTAATGCTCTAAGATTGTGCAAACTTGACGCTGTTATTGGTCAGGGAAAAATGGTTTTGGTCAGGGAAAGTCATGGAAAAGTCAGGGAATTTTGATTTATCTTCTTTGTGGGAACCCTGTTATCTCCCCAACAGTATAACAACTCAAACTTGACATATCGATACGTCAAAGGAATGTGCAGGTCAAGTTTGAATTTGGTCATGATTCGATGATTTTTGGCAGAGTTATGCCCCTTTTACTTTGAAAATGATATGAAATTTTCAGTTTCCGTTCATTATCTCCCCAACAGTATTACACATTCAACTCAAACTTGACATATGGATACGTCAAAGGAATGTGCAGGTCAAGTTCGAATTTGGTCTTGGTTCAATGATTTTTGGCAGAGTTATGCCCCTTTCACTTTGAAAATAATATGAAATTTTCAGTTTCCGTTCATTATCTCCCTAACAGTATTACACATTCAACTCAAACTTGACATATGGATACGTCAAAGGAATGCGCAGGTCAAGTTCGAATTTGGTCATGGTTCAATGATTTTTGGCAGAGTCATGCCCCTTTCACTTTGAAAATAATATGAAATTTTCAGTTTCCGTTCATTATCTCCTATAGGGTATTACACATTCAACTCAAATTTGACATATGGATACGTCAAGAAAATGGGCTGGTCAAGTGCGAATTTTGTCATGGTTCAATGATTTTTGGCAGAGTTATGCCCCTTTAACTTTTAAAACAAAGGCAATTTTCAATTCCCATTCATTATCTCCCAAACAGTTGTACATATTTAACTCAAATAAAAGATATTGATATGTCATAAGAATGCATGATCAATTTCGAATTTGGTCATGGTTTGATGATGGCTGACAGAGTTATCCCTCTTGAACTTTAAAAAAAAATTAAAAATTTTAAGTTTCCATTCATTATCTCCCCAATGGTTGTACACATTCAACTCAAATTTGACATATAGATACATCTTAGGAATAAGCATTTCAAGTTTGAATTTGGTCGTGATTCAATGATTTTGGACAAAGTTATCTATCTTGAATGTTGAAAAATTTTGAATTTTCAGTTTCAGCACTCATACTTTTGTGGAATTGTATGTAGCCATTTTTTTGGCTACAAATATGCAATATGCAATTTACAAAAGGTTAACACTGAATAATTTCAGTGCCTTGAACTTTGTATAAAAATGGTTTGTGTTTACAGGGTTTTGAACTTGAAATGTTTGTGCAAACAAATTTGGAACAAAATATTATAACATATGAAATTTTGGCTGCATGCGGGGGCATCCGTGGCGTGACGACACATTTCTAGTTTGTTTTTTTGGGGGTCAAAATTTTGTTTTATTCTATTTCCTGAGGATGATGATTTATTTTATAACATTTAATTAAAAACTGGTATTGTGCAAATGATAAAAAATGATTGACACAGCAGTAAGTTCAAATTTCACCAAGGGCTTTAGTATCTTTAATGTGAGAAAGCTCTTCAGCAAGCTTATGGAGCGCAGCATTTCTACTCAGGTGCCCCCTAGCTCCTGAGATAATGCACTGTGGCACCTGAGGTCTTCCTCCAACAGTAAAGCTGGAAAGGCACCAAATGACCTTTACCTTGCCGAAAAATAGTTGAAGATTTAACAATAGTACCATATATCAGATTTTTCTTCGCAAAAAAGAAACATGTACAACAAAATCACTTTAATTAGAGTGCTAAATTTACATCACTGCCAAAATCGTGAAATTTGCCTTACGCAAAAATAACCTGATATACGGTACCTACTATTTACATTGTCTATTTACATGACTTTTGTGTCTGAAAACATGTTTATATGCAGTTACAATAATCTTTTAACACTGAGAAGATGATGTACATGTAACATGTTTAATTGTGAGTTTATAAGCATATTTAAACATAACCTTTCTTTGATTCTATAATGGACTTGCCCTGCTTCCAATTTGGCAGAGTCCATTTCCAATTTTGAGAGATTCTGATTCTTTAATTCTATTTTCAGCAGCGATAGTGAAGAACCTGGTCAGACTTCATGGATCTATGTCGATCTGGCCTAGCTAAATGCACATATCATATAAAAAATGTGAAACTTCTTAGCTTTCACTAAAAGATTTTACTTTCTTGATTTCAGAGATGAATGCTGAAAGTTCAAGGTCACATTTGGTGGTCGGCATAGTGATGGAGGCAACCAATAAAAACACAGGAAATGTAACAAAAGGAAAGGTATGTGACTTTACTAGCTTAGATATTTTGCAGTTTAATTGTACTTTAATATTATTTTAACCCATACATGTACTTATAAAATGTACACAGTGTACTGTCTAAAGTAAGTTCTTGTACTGCATATTGAATGAGGGTCCATCGACTGGATACAAACTCTACATAATCTAGTTGAAATTATGTAGTTAGAAAAAATTGTAACTTTGTTGACACAAGATTTAAGCAGTTTCTCATTTTCTTTTTTACTAGAGTATTATTTACAATCATGCATAGAAGTGGTTTTATATTAAAGTGAAGTAAATGTACAATCTTCATTAATGGTCTAGCAGATACATATAGGATATGTGAATATGGACTATAAAAATTACCATACTTTGAAGTGAATATTTTAAAATATTTTAAAATTTCGAAAGCAAAAGTGCAAATAATTAAAAAGTCTTCAATCTTCCGAGTGAGACTATATGTATTGTCAATTTTCACTAAATAGAAACTTATTTTCTTCTTTCACATTTGATGGTTTTGCCGTAAATATAGTCAGATGTCACAAAAAATTAACATCAAACAATGACGTTAACTATTGTTATTCTTTTTAATATATTTTTATAAAGAATGTAGACTAGAACTCTGTATCTAACTCAGTCTGAAACAGTGTGATATTACTTGTATCTCACTGATATATCTCAATATCTCACTGTAATCAGATAAGAAAGAATATGCAAACTTGATTGTTTAAAGTTAATACGTAGATTATGTGCCCAACAAAATATTTTTATATTCACAGTTGAGTTTGGTAGATCTTGCTGGTAGTGAAAGAGTGGGTAAGACTGGAGCCGGGGCTGAACAACTTAAGGTAACATAAAATTTCACTATGTATATTTTGTATTTAAATTTTGTGTTCTTATAATTTCTTGGTTATTTAGATATTCGAATTTCAAAACTTTCACTTCTCTTGAAAAAGAGAACACGAGATTTTAGGAAATTATACCTGTTTTAAGGTTCTGATGATATTATTAGATCTAGACTTAAGTAAATGCATGAAGATATTATTTTTCATAGATTTATCCTCAATTTCATACTAGTGTTTCCTGTCCCCATACCAATATGTAAGAATTACGCCAAGAACTTTTTTAGAAATTGATCTACTCAAGTGGCTGCTTGTTGCCTGAAATAATGCACTGAGAAGCACCTTAGGGCTTCCTTTTCCAGTAAAGCTGAAAAGTCGCCATATGACCTTAACAGTGATCGTGTGACTTTAATAAAAACCCTAATAAACAGTTTGACATGTTTGTGCTAAAGGGTCGTAACTCCTTCTTTGTTTACTATAAGTTACAACCCTTTTGCATCAAGCCCTCGATAATTTTTTATTATAATTCTGTTATGACAGGAAGCTATGTCCATCAACAAATCTCTGTCGGCACTCGGTGACGTGATCTCGGCTCTCAGTAGTGATCAACAGTTTATCCCGTACCGTAACAACAAGCTCACCATGTTGATGCAGGACTCCCTCGGAGGCAACGCAAAAACTCTCATGTTTGTGAATATTTCGCCTGCTGACTACAACATGGACGAAACTGTTATCTCTCTTACGTAAGTGCTTTTGTTACTAATTTTAGACATTGTGTTTTATATGTATGCAATAATGTTGTGTATACAATAAGTAATAGAAAGAGAACACCAGGCTATCTGAATTGTACAAGGGGGCGGGGGTTTAGCCCACGAGTTATACTGTTGAAAAGTATGCAGTATTGTTATCACAAATATATGCAATGGTGTTATTCATCTTATATAATTATGCAATAGTGTTATTTCATTTATGCAATAATGTTATTATAAGTATGCAATACTGTTTTGTTATTATTATATAGTATGCAATTCTTCTATTGTAAGGGTGCAATATTTTACATTTTGTTTAGGCATAAATACTGTCATATTTTAGGTAATGTTTAAAGTATACAATATTATAATTTTAGGTATTGTTTAAAGTAAACAATATTATAATTTTAGGTAATGTTTAAAGTATACAATATTATAATTTTAGGTATTGTTTAAAGTAAACAATATCATAATTTTAGGTAATGTTTAAAGTATACAATATTATAATTTTAGGTATTGTTTAAAGTATACAATATTATATTTTAGGTATTGTTTAAAGTATACAATATTATAATTTTAGGTATGTTTAAAGTATACAATATTATAATTTTAGGTATGCATCAAGAGTGAAGCTTATTACAAATGATGCCAGTAAGAATGCTGATAACAAAGAAATTGCCAGACTTCGAAATGTAAGTATTTTTGCCTATTATCACGTTGATTTGTTGGGGTTTTGTTATTTATTTTTTTTTACTTCAAATTATTTTTTTCAGCTGTTTGATTATCAATTTGGTTAGTTTTGTTATCATGATCAGTTTTAGACACATTGAAAACATTGAAATTTCATTGCTTTAATTGGGCTTAATCAACTTGAATTGATTAGATTGTGAGTTCCAAAGTGTTCCAGAAGCATCAAAATCTGAAATTTGAAATTTTTACATAGATTCACTGGGTAGTCAAAGGGGAAAATATGCAAAACTTCACAAAGAATTATACTCAGAAATATTTTAAACATTGTTTTTTTTGGAAATTCTTAACCTAATTAGGTAAAAGCATTGATATGCTTTTAATTTTGGAATCATTTTGCATAATTTATATGATTATTCTGGAAAAGCGGGTAGACAGAATCATGATTTTTTCACGTTATAAATTTTGTCCAAACAAATTTCATCAAATCGTAAACAAAATTGAAAAAAAAAAAATTCCAGTCCTGTCATATCAAAAGAAAAAACATGGTACACTGTAAACAAAAACATTTAGTTCTTCTGTAGAACTACAATTAAAGAAAATAAATGTCAGAACAAAAAAAAGATGATATGATCAGTTATCCTCCTGATATGTAAATGTTGTAAATTTATTAATTATTTTCAACTTTCTATTTTTAACTTTTTTTTATTTTTAGATCATTGACAAGTTGAAGAAAGGAGAAGCTGTGCAGGAGGAGGAAATTTAGTACCGTTCAACCTACCTCCGAAAAATTCCAACTTTATGACAAAAAAAATAAAGTTGTTTTATAAATTTGAAAAAAAAGACGGTATAACAAATCTAGAAATTTAATGACAAAAAAATTAAAAATTTTGAAGGTTAGAAAACCTGTGTAAAAGACACCCCAACACATTTTATGTAATAACTACACAAACTATTGAATTTGATAGCATGTTCAAGAAAATGATGGAAAAAAGAAAAGAAACAACATCCGTTTATTTCAAAACGTTATGTCCAAGAAACGGAAGAACTTTTAGTTTAAGAAAATGATATTATACTAAAACTAAATGTGGTAAATGTCTTCTTGAGTGCTTTTGAGGAACCAAAATTTTTTTTAGATTTTAATAAGAAGAATTCTTTTAATTAAATTGTCAAAACAATTTTAAACAACAAATTTATTAAATTTCTTGAAATTGTATTGAGAAAAGTTTACATGAAGTATAAAAAACAAAATATTTCCATTGTGAACAACATACATTATGATTAAGTTCTTGAAAAAATTGATGGTAAAATGAGCGTGCCTTTTCAGCATTCGATTTTTGTTCTTGTTCATTGTGAATTTGTTATATTACCTTGCCACTTTTTTATTTAAGGAAACCATGTTACGACATATTTGACTGAAATATCATCACATGATGTATACACGTCAGAGCTGAAAAAAAAAAATTGTAAAGAAATAGTTTTTTTTCTCAAATGCCTTGTGAAAGATTTAATTTTAAAAAAAAGTTTAAAACATTTATTGTTTAGCTTTCCCAAGAAAAAAAGTTTGTTTTTGTTTTTCCAAAGAAAAAATGGCATAAAAATGGTTCTGAGTTCAAGTTATGCATGATAATTCAGTCAAAAAGCAGTTTGAAAGCATTTATTATTTGAAGTACATTTATAGTACATTTCATACTTTTAAATTTACTGTTTCTGTGATATTATCGTTTTTTATGTTAGACTTTTATTTTTGTGTGAATTATTCTTCTGTTTTCATATATCTGTGATACGCAATTTGTTGGCATCTGAGAAGTTTGAAAAAATGTTGATTCATTAAGATGCCATTATATTATATTACTCATGAACTTTTTTTTGGCATACCGTATACTGGCCATTCAGTTATCGGTATAGAACATGCTAGAGAAAACAATAAATTTTGTACTTTGACCTTCATTGTAATCGCTTAAGTGAGTAATTTAGAGTCTAAAAAGGCAGTTCTACAAATAATACTTATTAAAAAAAAGCAGAATTCCTTTGACCTTCATTGTAAGTACCGGTATGTAAACCTTTAATTGATAATTTAGATTAGTAGTTCTCCAAATGGTACTTATTAAAAAAAAATAATAGTAAATAAAAATTTGTCCATTGACCTTCTTTAATTAATAATTTAGATTTGAACCTTTCAAAAAGAAATTTTGGTTTGCTCCAAATGTAAGGACTTTTTTTATTTATGTCATGAACTGCAGATATTTTAAGTGGGATTTATTTCTTATCCTAAGTGACATTTTGTCATTTAAAACCTTTGCTCTTTGAATAATAACATACATGACTGTATACACTTTAATTATAATAATAATACTATGTACCATAATATTAAAGTAAACTCCACTTATAAGGCTATCGTTTATAATGATATACCGCTTATAACGATACTGTTGCCGCAGTCCGGACTTGTTTTCAAATTGATTGCGTCTGGGATGTAACAATATTTTGATATAACAATCAATATAGATACGGCGTCTGGATATCGTTGTATAACAGTTTTACTGTATATACCATATTGTTTCCATTTAACACCCCCTGGGGGCTTGCATTTTTTTTTTTAAAAGGTGGCGGGGCGCTAATTAGAACAATATAAATGTGCTTTAAAATATTCTTATAAGACAATTCAATTATAAAAATCTTTATTATGATCAAATAATATACATGTATAATTCAGGATTATTTTTGTCATAAATTATTATTTTTAGATAAAAATATTTGGATTTTTTGGATTGCTTTTTCATTATTGATTATAAATCTATAAGGTAAATAAGGTAAATTTTTTATCTTCTACAAAATGTGGTTGAGGGGGAGGTGGCAGGGGCGATGGGCGCTAATTAGATGGGGGGGTAAATGGAAACAATACGGTACTAGTACTAATCATTGTTGTTTAATAATGTTTGTATTTCTTTTGTTTTCTGAATCAAAATTTGTATGTTTACATTAAGGCTGGTCCGTCCAATTATTAATGTGATTATATGTATATATATACATGTATTAAACTATGCATTTACTGTTTTTATATGGGCAGGTCCTTTTTACTGTTGTTTATATAATAGATAAACTTACTAGATTTTGTTTGCATTTTTATGTCTTGATTAGTGGTTTTTATAGGTACAGTCTTGTTAAATTTGATAATTTCTCTATTAATGTCTTTATTTTTCTAACACTCTTTGATGGGCTGGGATATATTTTTTTATTATAAATTTAGAAAGATAAAATCAGTTTTAAAAATCATTAAAATAATTTTAATTCTAGATTAATATAACAAAGCGACGCTCACAGATCTGGTATCTGGAGTCATAGAGGACTCTGTAGAATTCTTAATATTAATAATTAATGAATTACTTGTTTTTACAGTAAGTTTACTAATTTAAATGTCAACATTCTGTTACCTTAGTGCAATAACTGATTTACTCCTATGAAATTAAAGGAACTAAAGCCGTTACTGCACTAAGGTCATAAATTTTCTTTATTAGCCCTTTCACAGCAGTTTGCATAACTTGTCATTTATTTCCCTACATGTATTTGGAATCCCGTCCACTTAATGAAATTAACAATTGATTAGGTACTGATTTAAAAATAGTAAAACTGGTAATGTACACATGCTTGGAAGGCCGATATTGGTTTTCCTAAATTTTTCTTACCAATGCAAGTTCAAACTACAGAGTAACACACCGTGACACGTCAAGTTTTTCTTAATTATTTATTATAGTAAAAACTGGAAAATGGCTATATGACGTTTTACAGTGTCGTTGCGACTTAAAATTCCAACAAAAATAATATTTGTGGTAATGATTATGAAACTATCAACAGTCAACTATAGTATTTCTTATGCAATATGTTGATGTTAACTAACAAAAATAATGTGCCTGTCAGCAGTGCAGGGCAATTAGCTGGCCTGCCATGCTGCTTTGTGTTATTATTTTTATGCTATTATAAGCTCAACTATAAGAAAATATGGAGAGCTATTGTATTCAACCAGGGTCCAAAGTTATGAAGAAATTTTTTTTTAATTATCTAAGCTCAGACTGAGGTCTTAAGTATTTAATTTGTCAAAGCAAAACTGACACAGAAACAACACTGACCAAAGAAAATCCTGAGACAGTACTCAGAAAATGTTTTATATCCTCAAAGCCAGGTGTCAGGTGTCAGAAAGGAATTGAAAGTGGAAAGGATTGAATCTTCTCACACTTATTTTAGAGCATAATAGGAGGCCAATGTCCAAGGCCCATAACTATAACATGGATTTTTACAGAATTATGACCCTTTTTGAAGTTAAAAGATTCCACTTTATCCAAGCTCTTGTTTCACGATAAGTCAAGCACACTGACCTACTGACAGTTTTTTGTTTTTATAACAAAGTCCTCTTAATTTAAAATATACAGTTGCAAATAATATAAGTGGACCAGGACAAGTGGTTTTTTTAATAAAAAAACAAAACAACATACCTACATATTTAAAAGGCTCTTAATATGCGAATTGAATTGAAAACTCCGTATTTGAAGTATTATAAGTAATAGGTGCCTTGCAGTGAAAGGGTTATTTGAAGAAAAAAAGTGAAGTCTATAGTTGAGGGTTGTTTTTTTATTGGGTAGAGGGAGGGAAATTGAGGTATTTTTATTGTGTAAAAATGCATTAGAATATTTATAAGAGTGAAAATAATTATGATTGTCAATTCTTTTAATGTTTTTTATGAGCAAATATCAACATATGTTCAAGTTTGCCATGTTTACGAAGCATTTCATTTTTTTTTTAATTTTCCAAAGATTGAAACAATGTGATATGATGATGAGTAATCTTGTTTTTATTTGTAGATTTTTCTTTCTGAGTCAATAAACTTTCAGCATTTACATCTTTCTTGTTTTGCTTTTACAATTTTAATCTAATGTACACCGCTGTGGGTTCGAACCCTGACAGGGACTTTGGATTCTTTAATGTCAGGAAGCTATCCAGCTAGCTTACGGAACGTTGTGTGGTTCTACTCAGGTGCCCGTTCGTGCCTGAAATAATGCACGGAAAGGCACCTGAGTTCTTGCTCCACCAGTAAAGCTGGAACGTCGCCAAATGACCTATACTGTGTCGGTGTGACGTAAAACCCAATAAAAGAAACAAACAAACATGGCAGCCACAAAAACTTCAACAGAGAAAGTTTAGATCTGATCTTTGTTAGGGGTTTTTGAATGACACTGTTCCAAATCTGATCATCGTCACAGTTATTGGTTGACACTGTAGTGAGTTATTTGCAGGACACTGTACCAAATCTGATCTTTGTCACTGTCATTTGAAGGACACATTAACCAAATCTGATCTTTGTCACAATTATTTGAAGGACACTGTGCCAAATCTGATCTTTGTCACAGTTATTTGAAGGACACTGTACCAAATCTGATCTTTGTCATAGTTATATTTGAAGGACACTGTACCAAATCTGATCTTTGTCACTGTTATTTGAAGGACACTGTACAAAATCTGATCTTTGTCACAGTTATTTGAAGACACTGTACCAAATTTGTTCTTGTCATAGTTTATATTGAAGGACACTGTATCCAAATCTGATCTTTGTCATAGTTTAATTTGAAGGACACTGTACCAAATCTGATCTTTGTCATAGTTATATTTGAAGGACACTGTACCAAATTTGATCTTTGTCACTGTTATTTGAAGGACACTGTACAAAATCTGATCTTTGTCACAGTTATTTAAAGGACACTGTACCAATTTTGATCTTTGTCATAGTTATATTTGAAGGACACTGTACCAAATTTGATCTTTGTCACTGTTATTTGAAGGACACTGTACCAAATCTGATCTTTACCACAGTTATTTGAAGGACACTGTACCAAACCTGATCTTTGTCACAATTATTTGAAGGACACTGTACCAAATCTGATCTTTTTCACTGTTATTTGAAGGACACTGTACAAAATTTGGTCTTTGTCACTGTCATTTGTATGACACTTTACCAAATCTGATCTTTGTCACAGTTATTTGACGGACACTGTACCAAATCTGATCTTTGTCACTGTCATTTGAAGGACACTGTACCAAATCTGATCTTTGTCACAGTTATTTGAAGGACACTGTACCAAATCTGATCTTTGTCACTGTCATTTGAAGGACACTGTACCAAATCTGATCTTTGTCACAGTTATTTGAAGGACACTGTACCAAATCTGATCTTTGTCACTGTCATTTGAAGGACACATTAACAAAATTTGATCTTTGTTACAGTTATTTGAAGGACACTGTACCAAATCTGATCTTCGTCACTGTTATTTGAAGGACACTGTACCAACTCTGATCATTGTAACAGTTATTTGAAGGACACTGTATAAAATCTGATCTTTATAACAGTTATTTGAAGGACACTGTACCAAATCTGATCTTTGTCACTGTTATTTGAAGGACACTGTACCAAATCTGATCATTGTCACTGTTATTTGAAGGACACTGTACCAAATCTGATCTTTGTAACAGTTATTTGAAGGCCACTGTACCAAAATGGATCTTTGTAACAGTTATTTGAAGGACACTGTACCAAATCTGATCTTTGTAACAGTTATTTGAAGGACACTGTACCAAAATGGATCTTTGTAACAGTTATTTTAAGGACACTGTACCAAATCTGATCTTTGCCACAATTATTTGAATGACACTGTACCAAAACTGATCTTTGTCACAGTTATTTGAAAGGCACTGTACCAAAACTAATCTTTGCAACAGTTATTTGAAGAACACTGTACCAAAACTGATCTTTGTCACAGTTATTTGAAAGGCACTGTACCAAAACTAATCTTTGTCACAGCTATTTGAAGGACACTGTCCCAAAACTAGTCTTTGTCACAGTTCATTTGAAGGACACTGTACCAAAATGGATCTTTGTAACAGTTATTTTAAGGACACTGTATCAAATCTGACCTTTGTCACAGTTATTTGAAGGACACTGTATAAAATCTGATCTTTATAACAGTTATTTGAAGGACACTGTACCAAATCTGATCTTTGTAACAGTTATTTGAAGGACACTGTATCAAATCTGATCTTTGTCACAGTTATTTGAAGGACACTGTATAAAATCTGATCTTTGTCACAGTTTATTTGAAGGACACTGTATAAAATCTGATCTTTGTAACAGTTATTTGAAGGACACTGTACCAAATCTGATCTTTGTCACAGTTATTTGAAGGACACTGTATCAAAACTAATCTGTGTAACAGTTATTTGAAGGACACTATCAAATCTGACCTTTGTCACAGTTATTTGAAGGACACTGTATAAAATCTGATCTTTGTCACTGTTAAATTTGAAGGACACTGTATCAAAACTGACCTTTGTCACAGTTATTTGAAGGACACTGTATAAAATCTGATCTTTGTCACTGTTATATTTGAAGGACACTGTATCAAAACTGACCTTTGCCACAATTATTTGAAGGACACTGTACCAAAACTGATCTTTGTCATAGTTATTGAAGGACACTGTACCAAATCTGATCTTTGTCACAGTTATTTGAAGGCCACTGTACCAAATCTGATCTTTGTCACAGTTATTTGAAGGACACTGTACCAAATCTGATCTTTGTAACAGTTATTTGAAGGACACTGTATCAAAACTAATCTTTGTCACAGTTATTTGAATGACACTGTATAAAATCTGATCTTTGTCACTGTTATATTTGAAGGACACTGTATCAAAACTAATCTTTGTAACAGTTATTTGAAGGACACTGTATCAAAACTAATCTTTGTCACAGTTATTTGAATGACACTGTATAAAATCTGATCTTTGTCACTGTTATATTTGAAGGACACTGTATCAAAACTAATCTTTGTAACAGTTATTTGAATGACACTGTCCCAAAATGGATCTTTGTAAGTTGATGGAGTTCTTCCTAATGTAGTAGTATTAAGTATTTCTTGAAAACATTAATTTTTAAATGGAAATTAGAGGTATTAATTTGAGTGATATATAGGTATGGTATGAAAACAGAAAATCCTTGATTTCATAAAGATAGATTTCATTGTTAGAATATAGCAAATAAAATTTGCACAATGGAAGTCAGTAAGTAATTTTCTTCAAATATATCCATGTATATAACTTACCATCCCCAAACTCCTCAAATATTACTAAAGGTGTATTATTAGATTCTGAGTATTGCATAACTTAATGAAAAAAGTTTTCATTTACGAGTTGCAAGGATTGGTTTTCTGTTCCCTGAAAAACATCAAAATTTTGCAAACAAAGCAAAAATTTCATTAATTGTTAAAAATAACTTTTTGGGTTTTTCAAGAGTGTTTCCAAAAATAAATCAGACAAGCTAGGTCATCTAAAAATAGTTTTGCAAAAATTAATCAAGGGCAGCTGATATATTTATTCATATTACCGTTTAAAAGATTATGTTATGTTATGTTATGTTATGTTATGTTATGTTTTATCAACTGCATTGCGTACTTCTTTTTGGACAGGTTTTAACGGATGTACTTATAATCATTTTTAATGAATTTGCATATAGATCTAATGAAAGTTGAAATATATATTTATGTTATTTCATATTCACATGTCTTATGCGAAAAAGCCCAAACCTTTTTTCATTGACATCTCCTAAACTACCATGAATTAAAGGCCCATTAAGTCTAAAAACACATATATATATTCATTTTTCTTTCAAAATCCTTTCTATTTATTTATTTATTTATTCATTTAAAGGACTATGCAAAAGCATCGCGGCATGTGACTGCAAATGTCCACGGGATTTCGTGACGATAATTTGCGGTAATATTTCAACCAAGCGTTAAAAGTGCGGGTTTCGTAATTAAATTATAGAACGGTTTTAGCTCGTCGGTTTTGTAGATTAATATTATTATGATCGGTGTGACGTCGTTTGCAAAAACTTTAATGAAGCCTATTATTCAAACATTTTAAAAGTTATCAACATGAAACTGACTACTTGCTCATCATGTGCAGTTGTTGGACAAGGCTCATGATTTTGAAAGTTATACCCTCTTTTAACTTAGATTTTTTTTTTCAACCTCAACGGACGAGCGTTTCAATCGCATGCGGTCCTCGCGTTTAAATTTGATAATTAGAAGATTATAACATTGTGTCAGATACTTCCAGAAGAGAAGGTTTAAATTGTCTTCTGCATACAACGTCCTACATTTGCATGATCCAAAAAGCGGTGTTGGCTGGAACAACCAGTGCAGTATCTACTTTTTCCTTCTGATAGACATTGTCCCTAAACTAAACCGCCACTTGGAGCATATCGACTAAAAAATGTGATCTACGATTCTACGTACAGTTCTTTAAACAAAATGTTCTTGCTTTCCCAAAACGTACTTATTTATACTTTATAAACAATTTTCCAAGACAACATGGTTAGACTTAAAACTATTATAGGTCTTATTTTTATAGAATACCAGTACGTAAAATGGCACCTTTACTCAAATAATTTATATTGTCTAAGGTAAATGGTCAGAGACAGGTAAAAATAAAAATAACTTGACAATTTGGCATAATTGTATTCAATTATTTAAATATCTTACTATGAAAAAAAAAGAAAGAAAAACAATATCAACGTGAAAAAAGGAAATTTCTATATAAATATCGTTCAGAATATATCGGTAATATTATGCTTTTAAAATTGTGAAAAAAGAGCGGTGAAGTCTTTTTATAATTTAGGTAATTTTTATCTCGTGTTATTCTATCAATTATTGGTCAATCACCAGTTTAATAGCCAATCTTTAAAATATAATACAATTTTGACAACTGAAATTCGACAGCATATAATGTCACTTTCAGGTTTTGGAAAAATGGATGCAATGCTTTATACAAAGCTATTAGTCAATTCAAGGTGATAAAAAAAACTTTACTAGAATATTTAATGATCACAAGGATATTAATTTTGTTTGATATATTCCTTATCGTACAACTTAAATTTGTGTATTCTATTTATAGTCCAGAAAAGTGGTTTTCCGATACATTAACTGCGACGCGTGTACAAATAAACTGGGAAAAACCTAGCTGTTACTATATTTAACAACGCAGTACTTGCTCATGGGTTTATATAGAGTGAAGACATGAAAAATAATTTAAGATGGGTCTAACAAGATCAAGATTCAGCAGTGATCACGACGATCAAGAAACATGGCAATCATCGAGGAAATTTATAACAGAGGTAAAGTTTTCGATGTTTACTGTAATGATTTATCAAGCAGATTTGTTATTTTCGTACGGACTCGGAGGGCCCAGACAATCAGCGTCTTCCTTATGAGAACTCTAAAAATAACTCAAATAATTGGAATTTGAACATGTTTATAAAGCTGAATTTGAAATAACATTATACCTGTTTATATGTTCAACAAGAATACGTTTAATTTTGATTTAATAACATGAAAATAATAGCGGTGTGCCAAAAATACGTATAGTGGCGTAAAGTAGTAAAGTAGCGATTTTGTCCATCAGTGTGTTCGATCATGAATACTGGTGTTGTTCTGCTCATCTTAAGCCAAGGGCTTCTCTTACAAAAATTAAGGGCATATGACAGGAGGCCCTTCAATAGCAAATTTTAGTTACAGCACAGGAACTTGAAATTCTATCAATATTAATAATAATATCCAAAATATACCCCAAATACAGTATAAATAAATACTGTATAGGGGGTATATTTTGGATATTATCATTAATATTGATAGAATTTCAAGTTCCTGTGCTTACAGCCTTCCGTGTCTATCGATAGTCAACTAAGCTACGCTGTCAAACACACCAAAACAATTAATATTATATATAAAATATTGAAATGTGCCTTTATTTCAGATACGAAGTAAGTCTATTGTTGGCAGCATTAGAACAATTATTAAGTTTTTAGTAATAAAATAAAGAAAAACATGATTCTTGAGTTCTTCTGCAGTATTTAAACCTATATACTGTACCCACGGATTTAACTTAAGCCGTGTATAAATATATATGATACAGTACCCATTTTCCCTCTTTTCTTTTTATTCTTATAACGTTACTTTGTATATTGTCAGAGTTTGTACATATTTGCCTTAAAAATAAATTAAATGATATATCTAGTAAAGATTAAACTGTACAGTTGCACTACCTTCATATCTGATATCAATCTACGTTGTGATTTAACTGCGCAATAAAATGAATGACCGGGTTCTAAAAATAACTTTTATTTTTAAATATTGTTCTTATTTATTAATATTATATATACGTTTAAAATTTGTTTTCTTATATTTATATAATATGATAATTTTCATGCCACAAGATGAAAATAAATCATGTATTTATAGAAAAAACTTGAATTTTCTGTTTATTATATACATTGCTCTTTTTTGACGTTAAAATTTGAAAGAATTTTCCTTAAATTTTTCGTATTGGCAGAATTTAATAGAAAGTAGTCCGGCAAAATACGGAAAATACGTGAATACGGAAAATATGTTTCACTGCAGTGAAAAATAAATTTTTACCGTGAAAATACGGAAAATGAAAATACGCATTTTATTTAATTAATATTTCTCAATATTTCATTTATAAGTATATAATAAATATATTTCTGACATTTACATATATTTATTTTACTTGTTGATATAGGCATAAGTATAGAACAACTTTCTGACTCCCATAACTCTAAACGTCGCTTTTATTTTGACTGGTCTAGAAATACTTTGAAACCTGTTCTATCTGCGTATATAGTACACTTGAAACTTACATAATATAATAATATTTGAAAGCCAGAAAATTGAATTCAACTATATAATTATATTAAGCCATATATATACACGAATTACTCAATTAGAAAAACAATCATTCAAATAGGTTTCTTGGAAACGTTGATTATTATTTTTTGTAAATTTAGATTTATAATGTAATAAACATAATTATGTAACATTTTGTTTGTAGGAGGAACTATCTGAAATTAAACTTCAAATTAAGTTTCCAAAATTATGAAAGTTACTTGTAGTCTTGTAGTTATCCAGCTTTAATTTATAAAAACCCCTTTTTCTTAATTTTTAATTTAGAAGGCCCAGCGCGAGCCGTTGACCCCGAAGCAGGTGAAGAATCGGTCCGGGGCTTACGTATGGGAGGTCAACGACATGATGAAGTTGCAAAGGTTTCTGTTCCTAGGGGCAGATAACTCTTTCTGTTACAAGGCGGTCACCAATGAGCCCAAGAGAGAAAATGCCCAATGCGTTGATAGGTTGGTACTTTTATACATTTGTTCCTCATTTTGAAATTGTCGCCGTAACATAAAACTTAAGAATAATAAATCAGAAAAATAAACCCGAAGATTCCAGTTCTGTCATTCATAAGTGAGTTTTTGGAAATTCATTCGGAAGAATTGTTTCCTGTGGTAACCAGATGACATTTTGTTGGGATTGCGCAAATGTACTTTCGTTTTCAATTGTCAGTTTTTTTTGGGATCCCATTCCATACGAAATTGCATGTACAACGCGCAACTGATTAAAAAGAGTTATTTATTTATAGAAATTGTAAATTATTTGTCTAAGGGAACCCAGCATATGGCACACGGTTTGTTTGGCAGGGAGCAGGCACAATGTTTACATGCAACAAATATTCAAATAGCTGTTGATGTGTTTGCCGTTATTAATTGGTGTCTTTGCAGATCGTATCAGTCGCAACTTTTCGGTCCAATATTAATAAATTAATTAATTAATAGATATCAATCAATCAATCAATCAATTAAATAATGTATTGATATATCGGTTTGCTCTTAGACCGGAATATACATTTTATGTGTTTATATCCCAGGTTTGTTTAAAACGGTTTTATGAAACTGGTATTAAATAGATTAAATATTTTTACAGACTTATTGCAGACGGTAAAGGACCAGAGGTGGTCGAGCTAATCCGAACTATTAGCTTGGCCGGTCGGGCTGCGAGACAGAACCCAACCATTTTTGCTTTAGCCATCTGTGCAAGATCGAATGACACGAAAACTAAGACACTGGCGTATGCTGCGCTGAACGAAATGTGTAGAATTCCCACACATTTGTTTATGTTTGTCAAATACTGTGAAGACGTAAGTTCTGGAACTGGCTGGGGCCGAGCCCACAGACACGCGATCGTCAATTGGTATATGAATAAATGTAAAAACCCAACGGCGGTAGCTCGTCTGATTACCAAGTATAGGAATAGAGAGGGATGGACGCACCGTGACGTGGTTCGTCTGGCTCACCCTAAAGCAACAGACGACACTTTGAATATTATTCTGAAATTTATCATGAAAGGTTTCATAGAGGCACGGGCGCTGGCGGATAAACAAATGGGCAATGACGATAAGCTAATGAAGATGATAGCGTTCCTAGAAGCCACGGAGAAAGCGAAGAGATGCACAGATGAAGATGAAATGGTCAAAATGATCCAGACGCATGGTTTAGAGCGGGAGCACATCCCGACGCAGTTGTTGAACTCGAGGAAAGTTTGGGAAGCTCTTATTATGAACTTGAAAATGGAAGCAGCAATTCGTAATCTTGGGAAAATTACATCATTGGGACTGTGTGGGGAAGGTTCTTTTGTTGAACAAGCAATATGTAGTAAACTGACAGATGAAAAAGCGCTTAAAGAGGCAAGAATTCATCCATTCAAGGTTTTACTGGCTTTGACCACGTACGAAAAGGGTAGAGGAGAAAAGGGACATTTGAGTTGGGAACCAAACAAGAATGTTATTGCAGCTCTCGATAAAGCGTACTATTTGTCATTTGCATCCGTGGAACCGACCGGGAAACGGTACTTGTTGGCTATAGACGTAAGTGGTTCCATGAATGTTCCATGCGTCGGGAGTCAGACCATAACGTGTCGTCACGCCGCCGCAGCAATGATGATGGTCACGGCAAGGTCGGAAGCAAATTTTGATATCGTCGCTTTCTCGCACCATCTTATGCCAATGGACATAAATAAAAATGACACATTGCCCGAAGTTCTCGAAAAAACAGAGCGCCTCCCATTTGGTGGTACAGACTGTGCTTTACCCATGCTTTGGGCGGATGAAAATAAAAAGAAGTACGATGTATTCATTGTATATACGGACAGTGAAACATGGTACGGCAGGATTCACCCGTCACGTGCTCTCAAAGATTACAGAGAAAATATGAAAATTCACGATGCGAAACTGATTGTCGCTGGAATGGCTTCAAACGGATTCAGTATTGCAGACCCAGACGACCTGGGTATGTTGGACATCGTTGGCTTTGACTCGGCCGCTACCCAGACAATTGCCAACTTCAGTCTTGGTAAAATGTAAATTAAAGGAATTCAAACTTTAGTGTTAATATTGTTTCTCTTGTTACAATTAAACTGTTAAATTCTCGCAGGTCATAAAAAGTCATCGCGTATATCATTATCGTGACGTGTCGTGACGTAACGTCGAAAAATCAAGCCAATGAGACTACACAAAGTCAGGCTAGCGCTTGTGTGATTGAAAAAAATATCAGATTATACATTGTATCAGACATTGTTTTTAAAACAATAATCAGAGAGCCGTAATTTGTTTACTGAAGCGGATTCACAGTCTTATCTAGAAAGTCAACGATTTCCTCGTGTGTTTGACTGTCATTAACTCCTTATATTGCATAACTCTTAAATGTAGGTAATTCTCTGTAAAGGTTTTCTAACTTCTATGTAACTTATTATGACAATTAAATAATGCACTTCACGTTTTCTATTAAGAACATGCATGTAAAAAGTATAAAAAGTATGTGTAATTAAATGATAACTGTTAATTTTAATATGTTTAGCTGTTTTTGTTGTTTTTGTTTTATTTTTTTCATTTTCATTTATTATGATTTTTTTGCCTTTTCTTTCTTTTTCAGTTCATTGTATTTAGGAAAATAGAAACACATTTCATTATTTATTCAAATACAAGTATACTGACGTGTTTTAATTTTTTTTAAATTTAAAACAATATATTACTTGTTTTTAAGTAAGTATACACGTCTTAGTACATTTTGATATTTTCACGGTGAAAAATATCAAAATATAATTTCTAAACTGCTAAGCCGAAAACTTTGACAATTCTTTTTAAGAGGTTAGGATACGGGAAATTAAATTAAAGTACGCTATAAGAGAAGGGGCATAAAGTCACGCGGTAAAACTCATTCAAAATGACTATTCCATTAAAAGTATGGTATAAATATAAAACTATTTGCTTTGCATAAAAGATCAAACTACTTTTCAATCCTGAACACCAGCTTTTATATTTTCACTCTTAGCCACATAAAAATGTTGCATCTGAATTTCACTTTCTGATATACATTTCGATCTTGCATATAAAAGTTGAAGATTATATTTATTCACAAGAACATTTCATTGCATTTATCAATACAATGGATTTGTTTCATCTATTTTTAGATACATCGACATTAGTCTACCGGTCATTATTTCTTATATTGTATTTTCTTTTCTCAGTATCATAGTTTCTTCATATCGTAATGTTGAATCATTTCGTTGTTCATATGTATATTGTCATTTATTGTCATAAAAAAATATATTTAATATAGAGTTCTTGAAATACCAATAGAGTATTGTCATTACTAATTACCACAAATATATACTAGTATCATAAATCCTTGCTGCCATTTAGTCGTGCTATATCATTTATACCGAGTCCTCAGTTTAGCGTTTTAATAGCAAATATATATGATAATTCCTCGCTGCCATTTAGTCGTGCAATATCATCTTTACCGAGTTCCAAAAGTAGCATTTTAATACCACATATATATCATAAATCCTCGCTGCCATTAAGTCGAGCTTTATCATCTATACTGAGTTCTCAGTAAAGCATTTGATACCACATATATATAATCCCCCCTGCCATTAGGTCTTTTTATACAAAGCCATTGGTAGTATATTCAAATATATTTATACAGAGCCCTCGGTAGTATATTTAATCAGAGCCCTCGTTAGTATATTTAACCAGAGCCCTCGGTAGTATGTTAAACTATCTTTTATACAGAGCCCTCGGTTGTATATTTAACCAGAGCCCTCGGAAGTATATTTAATCAGAGCCATCGGTAGTATATTTATACAGAGCCCTCGGTAGTATATTTAATCAGAGACCTCGGTAGTATATTTAATTAGAGCCCTCGGTAGTATGTTTAATCAGAGCCCTCGGTAGTATATTTAATCAGAGCCCTCCGCAGTATATTTATACAGAGCCCTCGGTAGTATTTAAAGGTATCTTTTATATATAACCCTCGGTAGTATCTTTATATATAGCCCTTGGTAGTATATTTATACAGAGCTTTCGGTAGTATTTAAAACTATCTTTATACAGAGCCCTCGATAGTAAAATTATACAAAGCCCACGGTAGTATATTAAACTATCTTTTATATACAGCCCTCGGTAGTTATTGATACAGAGCCCTAGATAGTATATTTATACAGAGCCGTCGGTGCATCATCGTGGATACGATATTGAATGAAGCAGTGTATCAATCATACAGAATTCTTATGAGTATATCGTTGCTTCCATTAATAAGAGCTCTTGTATAATAGTATAGTTACGTATCACTGTTAACATTATATTAGACATGGGGCCATTGGTTTAGTTTACGGTATTACCGTGTGACTTACTGATGATGATGACGTCATAATATAATATGACGTAATTGACGTTGCTGCTATACCTTAGAGTAACGCCACAACATGGCGGCGATAGACAAGAGAAAGCGTTCTTCAATGTCGAGATGTACTGCAGTCATGTGTAGTCCTCTATTTTGCAAGCCAAAGAAAGATGATCATATAATAATCACCAGAATATACCAGTCTAAAAGTTTAACAGAACAGAACGCACGTAAATTAATCTTGCCAAAAGCAACTTTCAGCGAAATTACGGCCTCGGAGCTCGAAAAGTCATTCAAGAAGGAAAAGATAAGGAAGCGGCGTTTCTGGCACTTCGGTAAGTGGAAATGGGTCGGAATAACTGGCACGGATTTAGAAATGGCCGAGAAAAAAGAGGACTTCGATGTGGCAGACGACAATGAGATTTCTATTGATGACGAGTCCAATGATTTATACGTAAACAGGGATAACCGCGACTAATAACAATTTGCGAATGTTTCATACAATTTATTTTTGTAATATCGTCCATGGCAAAAAGAAAACTGGAAATTTCATTCTTTTTAAAGGGACATAAAAAACATGATGCTTTAAAAAATATATCAATTGTCAAAAATAAACACGATTAATTCTTATTTAAAACTGTGTTGTTTATAATTATCACCATCATCATCATCATCATCATCATCATCATCATCATTATTTTGTACACCATTTTTTTCGAAGTGTATAAAGGAATCGTTAAAACCTCCATTTTAGTTCTCACTCACTCCTATATTTCAAGGATATTAATCATCGAGGCATTTTTTTCTCTGCTTTTCCGCCCAAAACCCATATATTCTATTTTGCATACAACATAATAATGATATATATATAGAACGTTTTGATTCCGAAAAAAATATTCTGTTTCTAGTACTCTTTCATCATAAGTATGCTGACTTGTGTTCAGTTCTGGGCTCGTTGAAGTCTCTTTAGCTAGCTTGTGCTATTTAAATACTTTACCAACGTAGTTATTATGTAATATAAGTTATTTTTATACAAAATGTAAAAAAATGATATAAAGAGGTCATTACACTGTGTTGAATACAATACTGAATACTACTGGACGAGTACACAGCTGTCAAACCTATATTGGACGAGGCGCTAGCCCGGTATAAGTTCTGCAGCTGTGTACGAGTCCAATAGAAGCAGTATTGTTCTCAAAAATGTATTTATAATCACCTTTGTTTCACTTTTTTTTTTTTGACATTTTGACAAAACCTTGTCACTTCAAGTATGATAAATTGGAGGCATTATGGGGTACAAAATGCATTTGATACTGTTTTTTTATTATTATTATTTTTTTTTTTTATTTTGATTCTCGAAACATTACTTACTCTAAAATATGACCACTGGCTGCTGATAGCTAGCTGCGTCTTCTCTCGGTGTGAGCCCTTAATGAGTTTTATGTGGATGAAATCATGATTAACCTTCACCTTACAGTTAATCATATAATTTGGACATCACGTGGTTCAAACTCTGCAAGTTTATTGGTTGTATTTAAAAGGCCGTGATATATAATACATTTATTATATACTTATAAATGAAATATTGAGAAATATTGATGAAATAAAATGCGTATTTTCATTTTCCGTATTTTCACTGTAAAAATTTATTTTTCACTGCAGTGAAACATATTTTCCGTATTTTCACTGGTGTCTTGCCGGACTACTTTCTTCTAAATTCAGCCAATACACAAAATTTAAGGGATAGTCTTTCAAACCAGACAAAAATGTATATAATAAACAGTAAATTCAATTTTTTTCTATAAATACAGGATTTGTTTTCATTTTGTGTAATGAAAACTATCATATTTCACGTGTGGATGTCGCCACTCATGAAATATTTATTTTCATACCACTCGATGAAAATAAATCATGTATTTATAGAAAAAACTTGAATATCCTCTATGTATTATACAACATTGGTCAAAGACCCTCGTCATTTTAATAATATTAGTACAAATATTTAAGAAACTATTAAAGCCATATCAAATTAAAGGCATTACAATTGACATTGATATAAGTCAAACTAATTAAAATCCCATTGTGAAGGCTACGGTCCGTTGGGGGTGAGGGGGTCATAAAAGTATGTCAGACAGGGCATTCAATTAGGGTGTGTCATAATACAGTAAAGAAAACCCTGGATAAACGTAAACAAGATTGTATCTTGTTAATTAAGAATCAAATGTGGCACTTCTACCTGAAAAGACATTTAAATACATGCGATGATGCGTGTACACTTCACATTGTATATACAATAGAAGATGACTTCAAATATAATTAAATGTTCGAAATAATATTTAATTTCGTAAATGCTTACTTATGACCTATACCCTGATACCTATTTTGTTCAAAAGCCAGAACGCGCTCTGAAAATTTCCAATGGCGGCCTTTTCAGCAATTCATTGTAAATTTATCCTGTCCAATTTCCGGTCAATTCAAATTATATTTTTATTTTATTTTCTTCTTCGGTTTAAAGACTTTGTAAAGAGATTGTGATTTTTTTGCTTTTATAAGGATTATGTTTCTGAAAGTATTCATTATATAGTAAACATTTAAAGTGGTTGACCAATTTCATTGCATTATTGCGTTGCGTTGCATTGCGTTGCGTTGCGTTGCATTGCATTGTATTGTATTGTATTGTATTGTATTGTATTGTATTGTATTGTATTGTATTGTATTGTATTGTATTGTATTGTATTGTATTGTATTGTATTGTATTTGAAAGACCTTATTTCGGTATATAATGTATAAGATAATTCGTTTAGTTAATCTAAATTTATTGACATAGATATTACAGGATGGAAGTAATGCATCTAAAGAGGAAAACAAATTAATAATAATAATAATAATAATAATTATTATTATTATAATTATTATTATTATTATCATTATTATTATTATTATTATAAATGAATAATAAATAATAATAATTAAAATGTTGAACCAAATATCACATTTATCAATATAAAAACAACGCAAGGGAAAAAAACAAAAACAAAAATGCAATACGAACACCATGACACATTGTATATTACATACTTTATTATGAGAAATATGCCTACATGTATACATGTATATGTTTCGCTACTTTGCAAGATGTTTTAGCAACAAAAGGGCATCACTCTTACTC